TAGTAGTTATGCTGCAGACCTTTGGGTCAAGCACCACAGTCAGTTGTTTCCTGCATGTTGAATAGTTAGTGGATTTTAATAATAGTTTTCATTGGCTACAAGAAGAAATTTGTTTGATGAGGGATGAAAGCTACACTTACTTGTGAGTATTAAGTATTGAAAACACAGAAACGACCCAGGTCTAGGAAAGGTAGTGGTAGTAGTAGTTTCTCCTCTTGGGTCCTTGACCTCACCAAGTACAAAGGGTTAGGTTTACTCTTTCAGTCATGAATTTTACCTACTGAATGAGCAGGCCTTCAGTTCAATTAAGTGGTTGTTGGATCTCCTCAGGATACAGGTGCCACTACTGAAGTACCATGCCATGCTTGTTACGGTTGTGATTTGTAGGCACTACAGCTAGGTAGGACTTCTGATTGATTACATTTCTCCCTTGGTACTGTAAGAGATAGTCTTCAGGCAAGGATTCTATATCAGTTCCAGCTTCATTTCTCCGAGTCTTGTGTCTGAAACGTGTGGAGTCTTCAGCAACAGAGTCTTACCTTCAATGTACTTATTTCTCAGACTTCCACTTCTCACCTCCCATCTCCACAAGATGGGTACATAAGCAAAAGCTACTCCAGGATTGCAAAAGGGAAAAGCCAAATTTTTAGGCAAATAACCCAATTCAGTCAGACTATTAAAAGAACAATCTGGGCCTAGACAATTCCTGACCTCATGCTGGTGAAGTGTGTGTTCATCACCATGCAAGGATACTGGACCATTACTCACTGCCCCATGCAATCATTCAGTATTTATTGAACCTTGGGCTAAGTGCAGAAGTAATCTGCATGGCTGATGGTGGTGGAACTATTTGGGAAGGATTAGGAGGTGTGCCCTTTTTGGAGAAGGAGTGTTACTGGGTGTTGACCCAGAGATTTCAAAAGCACATGGATGTAGTAATAGGAAGTGGCATCTGTAGTAATAGGAGCGGCGGGGCTGCATCCCCAGCACCCGGCCGCCCCCACGGCTAGCTTTACCTGAAATAATTACACGGAAACTGTATTCTTTTAAACACTGCTTGGCCCATTTCTATCTAGCCTCTTCTAGGCTAGCTCTCGCACCTGGACTAGCTCATTTCTAATAATCTACTGTAGCCCACGAGCTGGCTTACCAGGAATGATCTTAACCTGCGTCTGCCTGGAGTGGGAGAATCATGGAGACTCTCTGACTCAGCTTCTTTCTCCCAGTATTCTGTTCTGTTTACTCCTCCCACCTATGTTTTAACCTATGAGGGCCAAGCAGTTTCTTTATTGCTTAACCAATGAAATCAACAGATATATGACACTCCCCCATCACTTCCCCTTTTTCTGTTTAAACAAAAAAAGGAAGGCTTTAACTTTAACATAGCAAAATTACATATAGCAAAACTGTTATCAAGCAAGAATTACAGTTACAATATTTATATCTATTTTATCTTTTATCATAACTAAGGAAAACTATAACTATCTATTCATTCTTCAACTCCATCAAAGACTCCAGAAGGATATAATACTACCTAAGTAAACAAGAAATAAGAAAACTCTAGAAATGACAGAGACATCTCACTGCCTGGACCCAAAGTTCTTTTGTACCATTGGGGCATCCATCTTCAGCCTTCAGGCCCATAGTATCCAGCAGACATTTTCATCAAGCAGGAAATTTCAAAGACAGTTCAGTCACTATCTGCTGTGTCGTGCAGAATGTCTCGCAGACTCTTTCATGAGTCATGAACCCCAAAAGACCGTCTCACCTTTAGGCAAGTTCAGCAGTCCTCTCTCTGCGGGTTCTCTGTGTCCATTTCATGCATCAGTCCAGGCAAGAAGAGTTTCTTGCCCAAATGGCTATCAAACTCCATAAGGATCCTCTTCGATGCCCATCTTCCTCTTGAAGTAGATTGGTGCTGCCAGGAGCAGACGTGTCTCATTGTCATGAAAAGCCCTAAGTCATTAAAACATTTAAAATGCCATATTCTGAAGTCTTTGAAAGATATGAAGAATGCCTATCTAACTGAAATATATCTCGATATATATAGAAAATCTAAGTAACATGACTACAAACTTTACTATTATCAATGATTATCCATTAACAACCTATATTTCTTAATTATACAGTACATTTTTAAATGAACTACACAATCACAATACCTTAATCAAGATCAAGAAATACATATACATATAACAAAATTGACCTTAAAATCCATACCAATGCAAATTATTCATACCTATATCATTTCCCCCTTTAAATGTAAAAGAACATTTATAAACAATATTTTGGGAACATGGGCGCAGTTTTTTCTCTCCAAACTGCTTCCTGCTGAATGAGGGCGCTGTTAATCATATCTTTCATGGGGTAACCTGTGTGCCAGGGTCATCTCAGTTGGCAGTTGAGCAAAGCAATTCTGAAGATGTTCACAGTAACCCTTCAGGAGGGCGTGGTCCATCATACCATATCGGAATAGAAGAAATGAACAGGGTCTTGTCCTCTGTGAAAACAAAAGAAGACCCTCTCCAAAGCATCATATCCTTAGTCCCAAATTTTGAAATCGTACTACCCTTATAACCATTCTGGTTTAGCTTGGCAGCCCATGTAATGAAATGTCTCTCTGTACTTAGCTCCTTTACAGTCAAAAATTTTAAAGAAAACATAATGTACATAATCCAGACTCTCTGTGAATTTTCCATTTTTACGTGGCTTATTTTTCTTTATTTCTTTTTATCTCATAACTATCTGTACTCTGTCTCTTTAAAGACTTTACCTTTTTTTTTAAGACATTAACTTTATTCTTTATATTCTTTTTCTTTTCTCTCCCAAGCCTACGTACATTTATCCAACATTGTGACTCATTTAGTGGTCTGAATCTGTCCTATTGTGAATATGCAATTTTTTACTATCCAGGAGCACTTTTGATTTGCGCCTTTAAATCAGTAGGCGCTTAAGAATCTAAGCTGTGACATTCCTAGGTCAAAAACAGGTACTGCCTTCTGGCCCCACCCAGTCCAACATGGCGGAGCAGCTCGTGTCTCTGATCCTTGCACATTGCACCACTAGCATGGCAGAGCTGCTTGTGCCTCTGAGCTGCGGCACGCAATGTCCCCCTTTTAGGCACACAGCAGTCTAGTTGCCATCAAACAAATCGTAGCATTTTACTCCAAATGCTCCATTCAAAAGCTCTGTCTCCCACAGGGGCCAGACAGAGATCGCAATGGCGGCACAGCCCAGAAAGCGGCGGTTTAAAACTGCAGCTTTTTTCCTGTTGCGGCTGCTGAGTCAGGAAATTCTCTCTGCAGCATGCCACCCACAAGCAGCAAAAAACTGTGTTAAACTCTCTCTCTCCTTTTTAAAGCCCTCTCAGGTTTTTAAGTGGATTTAGGCCATCACGTCTGGGCGCCACTCTGTAGTAGTTGGAGCAGCGGGGTTGTGTCCCCAGCACCCGGCCGCCCCCATGGCTAACTGTTTTGCTATATGTAATTTTACTATGTTAAAGTTAAAGCCTTTTTTTTGTTTACACAGAAAAAGGGGAAGTGATGTGGGAGTGTCATATATCGTTCTGTTGATTTCATTGGTTAAGCAATAAAGAAATTGCTTGGCCCTCATAGATTAAAACATAGGTGGGTGGAGTAAACAGAACAGAATGCTGGGAGAAAGAAGCTGAGTCAGGGAGTCTCCATGATTCTCCTACTCCAGGCAGACGCAGGTTAAGATCATTCCTGGTAAGCCAGCTAGGGGGCTACACAGATTATAAGAAATGGGCTAGTCCAGGTGCGAGAGTTAGCCGAGAACAGGCTAGATAGAAATGGGCCAAGCAGTGTTTAAAAGAATACAGTTTCTATGTAATTATTTCGGGGCATAAGCATAAGCTAGCTATATGGGCGGCCGGGTGCCAGGGACGCAGCCTGCTCCTACTTCAACACATGGAATTCTCAGTTAGCTCTCTCTGCCTTATGCTGATTGATCTAGATGTAAGCTCACCCTGTACGATAGTCAGGAACTCTAATCCTATGAAACTGTAAGCCACAAATAAACACCTTCCTATATAAGTTGCATTGGTCATAGTGTCTTATCACATCAACAGAAAAGAAACTAAGACATTTGATAAGAGGTAAATACTGAAGTGTTTAAGGTACAAGACAAGGAAAGCCAAAGATAGGAACTAAATCAGATAGTAGAAAGAAGAGTGAGTCCCTTCTACAGAAGTGAGCATTGGCCTGATAAACTCATACTTCAAGTCTCAAAATACTGAGGAAAAAATACATAAAACAAATTTCCATTGTTTTAAATCACTTTGTTACAGCAGCCCATGGAAATTAATTCAGCAAATTTACTATAGTTTTCTATTCGATTATTTAATGACCAGTGATTTAAAATTTATATTTGGAACCAACTATTAATCATATTAATCAATTCTTTTATAGCAAACATGTTATATTGTGATGTGGGAGTATCATATATCAATCTGTTGATTTCATTGGTTAAGTAATAAACAAACTGCTTGGGCTCATAGCTTAGAACATAGGTGGGTGGAGTAAACAGAACAGAATGCTGGGAGGAAGAGGAAGTGAGGTAAGACGCCTCAGACAGAGACGCCATGCTCCCCTCGCACGGACAGACGCACGCGATTCAGCTCCGACCCAGGATGGATGTAGGCTAGAATCTTCCCGGTAAGCGCACCTAGCTGTGCTACATAGAATATTAGAAATGGGCTAGTCCAGGTTCCAGGTGCGAGAGCTAGCCTAGAAGAGGCTAGATAGAAATGGGCCAAGTGGTGTTTAAAAGAACACAGTTTCCGTGTAATTATTTCGGGTAAAGCTAGCCGTGGGGGCGGCCGGGTGCCGGGGACGCAGCCCGCCGCTCTTATTACTACAACAATATTGTGGGAACAGGATTTTGTTTTTTTAAAATGGTAATCACTAAAGGTAGTATGCACATTCATACAAAATTATGAAATGTTTACCCAGGAGTATGAAATGATTATCTAATTCAAGTTTACTCAAAACTAAATAAAAGTTTTATTTTAAAATAATCATAGCTCGAAAAACCAAAAAAAAAATAATCATAGTTACAAAAATACAATAAACAACCATTTTATACATGTATGCACCTTTCATCTCTTTATTTGAGTAAAAAGAAGACAACTTTCCACATTCAAGAGGTTTTTAATGTTGTAATGATTACCTAAAAGTAAAGTAACAAGAAAATACAATTATTTCAAGTAACAAAAAGATATATTTATTTCCATAAGAATCATTTCTTTTGAAGTATTTCTTTACCACTTAACACATACAGCATGTAATATGAAATAAAAACAATTATCTAACTTAAAGTAACTTATTTAATTTTAATTGTACGAATCCAAAGACACAAAAATCAATCACCACCTACTGATGCAGAGAGGACATGACAGAACAAAAATTTCCCATCAACTTCTAAGAAAAGCAGAGATAAATAAAAAATGTATACAAGAAGAGAAAACCATTCTGAAATTAGTCTTTAAATGATCTTTAGAAATGCTGTAAGTTCCTATAAACCAGGCATACACATACTTGCACTGGTAAGAATAAAAGGTGAGCTCTTTTATAAAATAATTTTAAGGGCAAATGCTGCTCTAGAGTGTCAGATGGATAGTGTCATATATGACAGGTTTACTTGCATTAAATATTATTACTGTGACTTTCTCTGTCTTTCTAATTTCAATTAGAGATTGGTATCCATTAAAACTACTAGACTTACAAGCATCTCCACAACAGTGCTATGCACAGCAAGTACAGGGCTAGGAAGGGGATGCACTCACTGAGCACTTGCCCAGCAGTAAGAAAAAAACTTCAATTCACAGAACCACAAGATGAAAGTATATAAATATAGCTACTACTCCTTTCATCACAATGTGAGCTTTGTAAATGTGAAGAGTTTTCTCTTTCCATTCATTTATCCCAAACTTAAAGAACAATACTTGGTATCACATTACACTGTTATTCATATTTACTGAAGGAAGGAATAAGCAAGCAAATAAATTAAAATATCTATTACTGATGACCTATAATCTTTTAATAATACACTGGTCTGTATGGTTAAAACAATGAACTAAAAAGGGCTATAAAGTCATAGGAAATAACGATGTGGAAATATTCACTTATAGCTTGGAAGGCAACACAACTTTTACTTAATATTTTTATTATTTAGCAATAAACATGTCTGAATTTTATACATCAAAACACTATAAATACTTAATGATAAAATAAAAGGAAAATATGTATCAAACTGTTTTGGCATCAATAACATAATGACCACTGTAGCTTCCATATTCATGGAACTATACACCAGCAACTATACAGTCCTTGTAACAAAATGAATCAAAATGCTTTAGTTGTTCTTACCTGAAGGAACATAGAACGAATCACCAGTACTTATCATATATGCTGTTTCATGTAAGGTACATAAAAGGTCACCAAAGTTAACATAAAAAACCTATAGAATTAAAAAAAAAGAAATCTCAGTTCAAATTGAACCACAATTATGCTACAGAAATCCTTAAATAAAATGCAGCATGAAAAATAATGACTCCACATGGATGTCTGTATTCTATTCTCCAGAACCTGGAAATACATCCTATGTAACAAAAGAACCTTGAGACAGAGAGTAAGCCTTAATTAATCAAATCTAAACACACAAACCCTCAAAGATGAACTCACCCATACCACCCACCAAACACATCCAAGACACACACACACACACATACACACACACACACACAGAGAGAGAGAGAGAGAGAGAGAGAGAGAGAGAGAGAGAGAGAGAGAGAAGAAAATGAGGCAGAAAAAGCAATTTTAAACATAAGGTTTCTGAAGAGGGCACAAGTCAAGGAACAAAAAGCTGCCAACCTCCAGAGAAAAAATGAAAATGTCAGTTCTATAGTCACATGGGAATTGAATTCTCCCAACAATATCAATAAATCTGGAAGGAAATGAACAGATTCATCCTTAGAAAAGGAAGCAAATCTGTCAATATCTTAATTCCAAATCCTTGATACTCTGAATAAACTATACAGCCAAGTCTGCCAGATGTATAACTACGCAAAATAAGATACTCAAAGGTCACTACTTTAAGCCACTAGTACACTGTATTTTGTTAAATCAATAACAGAAAACTAACATGAATTCAATTTTGTTCATTCAATGTCATGAAAATTCAGTACTTAATCTTACAAGTAAACTTTACTAAAAAAGAAAAGTGTTATAAATGCTCCTTCAAAGATTACATGTTTTTTGAATAACACACTTCTCAATAGGGATGAACCACAGGTAAGAAGCCAATTCTGTAGGAGACTGCTCTTTCATTTCTCAACTATACAGACCCAAATAATCATCTAGAAATTGTATTAATTACAACACTGCTTAGCCAATAGCTTAGGCATATTCCGGGTTAACTCTTATATCTTAAATTAACCCATTTCTATTCATCTGTGTACTGCCACGAGGACTTACTGGAAAGGTTCTGGTGTCCTTCTCCTTTGGCAGCTACATGGAGTCTCCTTGACTCTGCCTTCTCTCTATATATATCCCTTCCAGCCTGACTATATTCTGCCCTGCCACAGGCCAAAGCAGCTTTATTCATCAACCAATAAAAGCAACACATATACAGAAGGACATGCATATCACAAATCCAGCTTGTGGGTGTGGGGGATGACAAAACAAAAAGCCCATCTCACATATTTTAACATCAAGAATAAGAAAAAAATAGGACAAATTTACTTTTCGATTATGTTGGCTTCAAATTCAAAGATGGCTAACTTCCCGGTTTATTTATATGTAGACAGTTATCTATTTTGGAGGCCACAAAAATAAACATAAAGTATCCAAATTTTATGATGTGCCTACTGTTAGGTTTATCATCAAATTTTGTACTTTGAAGATTTATTCCCAATTTGATGGTATTATTGTGGAGCCATCATGAAAGAAATTGATGCCCTTAAAATTACACCAGAATATTCTCTCCCTTTCTGTTTCTACCCTTCCTCACTCTACTCCCCTCCCATCTGCTTGCCCCTTCTCTCTCCCTTCTTCCCCTTCCCCCACATCTCTTCTTCATGTAAACCAGGAAGTATGCTTTCAACAAACACATCTCAGCCTCAAAAACTGAGAAATAAATGTTCATTTTTGGAGACACTAAATCTATAGTATTATTATTAATCTAAGGCACCCTTCAAGAATATTTTGTTTCAGATAATATACCTGTTTTAAAAGTGTGAGGCACAGAGATTAGATAAGCTTCAAAAGTCAATGAAATGACAGAACTGGGATTAGGATTGTGCACTCCAATGCCACAACTCACATTCCCGACCTCTACGAAAGGATAGCTCTCTAAATGGAAAAATGTTCCCCCAAATTTTTTTGAGGAACTAGAAAAGAAATTTTTTAATTCTTACGTCATCTAAAAATCTGCCTCAAGTAGAAAAGGTGAATTTAGAAAGTCAAGCATATATTTCTAGATCATTTTCCTTATCTGATCAGCTTAGCTCTCTAAGCACACCTCTTCCCATTTTTGCCAATATTTAATTAAGATAATTTTTAATTAAATGAGAAACAGCTCTACATAAAAATCAAATGAGAACATTCAAATAGCCAATATTTGGATATCAGAGTGACAACTAATCAACAGGGAAATAAGAGTTACAAGCTATCACATTAACCCACAAAGAATGATTATTATCAAAAAAAAAATAAGGATAAAAAATGCTGGTAAGGATACGGAGAGAATTGAATGTTTCTATTCTATTGGTGGAAATGTAAGTCACTGCATGCCTTATGGAAAACCCCACACAGATATCTCAAAAATTAAACCACAACTATAATATGACCTAGCAATTCCTCTAATGGATATATATGCAAAGGGAAAAAAAGGAGTCTATCAAAGAAGTGCCTGAGGCTCTAATGTCTACAAAACCCAAACACTAGAAATAACCTAAGTGCACACTGCCCAATAGGCAGACATACAAAATGTGATACATATACAGGATGGAATAATATTTCATAAATGTATTATCGTTTGTGACATCAAATAAAACAAGAGATCTTTATGCTAAGTAAAATAAACCACCAATGAGAAAAGACACTCCCTGTAATATAAAAAAGTTAATCCCAATGGGTACTAAGTTACAGATAGAGAGACAGAAGCAAAAAGCTCTGACACACAATAAGGCTACAACAGAAAAGAATATTCTGTACATTTTTAAAGCAGTACGAAACATCTTTTTTTAAAATTTGTTTTTTTGAGATTATAATTACAACATTTTTCCCTTCCCTGTCCACACTTCAAACCCTCCCATATACCTCTCCTGCTCTCTTTCAAATTCATGGCCTTTTTTTCTGTTATTACATGTACACATGTACATTTATGTACACATATATTCCTACATACAGCCTGCTCAGTCTGTATGTTACTTGTGTATGTCTTTAAGGCTGACTATTTGGTATTGGATAACCAAATACTATGCTCTTCCCTGGAGAAGTCTATTTCTTGTGCTCTCAGAATTCCTTAGTTGCCTTTAATTCTTTGTATAGGATTAAGACCTCATGGACCATCCCCTATCCATTTTTACCACAAAGAAATGATAAAACTTCAAAAAATAGGTATATTTAACTTAATTTAAATAGTTTACAATGTATCACACATGCATCAAAATATCATATTACTCTATGTATTGCTTTTTAACTCCGCTGAAAAATAATAAAAATTAAACTAAATAAGCATGATTCAAATATATTATAAAACACATTTTTGAGGGGCTGGAGATGGTTCAGGTGGTAAACACAAGCATGACGACCTGAGTTCAGATCCCTAGTACCACAGTAAAAGAAGGAAAAAAAAAAACAGGTAGCATAGTACATGCCTATAACACCAGTAAGTGCTTGGGTGGTGAAGACAGAAGGATCGTAGGGTATCATCACCCAGCCAGGCCAGCCAATTGTTGAGCTTCAGATTGAGTAAAAACTTTATCTCAAAAAATAAAGTAGAAAAGCAACTGCTATCAACTCCTAGTTTCTACGTGCATACGTATACCCTACCTATACACATGCACCCACTACCAACACACAAGCACATTCACACACAAAAAAAGAATTTGATATATACAAACGTCCAATATAGTCTATTTCCTTCATTACTTAATATTTGAGAAGAAAGCTTAGCATAGATAATTTAAAAGGACTAAAGATTAAGTCCTTTATATAGATATATATATATAACCACAATACTGTCATCACTAAAATTAACATTCAAAAATTCCACTTATGTCTTCAACATATTTTCAAGGGCTTTTTGTTTTGCTTGGCTTTGAGACTAGGGTATACACACAATAGAGGTACACACAGTTACTGATGAGACCTTTCAGTTAATAGTGGTCTCAATCAAGGCTGATTGTTCTCCTTAGGATAAAACAGTCTCTGAAAACATAACTGTCACCGCCTAGTGTGGTACCAATAGAGAGAAACCAGGGAAGTTTCTAAATGTCCATCTATATATAGAATAACTCCCTGCTACAATAAAGACAATCACACAGGGAAAAAGGTTAACCGTGCCATGCTGGGAAGCCCTGGCGTAGAGGTTTTACCTGGTTCTCTCTCTCTTTTCAATTCCTATTGCTCTCATATACAATAGATTAAGTAACTGATCATAAAATATTCATACAGCAGGACTTTGTTTATTATATTCACTTTCAGTTCTCTTTCATTCCCCATGAACTAGTAGTTTGATCTAGAGACCTATGATTCCATGTTATTTTCTTCCAGTTTCTATGTATTTTAAAGACATTAAGACGACTTACAACGCTATTTTTCTATCAGGAAATACATGTCTAGCTATGCTCCTTACAGATGCCAGTAGCCACTGATGCTCAGGTCCCACTTTAGTATATCAAGGACACAAAATGGTGATTATTTCAAGCGCAGCATTCCATGTTCACTCAGTACCTAAGCATTCCTAACAAGAAATTCTCACCTATTGTCGGCCTTCCTCACTTCAGACTTTGTATGGGAAAAGGAGAGTAAAGGATTGATTTTCCCCCTTGGCTTGACTATCGCTGGGAACATGATGAACAGCATCCAAGAAGCCTCCAGATTTACCACATTAGGTTTTCTTTTGGAGGCTATCTAACAGTGATGGACTCCGACAGAACTGAAGGACATCAACCCAAAGAGTGTTCTTTCATCTTTGGCCAGTGGGAGAGCATCTTTAAGCTGGATGCTGAGACGTTATTATTGAATCCTGCTCATCTCTGATAGTCTTCCATCATGTATGCCATGATAAAAACATCCTAAGCCTAAATGAAGGCCCAAATTGGGCATTTCCCACAAGAAATGGAATAATAGTTAATGTGGGGCAGTTGACATTTTGTTTGTTTGTTTGTCTTAGTTCTGGATTATTTATTTATAATGTTTAAACTGTATTTCCAGATCTTTTAAAAAAGAAAAAAACAAAAGAAATTCTCACTTTAACATTCCTACAATTTTGGTACATTTTCATGTTTTGTTGTGTTCTTCACATCATTTGTTTTAATCTAACATTTATTTCATTTTATTTGGAGAGGGGCAGTTTACAGGCCACAGTCCACCTGTAGGAACTGTAGAAACCAGTCCTCTCCTTCCCAAAGCTGCCAAGCATGGCAGCAGGCGCCTTTACTCACTGAATCATCCCGATGGTCCTCCTTGCCTTTCCTACTACCTATCTTAAGCGCCTTTCTGCTTTTTAGGAAAGATCCATAATCAGCTCTACTAGTACATTGCTAATCTTCCTTTGGTTTGATCTCCTTCTCCTCCTCCTTTAGACAGCGTCTCTAGCATTGTACCTGGAAGAAGTTAAAGGCAAATGCTGGGGTTCTATTTTTGTCTCTTTTTGTTTTTCAAAAATCATGTCAAGTGTGCTTAAAGTTTTTTAAAAATGCAAAAAAAAATACTGTGTATGCTGACCTAAAAATTAAGAAAAATGTTCCAATTATTAAGAAAATATTTAATTCCAATTTTCAGTTATAAATGAGTACTCAAAGCTAATAACCAATCACATAGTAATTTTCATTCTAATCAGGGGCTAAAGATGCAGCTCAATGGAAGAAAGCTTGTCTAGCACACACTAAACCCTAAAGTTCCATTCATAACACACAGTAAAGCAAACAGAAGGAAAATAGAAAGATAGATACAAATTAAAAATTTGCTTTAGAACGTTAGCCCAAAAAAGTTCTCATATAGCTAGTATTAAAGATACATTTGAGATAGTTTTTAAAAGTACAAATACTTCTTAGATCACATTTGAAGTTATATAACTTTATTTTGCCACATATTTATGCTATTAACCCAAAATAAAAATACAGTCAATTTTCTTCCTGTACTATGTTTTTCTTTTCCAAATTTTCCAATTATAAGTAGTATTACAAATGAATGTACATAATCAGTTTGTACTCTAATAGAAAGGTTGGTATTTTTCTAGTTAAATTCTATTAATTCATTATAGTGTCATTTGTTTTAAGATGTGGATCCCTTTTAATACTAACCAGGTTAAATATTTCAAATATTTATTATTTAAATTTCCTTTTACATAAGGGCATTATAATTTAACAGGTAACTATCATTAGGTTGGTCACGATACACAATGTCTTCATCATTAGCTATTGTTTAATCCACTGAATTAAATAAATCATTAAGAACCCTTGAATAGGAGCCAGAGAAATGGGAAAGAGAAATATTGCAAAGTGTGAGCACCAGCACCTATGTCAAAACTCAGGTGTGAAATGTGTGCCTGTAGCCCCAGCACTACAGGGCAAAGGTGGAGGTAGAGTCAGGAGAATAGTTGGGCTTGTAGTTTGTCAACCTAACGCCATGTTCAGTGAGATCCTGTCTCACAGGAATAAGAGTAATTTAGCAGGACACCATCTGGTCTCTGCACCCTGCCATATGTGCATATACCACACAGACATAAAGCTACAGAACATTAACACTGAAATTATTTTAATTGATTCTAGCTATAATGATGCAATAATAAATTATTCTTACAATGTCCCTTAATTATAATATTGCTACAATGATGGCATATTAAATATCCTTAAAATAAACTTTGTAAATTTTACATTTATCATGTTTAGAATGAAGTGTTAACAGCACTCGTGAACATATGCACAGCACACATGTGTACGCAGTAGATACTGAGACAAAGGGAGAGGGAGAAAGAAGAGAGGGGCAACTTCAGACCCTGTTAGGTACAACAGGGAGGCAGCTAGTTCTTTGCCTCCAGAGTGCTCTAACTATTTAAATCATTTTAAAACTCTTTGATCCTCAACCACATGATTACAGAAATTCACAAACCTTAATCTCTATCATTCCCTGCAGCTCTAAAGTTCTACTTCTTTATTTGCAATTCTGTATTCTAAGATTCTCTTAACAAACACATCTCAAACCACTGAACCTCAAGGTTGTGCTATGCACAGTACAGGTATTTTTAAATAATTACTGACTAGTTAACCGCAACAGATTTAATAAAGGAAAAGATTTCTTTGTGCAGTATAGCAATGGGATTTCACTACCAGGTAAATAGAATTTCAATGCATCATCAGAGAAAAAAAATCAGTTGTACTTCTAGAAATAAATGGAGAAATATACTCACCAATATATCTTCGCCAACATGCTGTTTTCCCTTTTCTTCATAGGGTCCTAAAATCAGTTTTCCAGTAGAAAAGACTGGTGTATCCAACGTTTTAAAAACTTTTAAACCATGTTGCTCCACAAAAAATTGGTATGTATCTCGTGGCCTTATAAGATCTAGGGAGAAAATAACAATACAAATATAGTACCAGCTAAACATGCTTAACAGCATGTAACTGTCATCTTAACACTTAGGGAACTAAGGAAGTCCCTCTGGGGTACACATGGGAAATCCTATTGGAATAGTAGTACTGAATGATATATTATAAATATGTATATAAGAGTCCTTTAGGCCATGCATACATACAGGCAGTAGTATCACACAGACTGAAGATGACTGGCTCTGTAGCTGGAATGCCAAAGGTCACACTCTGCCTGGCTTGTAACTGTGTAACTCTGGACTACTTAAGCTCTCTCTCTAAGCCTCACTTTCCTTTCTGTAAAAATGAGCAACAGCCTGTTTAAACAGTTTCTGTGAATCTCAAAGAATTAATAAATGAAAACAAAAAGCAATGACTGACTCAAACTAAGCACTATGTTATTAGCTTAAAAATAATGGAACTGTTTTTACTTCGAAGGAGACTAAGATGGAAAATAATATTAGGAGAGACACAATAAAGAGCTCCATGCCTTTACAAAGCTTAACAAGCTCCAAAATAAAAATGTGTCATCACAATGACAATAAATTGGTTTTGTTCATTTGATGATGATTAAACAAAAACATTTTTATTTAATTAAGACTACAAGAAAGTATAATATAAAAGCTAATGCCAAGCCCAGTGTCTTTCTGCCTACAGATCAGGATATAACTCAACTACTTCTAGCACCATGCTTGCAATGCTTGCTGCCACAATAATAATGGACTAAACCATAATGATAAATGAAACTCTGAGCAAGTCCACAACTAAGTGTTTTCTTTTGTAAGAACTACTTTGGTTACGGTTTCTCTTCACAGTAATAGGGCAGTGACTAGGACATAGTCCATATAGTTTTTAAGATCTTTAAGTACTTCCGACAAATAAATACTACTTGGTTGGTATGGTGGTTTGAAAGAAAATGGCCCCCGGAAGGAGTGGTATTATTAGGAAGTTTGGTCTTTTTGGAGTAGGTGTGGTCTTGCTGGATGAAGTGTGTCACTGTGCACGCAGGCTTTGAGGCCTCATATTTGCTCAAGCCATGCCCAGTGAAACAGTCTACTTTCTGCAGCCTGCATATCCACACATCCTTCTCTAGCACCATGTGCCTACATGCCAAACGCTCCCCTCCGTGATGATAATGGACTAAACCTCTGAACCTAAGCCATCACTTAAATTAAACGTTTTCCTTTATAAGAGTTGCCGAGTTCACAGTGTCTCTTCACAGCAAGAGAAATCCTAACTTGCAATAGAAATCCTAACTGGGAGAGTTGGTAAACACATATATTCCCTAAAGCCCTGTTTCACTAGAATATTATGGATGGCCTCCCAAAAACTAAATGTTTAATGTCAATGTAATACAGCATGAGGCTTCTAGGCTCTTAATATTAAAACTGATATTTGTATGACTGATTGATGCTACTAACAGTCATCTTCACAAAGTTTCACGTTCCAGATACCATGAGTGGATTCCAAAGGTACAGAAGATAGTGTGTGCCCTGGCCCAAATGGAGTACATCCTGGGGCATACGTTAACTTTCTATAATTTCCCATAGAAAGTTCCTCATATATCTACTCATTTATAGAAGGCCTAGGCCTACTGGAAAAGATAACATATCTGGGAGGTAATAGTACCACTTGAACTCCAGAACTCAGAACACAAACACATGATACTGTATTTCACATAAATGTTCATCCATAATTATTCTCACAAAGGCTGTTTATCGAAAGAGATTTTAGTGTTGAGAGAGGAGGAGGAGAAAGAAGGAGAAAGAGGTAAAGGGAGAAGAGGGAGGGAGGAAGAGAGCATACACACTGACCAACCATTCAATAGTTTCTGTTAAATTATTTTCAGTATCATTCCCAAACTTACCCATAGGGACAATCTCTCTTGTTTTTGGGTCCTTTGCCAATGTTGCCTCAAAGGGATTTCCTAGGGATTTATCTAGATTCACCACTAACCTATCCTCTGTAGAACAAACACCATTGAAACAAAATTAATTTGTATTCATTATAAAAAAATTTCAATACAAAATATAGAGATAAGTTGTAAAGAAAACTGAAAAAGATTTAGCAACCTCTTTCTGACCATGTTAGCACATTAATAAGCAAAATTTCAAATTCTAAGACATAAGATTTAATGTAAAGTAAATACCTCTGAGAGCCATTATGTAAACTTTTCATTTCAACAAAAACTAAATGATGATTTGCATAATCCCTCAGAGCTGCAATCATGACAAAGTTCTGGGAAAGTAAATTAAATGTCTACTGTAACCATACTTTGAGCATGGAAAAGGGAAGAGTCATATGACTAGGTAATGTTCTCAAAAGTAAACATTTTATACTATACCATAGCTATTTTTATAAGAATAAAATTATCTTATATTCTATATTGGGGGGTGACATAAAATGATCTTTACTGATGAGGCTACTATGTCTGAAGGTTTTTAAGAGATACAAAATCTAAGTTACATTGAACAGGTTCATACTTTCATGGTTATCACGATGGATCCGTTTCTTGTTGGCTTTTTTGTTGACTTTGTCCAGGTTTCTTTTTGCCCTTTTTATGGGTGATACTAGAGGTGGGGATACTATTCCGATCACAACTCTTCCTAAAATTTAACAAAAAAAGTTTTCCTGGTGACTTTAAAAACTAAAAGCAAAACATTAAATATATTACATTTCCTTTCAAAGTATCAAAGGAAATGCTGTTACATGTTACAGCTGTTAAAGAGACACAAATACTAACCAATTTCAACTGTGTCTCTAACAATCTAAATCAGATGATGAAGTCTAAATCACTGACGAAACAAGACTCAATACCCTGTTACTCACTTGAAATCGATAGTTGTCAATGGAGGATTCAAAACAAAATGAAACACTGCAGAAACTAGTAATAAACCTGAAGTAGTGAGCCACAGTGAAGTGTCATTTAACATAGCTACACCCATCTAAATAGGGAAATAACCTTAACACTTAGTTCCTTGTTAACTCTATAAAGGGACTAGATGCTATGAGTGAGAAAGATATCATCTTTATCAGATACTAATTTTCTCATGTTCTAATATGTTTCATTTTAGGCTGGAAGGACAGCTCACCAGTAAAGAGTTTATACTGCTCTCATAAAGGACCAGAGTTCAATTCCCAGCACCCATCATGGGTGCCTCACAACCACCTGTCCACTCACCTCCAGAGGGATTCAATGATTCTTTGCCTCTGTGTATATCTTCATAGCCTCCCACATACACACAATTAAAATGAAACTTTAAAATTATTCACTTTATGCAATCAGAAACCTCAGCTATTTAAGTGACAATATCTACAAAGTCAGAGAGTCAAATAGCTAGTTATTTTAAAAAAGGGGAAAAAATCAACACCTCGGCTGAGGAGTTCCATCCGGACGGAACCTTCATCTGGCAATGGATGGAGATAGAGACAGAGACCCACATTGGAGCACTGGACTGAGATCCCAAGGTCCAAATGAGGAGCAGAAGGAGGGAGAACATGAGCAAGGAAGTCAGGACGGAGAGGGGTGCACCCACTTACTGAGATGTGGGGGCTGATCTAATGTTTGAACATGTGATCAAACCGGACTCTCTGAACGTGTAGGACAAGGAGGGCTGACTGAGAAGCCAAGGACAATGGCACTGGGTTTTGATCCTACTGCATGTACTGGCTTTGTGGGAGCCTGGGACTGTTTGGATGCTTGCCTTCCTAGACCTGGATGGAGTGGGGAGGACCTTGGACTTCCCACAGGGCAGGGAACCCTAACTGCTCTTTGGACTGGAGAGGGATGGGGATTTGGGGGAGGGGGAGGGAAATGGGAGGAGGGGAGGAAGTGGAAATTTTTAAGTAAAAATAAATAAAAATTAAAAAAATCATCACCTCTAAAATAATGAGAAAAATTTTAATTAAAACCCTATTTTTAGATGTTTGTATATGGGAGGTGATAAAAATATGTAGGATAGAGCCTGTCAAATGATAAAATTATTTCAAGCATGGGCTGGAGAGATGGCTCAGTGGTTAAGAGCACTGGCTGCTCTTCCAGAGGTCCTGAGTTCAATTCCCAGCGACCACATGGTGGCTCACAACCATCTGTAATGAGATCTGGCGCCCTCTTCTGGCATGCGGGCATACATGGGAGGAATGTTGTATACATAATAAATAAAATCTTTAAAAAAAAATTATTTCAAGCAATGAATCTTTCACTTATAAGACATTATCACCTAAATTAGGTCTTACCTGATGGCCTTTCTTGATAATCTACCCGTTCCCCTCGCCAATATTCGAGAGGTTTCAAACGTATTCTCTTTGTTCTACGAACATTTGGTGAATTGGAGGGCAGTACTGTCAAAGTTAAACAAAAATTCAAAAATTGAGCAAACACAGTAAAGATGCATACCAACTCTTAGAACATAATGTTTCAAATTTTTAGATGCTTGTGCAAATAAAAGTACATGAACCTCTAGATTGACCAAGAAATAAAAGTTTGATAATACCCACATGTGAGACTGAACAATGCTACATTCCATATATTAAACAGAATTTGTTATAATTTGAGATTCCATTAGTTTATGACTGACACTAACCGGCAGAACCACTTCAACCAGGGACGCCCCACCACCACAGTCACAATACCCGGCGAGGTTCTAGGTGAGTGAACTTGATGTTCCTTCCTGCTCCCCATTTCAGTCTCTCTAGACCAGACTTCAGACCTGCTGCAGCCTGCCCACCTGAGTAAAACCTCCCAGACCATTTCCAAGTCCTCGGGACTCAGTCTCTTCGTGCAGAGTTCTTCCTTACCACATCTCTCAGCCTCTCCTTCTATCCATTCCTTTGTGACTTCTCACTACCAGGGACCCCCACAGTCACCACACTTAACTGTGAATAAGGGACTCCAAAGAAATCAGGCTTAGCTGGGACCCAGAATGGGCAATAGCAACCAAGACAAAAAGGTATCTATGCCAAGAATCACTTCAAAAGTCATTAACTTCCTAGATCCCAGGACCAAAAAACCAAACCAAACCATAACAAAAAGAAAAAAAAGACATGAATAACCAAAACAGTATAGGACAGTATATGCCTCTTTAAGAAGCCAGCAACCTTATTATAATAGCCATAGGAAAAGCATTTGAAACACAGCAAAAGAACTTCAAAATGGCAACAAAGACCCTAATATAAAACCAGATACCCTGAATCTGATAGAGAACATGGAAAATAAGCTTGAACTCATTGGCATAGGAAGACTTTCTGAACAAAACACCAAAAGCATAGGGAGTAAGACTATGGTGATTTAAATGAGAATGGCCCTAAAAGGGTCAGTTATTTGAATGTTTGGTTGCGAGTTGGTGCACTGTTCAGAAAGGATTAAAAGATGTGGCCTTGTTAGAGGAACTGTGTCACTGGGAGTGGGCTTTAGGTTTTAAAATTCCATACCAGGCTGTCTTGTCACTCTGACTAGAGACTATGGATCAGGATGTAAGTCCTTGGCTACTGCTCCAGTACAATTCTTGCCTGCCTACTGCCATGCTCTCCAACCTAGTGAAAATTGACTATTCCTTTGACATTGTAAGCAAGCCCCCAAGTAAATGCTTCCTTTTATAAGTTGCTTTTATAAGTTTCATCACATCAACAGAAAAATAACTAAGTCGGAGACCAACAATAAATGACTTCTCATGAAACTGAAAAGCTTCTGTATGGCATAGGACAACATAATTTGAACACAGCAGTAGTCAATAGAATGGAAAAAACTTTACAAATTATGCACCTTAGAGTTCATATCTAGAATATATTAAAAAATAAAAAAACTGAGCATCAAGTAAACAAATTAACCTAAATTTAAAAATGGAGTATACAACTAAACAGTGCTGTGGGGCAATGATCTTGTGCCCTGTAAAGATTTCTCAGTTGTAATGCTTTAATAAAATGCTAATTGGCCAGTAGCCAGGCAAGAAGTATAGGCAGAGCAATGAGAACTCAGTTTGCAGGTGTCACCCAGACACAGAGGAAACAAGATGAGAATGCCTCATTGACAAAAGGTACCAAGCCACGTGGCTAACACAGACAAGAATTATAGGTTAATGTAGGCTGTAAGAGTTAGTAAGAAGCCTGAGCTAATAGGCCAACCAGTTTAAAATTAATGTAGACCTCTGTGTGTTTCTTTGGGCCAAATAGCTGTGGGATGGGGAGGAAAAGAAACCTCTGTCAACAAAACAGAGTTCTCAAAAGATAAAACAAAAATAGCTGAGAAATACTTTTAAAAAGGTCAACATCCTTAAAAATCAAGGAAGTATAAATTAAACTTATCTTGAGATTTCACAATACACTATGAAATGCTGAGATCTAAACAAGTAATACTAATTCTGGATGTATTTTCCCTGTTAAAAAAATTAAGTTATATTTATAGAGAGATTCAATAATACCATTTTCTTCAATGGGAATAATGTAAGAATAAATTATTTACCTAATTTGTGATGTATATTACTATCTGGTAGTACATTAGAACTTCTTATTCTTAAATCTGAAAAATACAAAAGATAGTATTATAAACAAAACAACAATGTCTGCTAATTCTATATTAATTTAAAGTGTTTTCTAATCAACTTGTACTAAGTATTATAAATAAGATTTAAACCTGAAAATATAATTTATACTTTCTCTTTTCATTGAAAAACAACACAAACTAAGGAAAAAACAGTACAAAATCTCTTTACTCTTTGATACAATAAACATATTTAAAGAACACAACCATTAAAATTAACAAAAAAACAAATATTATCTATTATCCATGAGTGGCAAATAAGCCACTAGCAAATAAAAAGGCATGGCATAATGGTGAGTAAATAATTTCAATAATGTTACCTACAATCACCCACAACTTTCTTCTTAAAGTTCTAATAGTAAAATCACTCCCAGGTTCTCAATTTAGCAACATTCTAAAACATCATTGATTTGTCATCGATTTTTTCCACATTGTATACACATGTGATCTTTATTAAGAAATAGAATTACAATATTGTATGGGGGCCCAAATTGGTCAGTCCATCTAGTCTACTCTGTACCCCCACTCCCAATCCTCAGATCTATCCATAATCCTAGATCCAGTGCCCAGGCCTAATTTTCTGAGCTCCCATTCTCAGCCCCATGCTCTCTTCAACCTCCAGGCTTGGGCCAGGATGCACATTCTGTGTCTGTGTACTATCCCAGCATCCTCTGTGTCCCTAATACTTCAATTCACCCGTACCATATCCAACACTCACATGCTATGCTCTGTCTTAGCCTACTGTGTCCATATCAGATGCAAAACCAATGAAAAAAGTCCATATGCCCACATTTTATGACAAAAGAAAAATATTAAAACTCAGAGTATGTTCCCTCTAAATCCACCAACCCATAGAAGTTCTCTAAAGAAAATTATTGAAATGAACTCCAGGATACCGTGTTCAAGAACTGCCATAAACTTTAAAGAATTCAAGAGAGTTTTAAAGAAGAAACAGCTCAATGAACTTAAAGAAAATAAATGCCTAACTGATGCCCAAGAAAACACGAACATGAGGCTGATGAAAATGATAAAAACACCAGAATTCAAAATTCAATAAAGAGATGTAGATTGAAGAAAACTCAAGATGAAACAAAAGTGAATAAAAGAGAAAAAAAGAAAAACCTTAATAATCCAACAAGAAAACTTAGGAGAATATCAGGACTCAAAGATAAAGCAGAAGAATAAGACCACACAAGTAAAGAATATGAAAATTTTTTTTAAAAAAACCTACAAAAATGAAACATGTAGAAACCATGGAACACTATGAAAAGAAAAATTATAGACAGAGATGAGGAGCAAGAATCCCAAGTCAATGGAACAGACCAGGATCTTTAACAAGATAATAAAATGAAATGTCCCCAAATTAAGGAAAACATACCCATACAGATACATAGTTAAAACACTAAGTATACAGAACAAAGAAAGAATATTTAAAGCCAGGTGAGGAAAAAAAAAAAACGCTTGACATAAAGAAAACTAGAAGTTCTAAGAGATCATGGGTGACAACCTAGACTACAGTACCCAACAAAACTATCAATCCTAGTAGAAGAAAAATACTCCATAATATTAAAAGGCTAAAAGAATTCATGTCTACCAAACCAGCTCTAAAGAGAATACTGGAAGCAACACTTCTTTTTTTTTTTTTTTGGTTTTTTCGAGACAGGTTTCTCTGTGGTTTTGGAGTCTGTCCTGGAACTAGCTCTTGTAGATCAGGCTGGTCTCGAACTCACAGAGATCCGCCTGCCTCTGCCTCCCAAGTGCTGGGATTAAAGGTGTGCACCACTACCGCCCGGCTAAACCTTCTATTTCTAAACAGAAAAATACAAGAGACTATAGAAATATAAAGAATATAAAAAATATAGAAATATAAGAGACTAGAAAAAAACAAAACAAATGGAACTATAATTAGTGAAATAAAAGTACAACTAAAAACACAAACGGAAAAGAAGAAAAAGAAGAATGCAATCACCACAAACCATTAAATACTTATGATCTCAGCTCTACAATCAAAAGACAGATCAGCTGACTGGACCAAAACACAAAATTCATCTTTCTGCTTGCTACATGAAACTTGACTTATCTTTAAAGATAGGCACCAATGAAAGTGAGTAAGTGAAAAAAGGTATTCCAGTCAAATGCAACCAGAAAGCAAGAAAGTCTTGCTAACTTACTATTTGATTAAATAGGATTCAAGCTAAAACTAATCAGAATAAGGAAAAATGCATCATTCTAATCAAGTGAATTAATCAAGAAGACATCTCTATCCTAAACACACATGCACCAAACTCTGGAGTGCACAATTTCATAAAAGTGAACTACTGACATGAAAAAAAATCAAATTAACATCAACCTATTAATACTATGCAATTTCAATATCCTACTTTCTGCAATGGACAGGTCATCTGAACAAAAAATAAACAGAAATATCAGAATTAACTGACCACTGAACTTAACAGATATCTACAGATTACTCTATCCAAACACAAAGAATATATATCTACTCAGCAGCACAAGTAAAGTTCTCTAAAAGAGATATCCTGAAGAATTCTTACGAATTCAGAAAGATTGAAATAACTCTGTAGAGCCAATCTGACCATGATAAAACAATAAAACTTAAAACAACAAACAAATCTCCAGTAAGGATACAAACTCATGGTGAATAAAAAACTCATAAATAAATGATTAATGAGTCAAAGAAGAAATCTAGAAAGAAGGGGAAAAATCTTCCTGGAACTAAATGAAAATGAAAGCATAACATAATAAAACTCCTGGGACATGAGGGAAATGTGTAAATGCTTACATTTTGAAATCAATAAAAGCACAAATAGCTTAATAATGCAACTCAAAAGGATAAACCAGAACAAATCAAATCAATTTTAATGTCAATTAAAGCAGAAATTAATTAAATAGAAGCAAAGAAAAGAATACAAAGAATTAACAAATATAGGAGATGGATCTCTGAGGAGATAAGATAGGCAGACCACTGATCCAACTAGCCAAAAGAAAGGATGCAAATTAACAGAGAAACATATCAGATACCAGAGAAATTAAGAATAAGTGAATACTTTAAAAATACTCCATTAAGTTGGAAAATCTAAAAGAAATGAACAAATTTCTAGATTTATCCAAATTACAAAGGGGAGGGAATTATGTAATGATACTTCAACTTTTTTAAGTGCCCCCCCCCCCAAAAAAAGCCTCAGCAACAGTTTCATTTCCTTCTTGAATTTCTGCTGGCCAGAGTGACTTGCTATACTAATTGAACACACAAAAATTACTTTCTGAGACTAATGTTATTACATCCAAAATCCTAACAATATATGTAAATTCCACTAGGGGGTCAAACTTTGAGGAAGATATTAATGCTATCAACTACCCTAGATTGTCATGCTTTCAGAAAACCCAAGACAGCCACATGAATAGGCAGTACAGAGAGAAAGATTCTGAGACAGCTCAGTGTGCTGTCTATTTGAGATGGGTGCCAAATACAGAAATGAGGAACTCATTTTGAAGATATAGTTCAACTAAACTTCAGAAATTGCAGGTAAATACCTTGTATGTAACTATCATGTCATAAATGTATCTTCCTAAGAACTGCCTAGACAAATTTCCAGAACCATGTAAAATAAATCAATAGCTGTATTAAGCTATTGAGTTTTAAGATAGCAATGAAGCAATAAGGTTGGAATATTTCATGTTCATGAGCTACTTATATTGACTATATATATATACATTTTCCTGAAAAGTTGGTTCAAGCTTTGAGAAAACAAAATATTGTTTAAAATCTACTAAATAAAACATAGAATTGTTAATTTGGAAAAAACTCTAGTGTCTATAAAACTGAATTGCCCTGTACTAAATAAATCTGTGGAGATCAAAAGCAGATGAGTGTTTTCCCAGGCCTGAGAAGAAGAGAAGAGAAGATGGCTGGTGAAGGATATGACACTGGGGCAGGGCCAGGGCAATGACAAAATATTCTAAAGTTGGCTACAATGATGACTACATACTAAGCTAATTATGACATGTGAAGTTTACCTCCAAAATCAAGCTATTATCACCTCCGCTCCAATCCAATTTACCATGTAATCTGCATGTGAGTAGATGCTTTATCTTTGCTGAAAAAATTCCCACAGCAGTGGACCTTGAAGGCGTCTGGTAGATAGATAACTGAATGCATGAGAATAATGGGAATGAGGTTTCCTACTGTTTGAGAAAGGGCTTATACAAAGAGAAAAGAAAGTTCTGTGCTGTGCTGGAACTGGAGGTATTGAGATAAATCTGTGGTTTCTAGATATAAATATAGATAGTTGCTTGCTGGATAGTTTTTGTCAACTTGACACAGGCTAGGGTCATCTGGGAAAACGAAATCTGAATCAAGAAAATGCCTGCATAGGATTGGCTTGTAGGCAAGTCTGCAGAGCATTCTGATTAATATGGGATGGCCTCTGCATCAGCTCCTGCCTCCAGGTCTTCATCCTGTTCAAATTCCTGTCCTAACTTCCCTCTGGGATGAACTATGATTGGAACTATATGCTGAAATATACTCCGCAAGTTGCTATTGGTCATGGTGTTTTATCACATCAGCAAAACCCTAAGTTAGATGGCACTGTATTACATACAGTCTGTCTCAAGAGTATCAGTCTCTCTCCCTCCACCGTGTGTGTGTGTGTGTGTGTGTGTGTGTTCCTATCCTACCCAGAAAAAAAAAAAACCCTAGAATCAAAGGTATGTCAATAATAACAACATTTGTCTTGGATTCTAAATGCCACGGTACATCAATAAGAATCAGGTATTTTTCAAAGCAATTATTGATTGCAGAATTAAAAGTACATCCTATGGAACAACTCCCAAAAGGCAATATTCCAAAAATGACAGATTCATGACAAAGAAGGAGTCAGTTAAAATAACAGCAAATGATGAGATCTATCACTGTTTGAGTTTTAGAAGAAATGATAGTTAAAAACTATAACACCACAGAGAAAAAACTAAATATTTTTTAAAGGATGATGCATCTGGACCATTTTAACAAATTTCCAACTATAAAGCAGTAATCTCAGGAGTACATCCACATTTACTATTACTGAAAATTTAAATAAACACAGAATACTTTACTGTATATTCATAGTGCCATAGAAAGCAAGATAGTAGAAAACAGTAACTTACCCGAACTCTCCTGATCCTCTTCATCACCCATGTCAGAATTATTGCTTTTAGACATTACATGATCCTTGAACTTGGAAGGTCCACTTAAGAACAAAATAAACCATAAAAGTTGTGCTTTTATAACTATGATCATGTCTTAAAACTGCCATTAGTGTCTTTCCTAAGAAACTAAAAGTGATACAATAGGTCATCAAGAATGTGTTTCCATGCAGCATGAAGCAAGAACTGCGATTTGATCCCATAGAGTCAAATCTGATAAATACAAATTTATATAAATGAGAGAGAGAGACAGAGAGAGAGAAAGACAGCGACAGAGAGATTGACTGAATAAGTAGCTCAGGCCCTGGGCCTCCTTACTGTAGCCTAAACTGGTCTAGAATTTGGAATCCTCCTGTCTCAGCCTCTTGAGTGTTTGGATTATAGGCATCATCACCAAGCTCAGCTAGAATATTTAAAGTTAATTCATGAATCACTTATAAATTTAGTCAAGTCCAATAACAATATTCTTTCACACAAACAAGAGAAATCAGCAAGCATATCTTAATTTTAAAAGAAATCATCTACAAAAAATGAAATTAAACATGTAGCCCAAAAATCATCATAGTTGACTCAAGCTATGGTACTCCCGGGTTCCTTTCCTCCTCCAAGTCCTAATCACAACCCCTCAAGCAGTAAAGAACCCATAGTACTCCCTTCAAAGGTTAAGGTTTGTTCTCATTTACTAGTCTTGTATTTTTCTTTTAAGGTTTTAACAGTTCAGAGCTAAAACAAGCAGGTTTAATGTTAGTGGATATTTTAATAACACATCCACAAGTTCTGTGACAATCTTCAAAAGATAAAGTCCCATTTCCCTTTTCCTGACTGTGGTCTGGACTTGTGATGACTTGTTTCTAATGAACAGAAAACTATAACCGTGAGTAAAGAACTCCAGAGGGTAAGTAATTGAAAAGGCATTTGATACTATCCTCCCTCAGATCATTTGTTTTGTAGGAAGTCAGCTGCCACATTACAAGAAACAAAGGCCAACTACCAAAAGACAGCAAAGAATTGCAACCTTCAACCAACAGTCATGAGACATAAATGGATCCTCTAGTTGTAGTCAAGTCATCAAAGGGATAGAAAAGAAAAAGACACCTCCAAGGCCAAAACAGCTAGCTAAGCCTTGTCCAGATTTCTGGCCCCACAGAGAGTAAATAGCAAAAATAAATTATGTTTGGAAGTAACATAGAAATGGATACTTAGTACAGTGAGTTACTTCTATTTTCACTACACTATATACACACCTTTCTTCCCAAATTGAATTTTTAGGCTCCCCTGCATTGGAATTAGACTTCATTGATGATTTACGTGTATATTCCCCAGTATGAGACTTTAAATGAACATTCTGTGAAGTCATAACACTGTTTTGATACTTAGAGCCTCCTGTAGGTCTATGGGGAAAAAGAAAAGGTTAAAATTATTTTTCAAAAGTTCTTTCTTCTAGAAACAATATACAAATGTTTGTACAAGCAATATAAAACTAGCTACAGCAAGCATAAGTTCATCATGTTCAGACCTTAAGATTTAAAACTAGGTTCACAAAGGTATCTGGTCTACCAAGACTCCCAATTAAAAAGAAATAAAAATAGAGAAAACAGTACAGACCTGGCCTGAGAATGAGAAAGAGTGACGATGAGTGACACTGACTCTAATAGTCGATGGCATCTACTGTACAACTACATACCGATCATTCCCAGTTTTACAATAAGGAAACAAGTTCAGAGTGGTACTATTTCTCGGTGTCATCCAGCAAATTGCAGAGCCTAGATTTAATAACAACTTTGACCAAGTCCTTTATGCTTATTCCCCCTCTGAGTACTGAATAACAGACAAATTACTAAATTCCCAATGGGGAAAAGAAAAAAAGTTATATTGTAAATACAAAAGAAATTACCCAGAAATATCAAGACTTTTCTTCTGAGTTGGGTCTGCCTCGTTTTCCAATGGCTCACTCTGAGAACCAGAAATTTCATCATGACTAACACTTCTTCTAGAACCCTTAGTGTTTAAAGACTTCTGTACTCTTGAGCTGCTCTCTGTCTTCTGTCTTTTTGATGGAGAAGGTTTTTTCCCAGTATTCTTAGATAACTGACTTTTCCTAGTCCGCGTTTTTCCATTGTGATGCACCACTGACGATTTACTTTCTCTTGAAAAGCTTCTATCAACAGAACCTGAAAGATTCAATGACAACTTCAAATAGCATGTTTGTTCAAATGAAAAGATCAATGTCATTATATTTACATATAAATGCACATACCAATTTCATAAGCTAAATTTGTTTTCACATAAAAAATCTTATATTTTTTTCAGTTGTATTTATAGGACATGTACTAGATTTATTTGCTTTTTTTAAAGATTTATATATTATGTATACAATGTTTTGCCTGTATGTGTCCCTGCAGGCCAGAAGTTAGCACCAGATTTTTTTTTTTTTTAATTACAGGTGGTTGTGAGCCACCATTGGTTGCTGGGAATTGAACTCAAGACCTTTGGAAAAACAATCAGTGCTCTTAACCGCTGAGCCATCTCTCCAGCCCCAATGTACTAGATTTATTAAATTCACTACAAACTTCCTTAGTAATTTTGTCTCTGGCTCTACCCATTACTCACCTGACCATCTGTAATGATAAAGGTCAATTTAATAGAATCTAAATCTCCCAGGAAATGGGTCTCTGTGTATGCCTACAAGGAGGTTTCATGGATTGTGTTAACTAAAGTGAGAAGACCGACCCGCACACATGTGGGTGGCACCATTCCTCGGCTACCATCTTGGATCCTGGATGGCACAGGTAAAGAGAGGGTGCTGTTCTCTGTTTCCTGAGCATGGAGGCAATATAAGCAGCTAGCCTCCTGCGCCATACCTTAGCTTCCAGAACTGTAAGGCAAAATAAACCCTTTCTCTCTGAAGCTGCTTTTGTCAGAGTAGTTTGTCACACCAACAGAAAGTTGCTAAGACATCACCTGTCTTCTAACTTGGGTTTTGAGGATCAAAATCAAGTTATTCTGCTTGAAAGATGAGTATTGTGCCATCTCCCTAGTCTGAGTATCTTTTGAAAAACAAAATAGTTTCTTTGTACTTACCACTATACAAAATAAAACAGTTAATTACTGACTTACCTTTTAATTGTTTTGTAATCTAATTTTGAAAAAAGAAATTTAAAGATTAAGTATGATTAAATTATAAACCTTGATTACTTTGAATTAACCCTACCAGCTCATGTATCCATAAAACTTCTGATCAAACAAAACTTGGGATGACAGCAGGCAAAGTGAGAAATCAGAGATAGAAGAAAGCAAGCATTGTTAGCTTTGATGGCAGAGAAGGACCATCAGTCAAAGATGATGCGTAGCTCAACAGGATGGAAAGGTAAAGAGCAGAACTCTTACATACACACCAGAAACAGAGCTTAACAAAGATATTTTTTTCCGTCCTATGAAACTTCTGACTTAAAAATTATATAAGACTGAAAAAAAATTTAAGTGTGTTGTTTATTCTACTGTGTGGCAATTTGTAACAACAATGGAAAAATCACAATCAGTATAGCAACACATCAGAACATCATATTCATTAACCAGTCTTTACTGAAAATATTTATGAAGATATAAAGATTTGTGGCCATATTGGATAGAGACTTATTTTCTCTTCTACTTTCATCCTATATACATATGTATCTGTCAATCTACATACACACACAAACACACACACACAATATGTTAGCAGGAGAAAGCGTTTCATTAACTTGTTTATAGTCTTTCACTTCTTCATGTGTGTTTCTGTCATGGGATCTATTTAAATAAAAAGAGAGTGACTCTGCACTGAACTAAACCTAGAGAGATGGAACCCCCAAAAGGCTTCTGAATCTTTGTAGGCAGCTTTACTTTGCCTATCTCCCAAAGCTAAGCAACTATAAAATAATGAAAGAATACTCATACTTTGAATTTCTATTAACACTTACCAACAGGGGATATCTGCTTCTTGGGAATAGGTTTATTTCTTGCCTCTTCGCAATCTTCCATATTTCTTTTTGAATTTAGTTGTAATTTGTCAGTATTTGACATATTCCTCTTTTTCTTTTTACCCTGTCCCATATCAAGTTGCTCTTCAACTACTTTAGGCTTTGATACTCTTTGCTTCTTCTGTCTTATAGTCCTTTTGCTTTCAGATGTTTTTTTGGTATTCTCAGAATGTATTTTATTTTCTGTAGAACTATAATCACTTTCCAATTCATCTATATAACTAGTCCCCAGGATTTTTTCAACAGAGGGCTGAGATTTCTCTATTGGGGAAGCCTTATGAAACTGTGTGTCATGTATCAAAGACGAAGCTGACACACTATGAGGTTTTTCTCCCGGTTTCTTATCTTTAGCAGCTGCAATGTTTTCAGGAGATGGCAAGTGGTGGCTCTGATGTCTGTCTTTTCTTGGAATTTTCACCCAAGATTGACTTTCAAAACTTCTCCCCGATTCTTCAATAATAAATTCATCTTCTAACAATGTCCTGGCCTTTGGAGATGAGTGAGGTGAAATTGCTGCTGTGTGCCTAACACTGGAACTGAAACAAAACATGATTTTAACAGTTAAAGTAGCTGAAGTTTCATCTTTGTTTAATGAATAAAATATTCTATACAGGAAATGCAATCACTTCTTCTTGATTTTCTCTTAATTTTAATCTCCATTTTATAATATTAAGATCATAGAAATTTAAAGCTGGTCATTTACTTTGATGCCCCTAAATCAATAAACACACTAAAACCTTGAAATTCACAACTGTATAATTACAACCCAAGCGTATTTACTTACAATAGAAAGTGCATGCCATATCTATATGTTTGATGAAACTATTTGTACAGATATCTTCAATTCTTCATATCTAAAACATTAGCAATATTCAATATAATAAACCATCATATCTAATATTTTAAAAGAACTGATCTTGAATGGTTTATCTTTTTTATATCTGACAGAACTCTACTCATAATAGCACCAAATACACAGATGTTAAGTGAAAGTAATAATTATTCATATAAATGAACTATAACATATAAAATTTCATCTTAAGTTCCAATATCGCATGCTTATTTTCACACATATATCAATATCATAATAACAGTTCAGAACTAAGTTGTCTAGGGTACCACAGGCACAAGAAATCTAGTGCTATATAAAAGAAACATGATTCTTATTAAAAGCAGACAATGCCACACAATTTGTTGTTATGAGGTCAAATAATGTTATCCTGCTACAGCCTTCTTTCCCCACACAGCTAACCCTAAATTTATTTAGTAAGGAAGCAATATCATCTTTGTATATACTCAGTTATAAAAGGATTACAAACTTGCTAAAATATTCATAAAAGAACACATTTGTACATCTTAGGCAATTCACACATTTATTGATTGTTCTGGTTGGTGTTTTTGTTTTGTTTTTTATTTGTTGTTTGTAGAAGAGAGAGAGAGAGAGACAGAGACCATAGATTGTCCTAAGTGGGATATCTGTATGACATTCCCTTCTCTGTGGAAGTGAAAAGAATGTAAGAGCCAAAGGCAGCAGATGGCTACAATGAAACAATACCTTCCAGACAGGTGACAGCATACATAAGACCTGTGCAAACTCAAGCCAGTCAAGGTAGGCACAAAGGCCCTAACCAAGGAGCTACTGTCAACTCATAGCTGCTGGCAGAGAGACACTTGATTTCCTGGCCCTAGTAAGCAAACTATGCTCCAGTGGGAAGGTGGCGCATGTAAGAATGTATGTGCAGCACAGAATGGACTTGACAAGTGCTAAATAGAAGAGAGGAGGCCACAAAGCTGCTTGGGTAAAGAAGGAAAGAAAGGGAGGGTCTAGAAAGAGTGTGAAGAGTTGTAAAGATGAGGCATATGAATAAATGATCAAAACACGTTGTACAAAATTCTAATAAAAGAATTTATAATTCAACAAAAAGAAAATAAAAAGATTTCTATATTAATTAACAGAACACCCAGATACAGTTCACAGAAAGAGACAGAAGAAATGTCCAAAAGGACAGTTTTGTAATAACTTTACCTGGATTCACTTTTCCTCTTGACAGTTTCTAAATACAATGTTAAAAAACTCTTTCTAGATTGTGGTTGAATTTCACAGGTCAAATCTTGTGCTCTTTTCTGAGATGTTTCTGATGATGTCCCTTCTTGTCCTTCTGATACTTCTAATACATTGTTCTCTACTTCTGCTTTGTTCAAACTATCTTTACCTTCAAAGTTTAACCTGGAAAGTTAAAACGGTAAGACAAATCTCCATAAGCAAATTACACTTATTAAAAAATGTCTCCAAATAACAAAGTATCTTAAATAACCTATTTTTTTGTATCTTAAAGGCAAAAAGAAAGTTCTCAGAACTGGAACTGGGTTTATAATTCATCCATACTCTGCTATTCTAGAAAGGACCTAATACTGACCCTTGCAATCGTACATAATACGCAGGAAATATAAGTTGTTTCTTTCAAGAAGTTAAAGATAATGGGGTGGGGAGAATATAAGCAATGTATAATGATAAATAAAAATGTTAATGGAAATTATTTTGTATGATAACTAAAAAAGTTAAGTAAATCAAAGAAAACATTATCACAAAGAATACTTTGTCTTATTGTGTATGTGCATGCATGATATAAAAGGATGCACATGCCAAAACACGCACATGGACATTGGAGGACAACTTTGCATGATGTATAAGGATGCACATGCCAAAACACGTACATTGACATTGGAGGACAACTTTGCGTGATGTATAAGGATGCACATGCCAAATCATGCACGTGGGCGCTGGAGGATAACTTAGCATGATACATAAGGATGCGAAGGCCACAGCAAGCACATGGGTTTTGGAGGACAACTTTGTGGAGTTAGATTTCTCTTCTATCTTTATTTGGTTTTCAGAGATTGAACTCTGCTTAGCAGACCTGTACACCAGGTGCCTTAATTTGCTGAGCCATCTCAACAGCCCCACAAAGAAAGTATTTTCCACAGACTATAGAAAAGTTAAACTCCAAATTTGTTTGAAGTATACTTTAATGCTTTCCTTACTACTAATTAAAAACTAAAGCTAAGCAAAAAGCATTTGCTCTTTTCTCATGCTATCCCTTAACTCATTTATTCTTTTTTTTTACCTTTTTTAAAAAAATTATTTTTTTTAAATTTATTTATTTACTAAGGATTTCTGCCTCCTCCCCGCCACCGCCTCCCATTTCCCTCCTCCTCCCCCAATCAAGTCCCCCTCCCTCATCTGCTCGAAGAGCAATCAGGGTTCCCTGACCTGTGGGAAGCCCAAGGACCGCCCACCTCTATCCAGGTCTAGTAAAGTGAGCAGAACTCATTTATTCAAACCTACATAAAAGGCTAAATTAACATTGCAATATTAGGATAAAATTAAGCAGAATTGTTATTACTTAAACAGAAATTACCTTTTCCTGGTTTTAAGAGAAATGTCTGTATATGAAGATTTAGTATCTATTGAATTTCTTGAGTTGTAAGCCCCTCTCTTTTGGCTAAGAGATGAAATAACATTCTGCGATTCAGACATTTTCTCATATAAAGGAACAACAGGGGAGCCGCCAGGTAAGTAAAGGTGATACTTGGTGGCACTGTGGGATCCATTTGTTTTTTTACTTGACATGTTGTTTGAGTTCGCTGGACTTTCAGAAACATCAGAAGTCAGAATTTTCTGATGAACTTTATTAGCCTGAACTAAAAGAAAAGTATATGATGACAGCTCTCAGTAGCTGAAAACAGTATTTAAATTAAACATACTTTTAAAAATCAACCACAATTAAAATAAAAAGCTTTCAGAAGACACACAGTTTATTAAGCTTAGAATCAGAGGCTTATAATTAAAATACCTATGTCTTAGGACATTCTGATTTACCAGATTAATGAAGTGAAACATGTACTTGATTCATACCATCTGAGGTTATGGAAACACAGAAATCCTCAAACACAGAATCTCCAAAATTTATGCCTAAAGTCTTGAGATACAAAGTTTGAATAGCACAAAGTTTAAATACAAAGAAGTTAGAGAAATTATGAGATTCTGTTATGCACAGACTAAGAGCAAGTAAGTTAATTTGGCTAGACAAACATACACACATATATAACAGGCATACATAAAACAAGTGCATACATGTATCTATATACGTATATAGAGAGAATATACATTCATGCTTATATAAAATCACCTTCAGTCTTCAAATGTCAAAGAAAAATGACTAGCTAGTATTCATATTAACTCATTGCTCTTAAATGCAAAGATTTAAAAATTTAAATACAACAAAAAAAGGCTTTTGGTTCAGTGGTAAGATGTCATTTATTTCTCCCTCTTAATGTAACTAAATTCCTTAGAAATAATCAACCAACTATAATAGGCCTCTGAAAACTGAGCCAAACTAGGGTACCTACCTAGAAAACTGAAGACTTAAGGAACAATTCACTGTGTAGCCTCTTGGGTCTCCTGTTCGCTTCCCATTTGTCCCTGGACTAGGCTCCTGAGATGTCTGCAACCCAGAGCCCACATTCTCTCAATAAGGTGAGGGAACACAGACTAGAGGGAGACTCCAACCCTTGCCATGATGGCTCTGTTCTGCCTGCAGTGCAGTGCAGCAAAGTACTAGGTTGTACTAGGGAACAAGGGAAGTGTTATGGAAGAAAAGTCCTTATCAGATAATTAGCCTGCACACATTTTCCACCATACCTTAGTTATCCTTTCACATGCTATAGTGCCCTTCAAACTTTAGCATTTTTGAAGGGCATATATATGTATGTTTGTTAAGGAAGACAGAAATATAAATGATTATAAAAGAATTATTACAGAAAGCCCATTCTAGTTAGAATTTTAACAAAGAGAACAAAATTAATATGTTATTATGAATATATTCAACTATAGAAAAAAAGAGTTGTTTAATCAAAATAGGAAACTAGGCAACTTACAGGTAAGAGTCACACATTCTACAATTAAAATAAAGTATTAAGTTCCATGTTTAAAAATATAATTTCAGCTGTCATTGTGGCACAAACCTTTGGAAGAAAAGGCAAACTGAATTCCTACTTAGAAACCAGCCTGATAGCCATAGTGAGTTGTAGAGCTACATAGTATGATCCTGTCTCAACAACAACAACAACAATAGTAGTAGTAGTAATAATAATAATTTCAGGACTGGCAAGATGGTTCAGGGAGTAGAGCTGCTTACCAAGCAAGCCTGACAACCTGAGTTCAATCATGGGAACCTATGTGAATATGGAAGGAGACCCACCTCCACACAGTAATTCTCTGCCCTCAACATGCATGCCATGGCATGCAAATTAGAGTACACACATGAATGTGCAAACAATAATAAAAAAAATTAAATATATATCTTTATATTTTTAAGCCCAAAGTCTAGGGATCAGTTAGAAACATATATGACACAAAGGGCAACCATGTAACCATGTCACATACGTTTATATTTTTTAAATTTATGAGCACCAATGAAGGTATGGAAAAGTTCAAGCGTTACCATACCCCCCCCCCCAAAAAATGATGGAACCAATTACATTTTTCTTGTAAATCTTTGAGTCTATTAGCTCAAACAGAACAAACAGAATACTACTTTTCTAATTTATAACAAGAATAAATGTAAAAAACAAAACAAACAAAAAACCAGCACGTATCCCAGAATAAGGAAGAGAGGAAAGGGAAGAAAAATAAAGCCTGACCACTAGCAATTACACCTAGTCTGACCTTGATCTTGTCACCTGGCACAATGTGTGCACCACCTTTGTCATCAGCTTTTTAATTGTCATGAGTCTACTACCAACCTGATCCAAGAGTGGCTTCACTTGGTTCTGCAGTAACTTGTGGAGAAGCATCTTTCCTCCCTGAAGAAACTGGAACTGATTGTGAATGTGATGCCTGGCACTGAGCAAAAAAGAAATACATTTGATATACTTTCAGTATGTTGTCAATTCTGATTAGATGGGGGTGGTTAGACAACAAAGCAGCTGGCAATGTATACTAAAGAACTACTGAACAGAGAGGAAATAAACAATCTATGGGCCATGAAATAATATCTCTTAAGAGTTAAAACACCAGAGTTAACACAAGCAACAAACAATTACAGTAACAAAAAAAGCAAGTTCATGAAAATGCATAATGATGTCATTAAGGTAAAGTTAAAAAATATAAAAGGAAGTATGTAACAATACAATATTTAGGAACTCACTCTGTAACAAAGTGTTAACACAGCATACCTAATCACTGAGAGGGCTCTCTGAAAGGGCTAGACATTGCCAAGCATCTACAGACTGGATTTTACAATGCTTCTTCTTTAACAAGCGGTAAGGTTGAACCTGATATTGTAACTGGTCTTAACTATTTTACAAAACATGATTATGGTAAACACTTGTTTTGTTTCCTTCTGGGATTATACTTGATAATTGGGAATGTCCATGGAACCAGAACCCAATAATGGACTTGTGTCAAAAGGCTTTCCCAGGGAGAAATAACATAAACATAATTGTCTCTCACTAATGGTACACTAAATGTTGTGAATGATAGGCAAATAAATAAAAATCCTTGGCTTTGAATCACACATACTCTAAGCCTGTATAATACTCTATTGACACAGTAGAAAAAAAACAAATGAGTAGAGAGATGGCTCAGAGGTTAGGAGCACTGGCTGCTCTTCCAGAGCTCATGAGTTCAATTCCCAGCAATCACATGGTGGCTCACAACCATCTATGATAAAATCTGGTGCTCTCCTCTGGTATACAGGCATACAAGCGGACAGAATGCTGTGCATTCAAAATATATAATAAATCTTTAAAAAAAATGAGGTCAAAGTTCAAAAGTATTAAATTAAGAGTCAATGCAGAAAATAATAAATTCAGAAGAGCATAGATTAATTAATAAATGTGTATGCATATTACTCTTCAGACTTAACATTCATGGTTCGTAGGATAATATAGGAGGCTGTACATGTGCATATATATCTTGATCAAGATCATAGTTATAAAAATTTATCAAAATGTGCATTTAAATCAGGCAAGCTAGTGTACAGCTATAATCACAACACCTAGGAGACAGAGAATAGTCAGGAGTTCAAAGCCATCCATGGATACACAGCAAGTTCAAAGTCAGACTAAGCTACATGAGACCTTGTCTCAGAAATCTTTTTAAAGCTAAACACAATGGTACACATCTGTGATCCCAGCACTCAGTAAACTGAGGCAAGAGTCTCATGAGTATAAGCTCAAGTGAGACAGGCTCTCAACTTAGTTAATAATTTTATTTTATTCATTTATTTATTTATTTATTTTGGTTTTTCAAGACAGGGTTTCTCTGTGGCTTTGGAGCCTGTCATGGAACTAGCTCTTGTAGACAGCCTGGTCTCGAACTCACAGAGATCCGCCTGCCTCTGCCTCCCGAGTGCTGGGATTAAAGGCGTGCACCACCATGACCCGGCTTAGTTAATAATTATAAATACATAATATATGCATACATACCAAGGCCAGAAAAAGAACCATCTGAACCTGGGAGAAATACTCTTCTCAGAAAAAGAGAAGCTAGATTAATGCCTGTACCTATCAGCAAGAGAGGAAAAACCTCCCTAAGTCAGCAAACAATAAAGAACATTTTTCCCCCTCAAACGTGAGGAAAATTAGTAGCAGGTTATATACTGTGAAACCTGTCTTCATTATCTCTGAAAGCTATAAAACTATAATCTGTTTACATTTTATGCTTAACTAGCTATCACAGTAGGGTGTTGCTGAACTGCTATAACATACTTGATTCCACCTAGAAAAGGAACCTCAAAAGTTAAGACCAATAAAAACATTTTAAGGCAGGAGAGGAGACCAATATTCGTGACTATGGATGCAAGCATTTCAAACATTAAGCTAAATTTAAGTCAAAACAAAAAGTCAATTCGTTATACACATGTATAAAACTGTCAAAGTACAAATTTATTGCTTCAGACTTTAATGATCGAGTTCCCAGGAAATTTAAAAGTTGACTTTAATTTTCAAAAATCAATATAATTTCTCATATTATAAAAAGTCTCCCAAATTCTGAAAAATATGGCTGTCTACATTCCTTAAAACTAAAGGCAATCTATACAGGTACAGCATCAGGATCATGAACTCAAGGTCAGCCTAGGTAGTATAGCTAAGATCCAGGTCAGCTTGTGGTAGAACACTGCTTATCAGTTTGGTTTTTTTTAAAGATTTTATTTATTTATTATGTACACAACAGTCTGCCTTCATGTATGCCTGCAGGCCAGACGAGGGCACCAGATCTCATTACAGATGGTTGTGAGCCACCATGTGGTTGCTGGGAATTGAATTCAGGTCCTCTAGAAGAACAGTCAGTGTTCTTAACCGCTGAGCCATCTCTTCAGCCCTGCTTATCAGTTTTTAATGAACTTTAATTTACATTATGCTTCCAAATAATATCTCTTGGGCCACTAGCTTCAAAACCTTTACCTCTAGGAGTGTGGCTCAGTGATCCAGCCCTGTGTTTGGCATGTGCCCCTGGGTTCAAACACATACTTAAAAAAATTCTACCTAAAACTGTTCTACTTTTGGATGACAAATCAACCTAACCTTTTAAGGCACATAACCAACCAGAAGCAGTTTTTTCTGGACGGTGACCAGTCCTATCAGTCTTCCAAAAACAACCACACTTGTTAATCTGATCAGGAACCTTAAAGCTACCCATTTCCCTCAAACTCTTAAGTATTAGTATAAAAGAAATTAAAAGACTTGCTATAATTTTATGGATTTTGTCCCAATTTCAAATACTAGAAATGTCAAAAAAATTATAATAGCTCAAATTTTATAAAATTCAAGAGAAGCATAGGATTCTCTTTAAAGAATCAGATAACTAAAATGTAAATAAGAACACTGTTCAACATTCATTACCGGACCAAACCTCCTTCAGTTCTCCTGTTAGACTTACCTCTTTGCCTGCCGACTGACTGCGAGTATCTTTCGCTTTAGGTGTGAAAGAAAGCAATGACTCTGTAGAACCTGCAATTAAAACGATTGACAAGATTTAAAAAGTATTTAAAAAATAAAAAGTGGAATAAAACTTTTAAAATCTCAGCACTCAGGTGAAAGAGGCAGGCAGATCTCTGTGAATTCAAAGGTAGCCTCATCTACATACTGAGACCCTGTATGGAAGAGAGATCCTAACTGAACAATTAAAATGGCTCTATATCAGTGGCTCTCAACTTGTGAGTCATGAAATGACCTTTTCATAGACCACTGGAAAACACAGACATTTCTGAGTCATAACAGCAGTAAAATTACAGTTATTAAGTAGCAACAAAATAATGCTATGGTTGGCTGTCACCACAACATGAGGAACCATATCAAGGGGTCACAACATTAGGAAGGTTGAGAACCACTGCTCTATATGACCTGTGATGAACTATCAATTGACTCCTCAGAATACAATTAGCCTAAAGAAATGGAAATATCAATGTAGTAGTCAAATGTTCCTACAAATATCAGAAACTGAAAAGCAAACAAAATTCCTAAAGAAAAGAAAATTCTGCGCTTTCAGTCTGTAGATGTGTTTTCCTCTGTCCCACTTCTTGTGCTGTCAGAATACCTGAGGCTGAATTAGGGGTGTAGCTCAGTAACAGAGTGCTTGCCTAACAGCCACAACACCCTGGGCTTCATACCCAGATCTGCAAAATAAATACAGCAAACTGAATGATTGAAAAAGCACAGAAATTTGGTATCTAGCAAGAGTCTTTATTTTATCCCAAGCAAGCAAGACACAGAGTTGACAAAAGTTCCCAAGGCCTTTTAAGGATAGCTTAAATTCATTCATGAGGACAGAAGCATTACAATCTAATCACACCTCAAAAGTCACATCTCTGAACACTACTGCACTGGAAATCAATGTTCCAAGCCATCTTTTGGGAGATGACATTAAACCTCTCCACTCAGCTACTCATGCTCAGCCTCAGAACATATTTTGTACTACCTAATTCATCACTTTGAAATAAACAAATGTAAATTACCAAAAGTACCTCAAACTCTTAATTATCCCTTACACTTTTTCCCATATAAAAATGCTTGGATCTCTAAGTATCTAATTTTGTGTTTTAAGCAGACTTTGGAATATTTTCTTGAGTATAAACACAAAATTTTACTTACATTTCATATGCACATTATACACAAAGACTGGAGTTAATTTTGTACATAAAACAAAGTTTCATAGTAATTTCCATGCATGATATTTATATCCAAAGTCCTGGATTTCCAAGCATTTATGATTTTAGATTTTCGCAACGGAAATATTTTCTTTTGTGCATTGTAACTGATCTATGGAATTTCAAATTTTAGGAATCTAGTGTAAATTAAAGATGACACATTACGGTAGCTATATCAGTAATATTCTATATTACTCAATATACCAAAATGTACAAGGATTGGTTATGTATACTCAAAGTTATAAAGAAATTGCTCTATATACTTAAATGTTACATATCTGCTACATTAGACATTAGTGATAAATATCTATTTTCATCTACACCAACTCTGAAAGACCATTTAGAAATGAAGCCTTACTTTGTTCATCAAAATAGTCTTGTAAGACTTCCAGCACATTCTGGCCTTGCTTTGCATGAATGTTGGACGCTCTAATAAAAAAAGAAAAGGTAAATATATCATTTCTGCAAGATGTTTGTTACTTATGTTATTGTCTGCTTGAAAGCCCATATAAAATGTTAACTTTAAATAGGAAAAAATATCTCTACTATTTTAACACAAGAAAAACACCTAGTAGTTTGAGTCCATCAAACACCTTATTTGTATGCAATATTAAGAGAAGTTATTTTATTATCTACATATATCTACTCAAAGTTGAATATCTGTATCTGAAAATGGTTTGGACACTGCTATATTTCAATAGTAATTCCAGTTTTTGAAGAAAATAAATTGATTCTGAAATACTTTGCTTTTGTTTTGGGAACTAAGCCCAGGATTCCTAGCATTATACTACCATTGAACTATATTACAGCACTTAATGCTTTTTTAGTGAAGACTTTATAAACGCCAGTTTCAACACCTTCAAGCAACATTATCTTCTCTGCAACTTTTCCAGTGCACTTTGGATTGAACAGCATTAATTTTTAATTAACCAGAAATTTATAAATGAATAGAAATAGCTTAAATTAAATATTGTGTTCATTTGATGTTACCATATAGCTAGACCATATTTACTTTTTCTGGTTCTATGTCCCACTCATGTGTTTATGTTTTGACATGACTAATGTAATACGATTTTGTCTCAACTTTATTTTGTGTCTGCCTAGACACCTCTCAGCCTTCCCAACCTCCAATATCCACATCTACCTTGGCATCACTTTTGGAACTGTCATAACCCTGACTCTGGTCCAGATATATTTACTGAAATAAATGATCTTTATGGAAGTTTAAAAAATAAAACTAAAATAATCAAGAGAAAATATAAATCAAAATAACTGTCATGTAGTATCTGGAATAATATTGTTAAGCTTCAAATCCCTCACTAATTACCACACCGTACCCACCCCCAGGGACCCCTGAGCCAGCACTGATGTAATTGTGGTTTTGTCTATAAAACACTGTACCCCTGAGCTTGATCATCAAAAGACTTCTCAGAGGCATGAGCCTGCTCTTTGTCCATTAAAAGAACTTAAAACTTTTAACTGGTTTAATCAGTGTGGTTATCAGTAACTATCTTGCACAAATCATTTCAGTTTCCATGTCTGTCTGTCTGTGTGTGTGTGTGCACGCACACAATTCTACCCAATGCATTACCTCTATAGGTTCACTATCACAACCATAGACAGGATACTGAATGGTTTAGTCACCATAAGGATCACTGTATTCTCTTTCAGAAATATATATACTTCCCTCTGACTTCCGTCTTTCCTTACCTCATTCTATCATTCCTAACCCCTGTACAACAATTATCCATCCATTGCTGTGAGACAATGGTCTTGTACCCTGTCACTTATATTGTATTGTTTTAATAAAACAGTGATTAGCCAGTACCCAGGCAGGAAGTATAGGAGGGGCAACCAGGCAGGAAGTAGAGGCAGGGCAAAAAGAAGAGAATTCTGGGAATGGTATAGGAGGTCCTTCTATATTTGTGTTGATAAAGAAACTGCCTTGGCCTTTTGATAGGGCAGCACTTAGGAAGGAGGAGTAGACAGAATAGGAAGAAGAGTCAGAAAGCCAACATGGAGCTGCCAGGTCAGACATGCTGAATCTTTCCCGGTAAGCCACAACCTCATGGTGAACACAGATTAATAGAAATGGGTTAGATCAAGATGTGAGGATTAGCCAATAAGAGGCTAGAGATAATGGGCCAGGCAGTGTTTAAATGAATACAGTTTCTGTGTGATTATTCTGGGGGTTAAACTAGCCAGGCCAAAACAAAGGGACCTCGCTCCATACAACATGGGAAGAGGAAAGATGCAGTCTGCAGTTGTTATCTAGACACAGAGGAAGCAAGATGAGAATGCCTCACTGATAAAAGTTACCAAGCCATGTGGCTAACACAGACACAAATTATGAGCTAATGTAAGTTATAAGAGTCAATAAGAAGCCTAAGCTAATAGGCCAACCAGTTTATAATGAATGTGGACCTTTGTGTGTTTCTTTGGGACTGAACAGCTGCAGGACCAGGTGGGACAGAAATCTCTGTCAACACTTCATTTCTAAATTTCTGTCATTTAAAAAATAATCATCCATAGAAATGGGACTGTATAGTATTGTAATATTTTTCAACAACTTTTTTTTACTCAGTATAATTCTCTAGGGAGTAATCTAAGTTATTGGAATAATGAACTGTTCATTCCAATTATTGCTGAATAATATTCCATGATAAGAATATATCATAGAGTTTAAATATTTACCTAATGAAGGACATCTGGATTTTGATGAGCATAATTTAGGTATGCAGCTCTAAAGAGGGTTAATAAACTTTTGCTTAAAAATTACACTAATCTGGGGCTGGAGAGATGGCACAGCAGTTAAGAGCACTGGCTGCTCTTTCAAAGGTTCTGAGTTCAATTTCCAGCAACCACACAGTGGCTCACAACTATCTGTAATAAGATCTGGTGTCCTCTTCCAGCCTGCAGGCATACATGCAAGCAGAACACAATACATTATAAATAACATTACACTAAACCTTTAACCTTTCATTAATATCAAAAACACAAATTCCATATAATTTCTTATATGGGTGACTGCACTTCAAATTAATAGCTAAATAATATATAAGCCTTTTATGATATAATCTCTTACTTTATTATCCAATTATAAATAATAGTTTTGCCCATTTGCCCATTAAGTAATCTTACTGGTAAGTACAGAAAAAAAAAACCTTTCAAACAAAATACAAGCTCTTTATGATCCAAAAACTTACTGAAATAAGTATAATTCACTATTTATCAAAATAAGCATATTTCACTAATATCACCATTATCATCTTACCATAATAGCACCATTCCGTGCTAATAATTCAATGTTCAATTCTTCTTGTCCACAATTCTATATAAGCATTTTTCTTACGTCTACTAAGTTATTGCATGACTTGTATTAATAGTTCTCTCATATAAAATAATTAAAAACCAAACAATCAGTGCACATAGAAATCAATCAGTCAAAGGTAACAGATTTTTCTATCTTCAATATAAAAAAACAGTTTCCAAAGATGAAAATAAGTTGTCTTAAAAGTTCAAGTATAAGCATGTCACCTGGAAGGCCGGCAAAATCTTCTGTGGTAATTCTTTAGATGATTCTGAAAGAAAAGTTAACTATCAATTTTTTAAACTATAATCAAATATAATTCATCTTCAAAATAATTCCAGTACAATATAAGATGAAGAAAAATCATATTTTTTCATTTACTCTGTTATCAAGTATCTGTCAATTGTCCCATTAATACTATAAAGATTTTAGGGAGGACAAGATAGCTAATTAGGAGCTGCTTTCCCATAATACAACCTTAATGACATGAGTTTGATCCCTAGTTAAGTTAGGAAAAAAGAACTGACTCCACGAAGCTGGTCCCTGATACACATGCCACATGAGTGCACACACATACTAAATGAAATAGCAAGACATAAAACAACAATAAAAATGGATTAGAAAGCCATTTGCAAAAACACCCAACAATTTTCTGAAAGACGGAAAACAGAGGAGGCATGATAAATAATGAAAAATAACAAACGTAAAATATTATATATTAATATATACTACATATAATATCCTTCATTGGATATATTAATGTAATATATATGTGTGTGTGTATATATATATATATATATTTATTGTGCACTCAGTGAAGGAGTTTAATCTGCCCAAAAGAAAGTCACAGAGATGTGGAACAAGAACTTGAGATAAGACAGAAAGAATAAGACATGCAAACAGTAGTAGAGCAATTCCCCGGCACAGGGGTGCTCATCTGCAGTCCCAGAACTTGATGTGCCTAAGCCAGAGGATTTCAACTTTGATATCAACCTGGGTTGTGTCAAACAGTGAGACTCCGTCTCAATAAAGGTGGATAGGAGAGATTTAAAAAAACACATCACAAAACTGACAGGATGACATGGTATGGTTAAGGGGAAGGTTTTTATTGTAGATATGAGTTACAACAGCCAGAGGCATCTTGAAAGAGCCCAGAGCAGAGAAAGAAAGAAGATGTGAGACCAGCTAGGGCTAGATAATAGAGAAAACATAGTGAGAGAACCAGGAGCAGAGACAGTTCTCAGTTAAAATCTAGAAAATATTCATTTGAAACTACAACCTGCCAACTTCAACCTATCCTTCAGTTGATCTCAACTTGGTTTTCTTCCACCGAGACTATAGTCCACAGGAAAGAAAAATTGTACAACACAACTGGATTCGCCAACATCTATTTGGAGTGAATGGCATTCTGTTGTAGGATGCTTAGCAGAATCTTTGGTCTCTATCCAGTAGGTACTTAGGCACCTTGTTAGCACTCCCTCATCCTCCCTATCCAAACCCAAACCCACACAGCAGAAAAACAAAAGTTTCTTTGGTTATAAACAAGTATGCCTAAGGTAAGAAATGCCCTTGAAAACACTTAAGTGAACACGAATACCTTCTCTTCTCTGCCCTTATCTTCTAAAAAGACAACACATTGCTATCAGTGTAAACTCAAAAGAGTGGTAGCTTTATATAGGTATTTGATAACGCACAACAAACATCTGGTAAGTTTTGTTGTTTTGTGGCTTTAATGACTTTTTCCTCTGATCACATACAGTGTAAACTATATATGATTTTACAGAATGCACACTATAGTGTCTTCTCATACGTGTTCAAGCATACATATACAGCTATATAATAGGAGATCATCGATGAAGATTTTCTTAAAAAGATAGAGAACTGCTAGGTTAGGGCATAGTAATCACATAAAATTTAAAAGACTAATGAATATCAATGTGTCAAGAAACATAAAGTGACAAGTTCTGGTCCAAGTCAGACATTCAAAGTTGGCACCTTTTTAAAAAATGATTGTCTTAAATAAAAGCTTTAACAATAACAGATGTCCCATTAATATTAGAAACTACACGTAATAGCATTTTGACAAAAAGTATAACTTCAGAGGGTTTTATTTGGTTGGTTTTTGCTTTAGGGAGAAATTAATACTCAAGTATTTCCAGACCATCAAGACGGACTTGTACAGTAGTAAGGAGTATTTGGAAGACTAGGAAATAGAGGCTAAAATGTAGAACGGGAACAGTCTCTTCAGAAATAAAAGCAGGCATAGACGAGACTATGGTGGGAAACCTTGAGACTAATAGTCCAGTTACTCCAGCTGCTGGTCCACAACCACATCTGGTTTGTTACCTGTGCTGCTTTCAACCCACTCCTGACCAGCCGCTCACAGTACCCATCCGACACACCCCTGATCACCCCCATTGCACTCACCCCGACCAGCCGCTCACAGCACCCACCCCCGACCAGTCGCTCACATCACCCTCGCCTGACCAGCCGCTCACATCACCCTCCCCTGACCAGCCGCTCACATCACCCTCCCCTGACCAGCCGCTCACAGCACCCACCCCAAATCAACCCCAGAGCACCCACCCCGAGCCACCCGCCCGGCGTCCGGACTGCTCGACCGCAGGGCCGCCGCTTCTGCTCACAGCCAGGGTCCAGACCAGCACTTACCAGATGGAAGGAGGCCATGTTTCCGGCCCACAAAGCCCAACTGAGGCCTGGGAGCGAAACCCCAGCAGGCCAGGGTTCCAGGTGAGTCAAGAAAAAAGTCGTCCGCCCTGAGTCAGACTGCGGACGGAAGCCGCGGCCCAAGAGCCTCGGGTTCCGCACTTCAAACTAGGTCCTAAATAAACAGGATTCAACAGAGTCGCGCTTGCGCAAAACGCACTGCGCAGCCTCTAAAACTCTGGCCGTTATTTGCGTTAGAGTCCCGCCCTTCATCCCGCCCCCGAGCCAGTCCAACCTATCAACCCGCCTTCCTCAGGTCGCTCCGCCTTCCTCAGGTCGCTCCGCCTTCCTCAGGTCGCTCCGCCCTCCCACCCCGCGCCTTGGCTTCCAGCGGGCCGTCTCTCCCTCCCGCCCGTCGCCCCGCCTCCCGCCCGTCGCCCCGCCTCCCCCCGTCGTCCCGCCTATAGCCCATCGCCCCGCCTCTGCCCGTCGCCCCGCCTCTCTCGCCCGTCGTCCCGCCTCTCGCCCGTCGTCCCGCCTCTCGCCCGTCGTCCCGCCTCTCGCCCGTCGCCCCGCCTCTCTCGCCCGTCGTCCCGCCTCTTGCCCGTCGCCCCTGGTTTACAAAGCGAGTTTCTAGACAGCCAGGGCTACAGGGAAACCTGTTGGTCTCGGAAAAAAACAAAAGGAAAAAAAAGAAGGATTAGAGGTGGAAATTGCAGACGTGTTGAACAGATTACACTACACAGATTCGTCAGCTGCAGCCAAGCCAGCCCTATACGCTATCTCTGAAAATAATAGCAAGAATAATGTCTTCTTTTTTCGAGTATGTGGAAATCATTTATGAAGTATCATTGCAGACAAAATAATCTGCATAAATATATACACGTATACGCATTAGCAGAGCGACTTATTAAGGAAAATCGGCTGCTTCAGTCTTATGAAAAATTAAAATAATGGCCCAGATTGGAAAACAAGATTAAATCGATGATCTGAGGACTATCCTATACCACTTCTTGGTCGCCTAAAGTCACGTAGTTGCAACTGTAGCTGATCTATACCCTGAAAAGACAAAATGTCCTTTAAAAGCAAATCAATATGAGTGAATGGGTGTGAGGGTTTAAGTGATGTCTCTGGTCAAGAGCGCTTGCAGCACTTTCAGAGCAAAGTTCCGTTTCGAGCATCCAAACCTCACCTCACAACCATCTGTAGCTCTAGTTCCAGGGCATCCGACCCCCTCTTCCGACCTCAGCCAGCACCAGGCATGCACGTGATGCCTACATGCAAACAAAACACTCGTACCTATAAAGTAATTTTCTTTTATTGGAGATCGTTTTAAAATGATGGGGTTCTTTACAAGCTAATTGCGCTCTGGGCCGACATCTGCCAAGCTTGCCGGCCAGATCCGCCAGAGGGCAGCAGAGGTGCAGCAAACCTAACAGGCTGAAATGTATTTCTTAATCCTATTCTCCAATGGAAAGGGGCAGAATCCAGGCAACTTATACCTAGTACAACAGCAACAACTAGATAAACCTCAAAGAGGAGTCAGCTAATCCTAGCAACTGAAATAGTCTTTCTCCTATGTTGGAAACAATTTTGACACTGTTGTCCTCAAATGCAACGGGGTACTCTGTGGGTATTTTGAACAAAAGCTGTGGCCAAATAGAAGTATACGATGCTGAATTGTTCAACGTGCAGACACTGTTTGCTGAAGAAGTAGTTGAGAGGGAGTCTAGAGAGTCAGACAGAAAGTAAAGGATAAAAAAAATGGAGTTTTGCTTTGAAACCTTGGGAACCAACAAGCATAAACAATCTCTAAACTCCATCCAGGAGAATATATAAAATTGACAGTAAATCTTTGAGTCTCCCAGCTATTAAAGACAGAAAGAGCATCATTAATACAGGGGGTTTAAACATTCTGGTCAATGATGCTGGCCATGGTGACTAGGAAGTTTGACTCCCTGCCCCCCACCTCTCCATGCTATGCTGATAAAGAAAACCTGAAGACCTCTACACAGACGAAAAATATTCTGTCCCCCTCAGAGTATGAAGCTCTTGAAAGTCCTGTGAAACTTTCAGAAAGGTCACACACTGAAAATGATTGACCAGGACAGCCACCACCCTTTCGTCATCAAAATGCTGAAGTCGGCCAGGGAGTGAGGAGAGTGGAGACCACCAGGAAGAACATATATGGTTTCTAGAGACCTCACCAAACTTACAGCTCAGAAAGCCACAAAGGGGGGAACCGGGACCTGGAATCCTCCACATCATCAAAACCAAGCAGCTGGAGCACTTTACCTGCCTGACTGACAGGAAAGGCAGCTCAGAGTTTAGTTTTGAACTCTGTGACGACAACAATCATTGTATATATAATCATACTTGCCTTGCACATAAGTAATTTTGAGATTTTCCTGATGTCTCACTTGGGAAATGCCACACTATGTCCTATGTTGAATCATCTTTAGGTATTTGTTAATTCAAAATTACTATAGGAAACCATAAATGATGAAAATGCCAAACTTATATAGGCAGTACATAAAAATAAGAGATTGTGTAAAAGAGGAAATACAAAGAAAAACTGCCAGCAGAGATATGGGTCAAAAATGAAACATTGATGAAATGCTGAAAGAGGAAAAACTTTCCTTATATTTAAAAATATCACTCTTAGGAATATACCCAAGAGAGGCCTTATCATACAACAAAAGTATATGCTCTACTATGTTCATAGCAGCATTGTTTGTAATAGCCAGAACCTGGAAACAACCTAGATGCCCTTCAATGGAAGAATAGATGAAGAAAGTATGGAATATATACATATTAGAGTACTACTCAGCAGTAAAAAACAAGGACTTCTTGAATTTTGCATGCAAATGGATGGAAATAGAAAACACTATCCTGAGTGAGGTAAACCAGACCCAAAAAGAGGAACATGGGATGTACTCACTCATATTTGGTTTCTAGCCATATAAACAAAGGACATTGAGCCTATAATTAGAGATCCTAGAGAAGCTAAATAAGGAGAACCCAAAGAAAAACATATAGGCATCCTCCTGAATATTAACCTTCATCAGGCTATGAAAGGAGACAGAGACAGAGACCCACATTGGAGCACCGGACAGAAATCTCAAGGTCCAAATCAGGAGCAGAAGGAGAGAGAGCACAAGCAAGGAACTCAGGACCGCGAGGGGTGCACCCACACACTGAGACAATGGGGATGATCTATCAGGAACTCACCAAGGCCAAGCTGGCCTGGGTCTGAAAAAGCATGGGATAAAACCGGACTTGCTGAACATAGCGGACAATGAGGACTACTGAGAACTCAAGAACAATGGCAATGGGTTTTTGATCCTACTGCACGTACTGGCTTTGTGGGAGCCTAGGCAGTTTGGATGCTCACCTTACTAGACCTGGATGGAGGTGGGGGTTCCTTGGACTTCCCACAGGTCAGGGAACCCTGATTGCTCTTTGGGCTGATGAGGGAGGGGGAGGGAGAGGGAAATGGGAGGCGGTAGCGGGGAAGAGACAGAAATCTTTAATAAATAAATAAATTTTAAAAAAATTTTAAAAAAAGAAAAAATAAAAATATACTAATGTTTGCGAAATGAAATCTAATCTGAGACACGTCCGAGGTTCAGATAAAATTTCACCAATTCTATGGTCAGTGAGGGACTGTATTTATCTAGGACTGGTTATAAAGAACAAGGATTTGTAATCACTAGTTCAGATTAAAACTCATCCACCATCAGGTATTTAACAGCTTACAGAAACTTGGGAGGTATCCCATCCAGTGGGACATGAAAGAGGGAGGGGGTCCCTGATAAACCTGGAGGGGAGGAATAGAAGGGCAAGAAACACGAGAAATGACAGCAAGTCTAGTTTTTTTTATCAAGCTGTCCACTTTATTATTCCTCAGAAGCTGTTATATAGCGAACAGGCAAGGGGGAGAGGAGGTAGGATGCTGGAATTTAGGTCTGGAAAGGTCCCTATTTGATGGGGAAATACTGAGGTCTGTGATTGTTAACTAACAAAGGAAATGCTAATTGCTTCTAAAGCCTGAGGCCTGCAGGTATTGCAGGGAGATAAGTTACTAGGTTAATTTGCTAGACTCAGAACTTATCCTGCAGAGGTGACAGAGGTGAATATTTTACTTAACTTGTGAGCTTAAGATGGCAATAAACAAAATACAGGTCTTTGCTTCCAGCAGGGAGGAATGGTAAAATCATGTGTGGGAAGAAAGGGAGGGAGGGAGGGAGAGAGGGAGGGAGGGAGGGAGGGAGGGAGGGAGGATGGTTGGGGATCCATGCTCAAAGACTTGGTGTGAAGTTAAGCCACTGTTTCTACAATCGTGAAGCAAATTGAAAAATTAGGAACCTGATAATAATGCCAGTCTCTAAGACTGTATAGGCAATGCAATCAGGAAGTCACCGCAATTACAAAACTGCCCCCTCAGAGAAGCCTACACAAATAACACAACAGACTGCTTATTGCATCTGAGTTCATGCCACATCACACCTAACATGATACACACCAGTGCAACTGTTGGCCCCTGGCCATCAACATCGGCGAGGCTAGAGATCGCACACTGTACCATCCCATCCCATTACCTTGGAGAAGTCAGATACTTATGAGCTGTTCCTGCCTTTTCTTTCGTGATGGGACAATTCTCACTGAGTTTCACCTAGTCTGACTCCAAGTGTGTAGCATCAAGCCTTAAACCCACCTTTTTTTGAGCAGTTACCTTTTGTTTCTCTTGTTGCCCTCCCACGTGAAGCTTGTCTTAGAGTTTCCCAAGGGTACAAAGTCTATGCAATGAAATGGTTGAGAAAAAAATGGGGCGCACTATGATATTCCTTAATTGAGAATTTGCATTTGGCATTGTCCCTTTGGAAGCTATGGAAATCAGCTTGCTAAAAATGAAAGCTGGAGAACAATAAAGAAACCTGGCTCGGTCCACAGTCTCTGTCCCCAAAAAGGCTGAGTACCCCTGCAGCTGGGAAGACTAAAATCATTCTTGATGTGCCTCTGGGCTTCTTCCTAAGGACGGGTGTGAATGCCCATACCCGTCATCCACCACACTTTGGTGAAAAGAATCCAATCCTTGCCAATCATATTGGTTCATTCCAATTCTACTTGGGAAACTTTCTGAAAAAATGCAGAAAGTTGGAATTGGTTTTTTTTGGTTTTTTTTGGGGGGGGGGGGGTTCCCAACATTTTCAGCTTCTGCAGTAAAGAATGGCATATTAGGAAGTGTTTAAATGAATGTGAAGCATCAATCTACTTTGTTTTCACCCTGCATCACCAACTAAATGATCTTAAATGAAAAGCATACACTTGAATTTTGTATATATTGAGTCTGTAATCGCAGAATGAATTTTCAAGAAATTTGACTAACAATATCATTATTACGTTATCACCAGAGTATCTATTATTCTGAATTCCTTGCTTCTGCTAAAGCGAACAGTAGCTTGTGATTGACTTAATTTGGGAGCTGGTGTTCTATATGTATATTGGTCTCTGTTAGACTTTTCCCCAGTGTGACAAAACACCTGGGAAAACAACTTAGTTGGGGAAGGGCCGACTTTGCTCATGGTTTCAGAAGTCTCAGTCCATCATGACACGGAGGAGAGGATACGGCACAGCCGAACACACACTTACCATAGAGCCAGGGAGCAGAGAACATGCCTAACTCATTAGCCCTCTTCCTTCCCCCTCTTATTCCATCTAGGTCCCAGGTGTGTGGGATGGCGCCACGTACTTTCAGAGGGGATCTTTCCCTCTTAGTTAATCTTTTCTGTAAATTTTCTCATAGACACATCCAGAACTGTCCTTTGCTAATTTAGGTGCCCCACAAAAGACTGTCAATCAAGATTCACAACTAGAGTGTGACGGTAAACATACCTTTGGTCCCATCAGAGACAGGCAGATTTTTGTGAGTTCCAGGCCGATCAAATTACATGATGAAGCCTATCCTAAAATGGGGGAAGGGGAACCCATAATCACCCAAACTATTACATTATAAAAATAGTGTGGGCATATAACCAGGAAAAACTCTTACCAGCTAAAAGCAATTCTTCATACAATACTAAAAATGCTAAGGCTAGTGAATTAAATTATTAAACAGTGGTTCTAGTATAACTTCAGCAGCAGTGATTTTACACCATTTTTTCTGACCCAAATACTTCTGGAAAACATGTTCTGAAAACCTCATTATGTCAATAATTTTTGGGTAAAGGGGGAGGGAAGAAACTCCATACTGAGCGCCTATGAATCTCTAGGATTTTATTACTACAATTTTCATGTTTTCTATTGAAAACACTTTTATCCTATTAGTATCAATAAAAAACTGATGAGAAACTCGTTCACCTTGTTGTTTGTTAAAATTAAAGTTTTTTTCCAGTTATGTATTGTAAACATAAAATTTGTGTGTATGTATATGTCTGTGTGTGCATGTGTGTGCACACGCATGCACGTTTTTCAAGACAAGATTTCTCTGTGTAGTTCTGGATGTCCTGGAATTCACTTGTATACAAAGCTGTTCTGAACTCAGTGATCCACCCACCTGTCTCTGCCTCCTGAGTGCTGGGATTAAAGGTGTGCATCACCACACCTGGCAACACAATTATATTCAAGGCCAATACCTTTTAAATCTATCAAATAAATTGTGATGCATGTGGTAATTAATCAATAGGTACTAAGGACCAGAAACTATGAAATTCTACATGAGGACTGGACATTTCTGCTCAGACTTGCTGGCTTAAGCAATACTAATAAGTAGATAGTAAAGTAATCATACCTAGCAACAGAAAGATTTCACCAGGCTCTTGAAAGATGAGTAAGACATTACCAAATAGATAACAGAAAGGAGGGCACGTGAGCACACAGTACAGGGAGCTGCGAGAAGAAAGACCAACGGGCTTGGAGACATCAAGGAACAATGGCTACAGTGGAAGGTACTTGTTTATAAAGCACTTTGGTTAGATATGTTTCTGGAGCCACAAATATTTATGGTTCACTAAGAGTTTGAAAAAAGAAATCTCAAAAGCAATGGGGATCTTTTAGAACCTTCCATCTTGTATTAAAGATGTTTTAATACAAGATTGGTTTGTATTTCACATGAGCGAGTAAAGAGAAGTAATGGGGACTGCTCAGTACATTTGATCTATCTGTAATGGGATTTCCACTGCAGTGGTGCCAGGGTACAGTGGGGTTGGGAACCCTGACAGGTCTAACAGGCTGAAATGTTTAAGACAGATTCAACATTAAGATAGTGTTTAAATTTCGAGTTTTGGATTATTTGGGTCTCGGTGTATTAAGGATTAATTTTACTTCCAAGTCAACAGACCAAAGAACCTCATTGTTTGATGAACTAGGTTTTTATTTTTTGCTTCCTTTTTTTTTTTTTTTGTTTTTTTGTTTTTTTGATTTTTTCGAGACAGGGTTTCTCTGTGGTTTTGGAGCCTCTCCTGGAACTAGCGCTGTAGACCAGGCTGGTCTCGAACTCACAGAGATCCGCCTGCCTCTGCCTCCCAAGTGCTGGGATTAAAGGCGTGTGCCACCATCGCCCTGCTTTTGCTTCCTTTTTTAAAAGGTAAGAAAGACATAGGTCAGCAGATGTTTACTTAGCAGAAATATTCCTGTCTAGGCCCACTGAGATGGTTTCAGAGGTTAAGGAACAAGCAGCAAAGTCTAAGGACTTGAGTTCATTCGATTCTTGAGCCCCACACTGTAAAAGGAGAGAACCGATTGCCACAATTTGTCCTCTGCTTGCTACACAAGCGCTGTGGCACGTGCATCCTTGAGCCTGAGTGTGAGCTCACTTACATGCACGCACACTGAGTAAATGTCAAAAAATATTCCTTCCTTTTTTTTTCTGAATGCTGCCTCTCTCTTTGCTATAAAACTCTATGGCCACAACTAGGCCTGGTCACACAAACCTTACTCCCAGCCCTTTGGAGGCAGAAGCAAGTGGATCTCTGTGAATCTGAGACCTGCCTGGTCTATACAGAGTTGAATTTCAGGCCGGCCATGGCTACAAAATGAGATCCTGTTTTAAAACAAACAAACAAAAAAATCTTCCTATAGATTCTATAAATTCAATATAAGTATTTTTCTAATGAACACATTTTATTTAAGTCACGACTTTTAGAAATAAAGACAGAGAGCAGTAAACACTAATAAAACCTGGAAACGCCAAATGTGTCTTTGGTGTCTCTTCTGAAGCCCACAGCGCCAGCACCTGTTCCTTTCATCCTTAGATGATAATCTGCTGTTTATTTTGCTACCAGGAATCTAAGCAGATGAAGCTTGAAAAGAGGCTGCCTTTTAAAAGTTGCTCTGTGCCTGACCTTTCTTACTTCACAAAAAGTAAAGGGGGGAAAGTGTGTGTGTGTGTGTGTGTGTGTGTGTCCTGTTGGTGGAAGGGTTGGTGGTTAAAAGCAAGTTGGGACTTCCTCTTTGAACAGTTGCCTTTCCTCTCACAAAACGGAGATTGCATCTTGTCTGAGGCTGGATAGAATTGAAAGCGACCCAAACACCAGAGCCACGGGCATGATGGCTAAGAAGCCTCCGAAACCAGCGCCCCGCAGGATCTTCCAGGAGAGGTTAAAGATCACTGCTCTGCCCCTGTACTTTGAAGGGTTTTTATTAGTCAAACGGCCTGAGTACCAGGTAAGTCTGTAAACAGAATTTTTTTTTTTTTTTGGTTTTTCGAGACAGGGTTTCTCTGTGGTTTTGGAGCCTGTCCTGGAACTAGCTCTTGTAGACCAGGCTGGTCTCGAACTCACAGAGATCCGCCTGCCTCTGCCTCCCGAGTGCTGGTGTAAACGGAAATTTTAAACATGAAAGTTTTCACTTAACATAAAACTTACTTCATGACAACGCGATGTGATGAGGCCTCTGTGTCTCTGTTTGGCTTATATCCTCTTCCTTCAGTGAGAAGAATGATTCTAATTTTGATAGCTTAGATACAATTCACAGCATATATATATATATGTATATATATATATATGCATATGTGTATATGTATGTGTGTGAGTGTATGTGTGTGTGTGAGTAGAAAGACTAAAGGGTTTGTACACATACACACACACGCATATATATGAAGTATAATAAGGTTCTAATATTTAGCCATAGTAGAAAACTCAGTGAAATTTTCAAAGAATTGTTCTAAACATCACATAAGATTTTACCTTTCAAGATAATTTTGTGTGTTTTCTCAGCAATTAACTACCATGCTTCAGTGGTGATAAATTACATGAAGATAAGACGTGATCTCCTGAGTAAATTGGGAGCATGGGGCTATTGGAGAGGGTACAAGGAGAGGGGAGAGGTGGGGAGAGAAGCAGAGACAAATATATAGCTTGATAAAAACAATAAAAAAGTACCTTTTGCTAACTGTAATTTAAAATTTTACATTTTAAAATATATGGAATATTTTATGAGTTTTCTTAAGGCAAAAGTACTTTTTAAAAAACAAAATTAGTGTATTTACTATTCATAATAACACCCTAAATGCTCTTTTAGGGCCAGTATGGTGAACAGAATTTTCGGAATGCATAATGAAGCAATATTAAATAAATAGCAAATTTTCACGATTTTATGAGTTTACCGTTTCTTACAATTGATCAGTATACACTTCCGTATGATTTAGAGTAGGACCAGGTTATTATTCATCTTAAAATCCTCTTATCATCATGTAATTTATCACCACTGACGCATAGTAGTCAACTGCTGAGTTTTCTACTTCCTATGTAGTTTAGATTCACGTATATCTCTCTTGGTGTCCTCATTTTCTGGTGCCTCTGCGTTTAAAGTTGTAATTGTGGACAACATAAAATTAATTAGAGAAATGAAAATGAAATTATGTTACTAAAAGTAAAGAAAGTCATTGGTGTAGGTAGAAATTTATGAAATGTTAATATTCACTAAAGTTCACAAAGTTTAAATGTTTACAGAAATAACAAGCATTCAATGATGATAAGTCAAGGCTTCAGAGGATTAATTAACATTCATGAAAATTATGAATTTGAAAATACTGTAACAGTGTGTTCCTATTTTCTAGGTACATGGTAAAGATATGGCCATTTGAAAGTCTGGTTGGGATTTTTGTCGTCAGTGTTAAACATCTCTTAGTGAAGTTGCAAGCTATTTTGGAATTTTGGTAGTTCAGCTACACGGTTTTACTTCAAAAACGGAGAACAGCCAAAAGTAAATTTCTAATTGGCAATTTAAATTTGATCATTCACTGACTGTCTTTCCAGAGTGTCTCTAGTAACTGTGCCTGATATCAAGATCTTTCAGGTGTTTAAACAATGCATGTGTGGGAACAGTTAGCAGACAAAAATCCACAATTTTAAAATATCAGTAAGCCACGTCTACACTTGATGGTTTTCCACATACAACTTGTAACCTTCTGAAAATGACTCCATCATCTCCCGGGACTCAGTTTATTCAACTGCAAAGGGAAAAAACAGATACTATCTACCTAGCATAATATATTACTACTTGCACTGTATTCATCATTATTTCTGGAATAACTAAGTGCAATATTGAATCAATTTGTTTTCCAAGCAGTGTTTATTGCATACCTTGTACATGACAAACTGAGAAGAAGTTTAGCTTAGTAATAGTTGTGATTTCTTTTCTAACTCCTATTCTGGCTTTTCTTAGAAAGCATGCTATAAGACAGAAGGAACTGCAATTGAGCATTTCTCATAAAGGCTGGGGATGGAACTAAATGGTAGAGCTCTTGTCTAAGAGGCGGGGGGCCCTGAGTTCAATCCGAGCATGGAAATGCAAGTAACTGTGAAGTGTATATATGAGAAGACTCATTTGTTTGCCCATTTGAATGCATTAGCAACTGCCTTTCCCTTGTGTATTAAGCAGAAGAGGAAGAAGAGAATGGCAGCAATGTCAACGTACATGGTGGTTTCACAGATGAAAATGATAACTATATAAAATACTAATTTCTCGCTTCAGATTAGATTCATTTTCACTTTTTTGTCTGCTCACATCCTAAAGTCAGTTTGAGGTCGACAAACAAATGCTCCCTGGCGCTTGCTGCCGGTAGTGGGAAAATCCCACTTGTTTCCTTAAGTGTTTCTCTCTTCGCTTCTATATTTAAGTTTGTGAGCTCTATGCTGTCCCTTTGATCAAGTCAGCGGTGGAGTTCATGGCATACATGTCCTAGAGAGGCTATGGAGAATGCTGAGTCCCTGCTGGAAACAAACTCAGAAGATTAAGCTAGAGAAAACGTGCTTTAAGAGTCAGATGTTCAATAAAGAAATTATAGGTCAAGAGGCTCTTATTGCAAGGTTTTATTTTATTTTTATTCTTCTCTCATACATTACATCCCGACCACAGTTTCCCCACCCCGTCTCTCTACCCAACCTGCCCTTTCCCACAGATTCAAGCCCTCTGTCTCAGTGGGAGAGCAGGCCTCCCACTGACATCAAACAAGCACAGCATAACAAGTCATAGTAAGAGTAGTCTGGTGGCGCACGCCTTTAATCCCAGCACTTAGGAGGCAGAGGCAGGTGGATCTCTGTGAGTTTGAGGCCAGCCTCGTCTACAAGAGCTAGTTCCAGGTAAGGCTCCAAAGCTACAGAGAAACCTGTCTCGAAAAAACAAACAAACAAACAAAAAACAAAAACAAACGAAAACGAAAAGAGTAGTCATGGGGCTGGAGAGGTGGCTCAGAGGTTAAGAGCACTGGCTGCTAGTCCAGAGGTCCTGAATTCCTGAGTTCAATTCCCAGCAACCATATGGTGACACACAACCATCTGTAAATCTATCAGGTTCCCTCTTCTGGCATGCAGACAGAACAATGTATATATAATAATAAAAAAAGAGTAGGCACATGTCATCACATCAAGGCTGGATGAGGCAACCCCGGAGGAGGAAAAGGGGACCACAAGCAGTTGTTTCAAGTTAACAGGTCATTTTAAAGGAAATTAAAGTGCCCCACCCCCAATAAATGTACTAGCATATGCTGATTTTAACACAGTCCTAGAAGGACCCTGAATTTCAGGTCAAGAATCTATGAAAAGCCGGGCGGTGATGGCACACGCCTTTAATCCCAGCACTCGGGAGGCAGAGGCAGGCAAATCTCTGTGAGTTCGAGGCCAGCCTGGTCTAGAAAAGCTAGTTCCAGGACAGGAACCAAAAAGTTATGGAGAAACACTGTCTCGAAAATCAAAAAAAAAAAAAAAAAAAAAAAGAATCTATGAAAAGTATTTTTCAAGGGAAAGACAAAGGAAGATTTACTTGAACTTCAGGATCAGGGCTTTAGCTTGACTAAGAAGTATTCAATAATTAAAACACAATCAAATGGAAAATGTATCACAGTTTTTATAAATCAAAAAAGAGTCAACTTTCCCAGGCCTTTAAATATAAGAAAGTTTGAGCAATAGCCCATTGTTCCTTCCATTTGTGATGTTCCCAGCTTTAAAGAATGTAACGTGTCCTCTTAACCTTAAAATGATGATATGATCATCATAATGGATCAAAGTGTCCTTCCCTGATGGCCCTCACGTTTAGGAAGTCTTTGGAACTATGTCATTTGTGTCCTAAAACACAATTCTCTATACCAGAAAACTCTAAAATTTTAAAATAGCATGCCTCTCCCAGCAAAACATTTGGAACATAGATATTCATTAGGAGAAAATGAACATATGTACCCCTTTACCAATATTCTAGGTAGATTATTGAATATATGGAAAAGGAAATAAGAAGAAGTAGATGAATATGAGTAGATATTCTCTAAGTTCCCCACATTTTTGGGTATGAGCACCTCATTTCGGAGAACCATTATACAACATCTTTGGCTTGCCAAATGCCCTTGTTGTTAGAGAAAAAGGAAACATTTTGTTCGGGGAGAAGAATAGAGAGAGATTTAAATAAATTCCAGTGTTCCTATTTACAATGGATTGCATTATAACTGATCTTCTTGTAGTTACATTATCAAGAAAAAATACCGCGAAGGCAAGAGACTGTTCAAAGTTTGTAATGTGTACAATTTCTTTTTTTTTTTTTTTTTTTTTTTTTTTTTTTTTTTTTTTTGGTTTTTCGAGACAGGGTTTCTCTGTGGCTTTGGAGCCTGTCCTGGAACTAGCTCTGTAGACCAGGCTGGTCTCGAACTCACAGAGATCCGCCTGCCTCTGCCTCCCGAGTGCTGGGATTAAAGGCGTGCGCCACCACCGCCCGGCTTACAATTTCTTTAAATGTAATATGTTTCCTCCTTTGTAAATGAATGATTACTCTCTTGCACATATAAATGAATTTGTAGAACAAATAGAGGATGTGCTAGTGAATATATTTTATTGAAGTTTGACTGTAGGGGATATTGTGCTAAGGTCTTAATGTCACTCAGTTGTTAAAACAACTCTTGGATAGCAAGTGTGTGCATCTCACAGATGGGTATCTGTGGCTCATGGAAGTTTTGTTAAAAATTCCTCATTGATTGGAAAGTATGGATTTTATTGTGAGGTATATGGCAAAATGCTGCCTCTCAAACTCGAGTTCTAATTCCTTTTGATGTTACAGATACCCTTTAAGTAGACATTTTTAAAATATTTAACTATCTATACAAATAAAAATACCTACCTGGATACTAATTATTTAGTATTAGCCAAGTTATCCTGGAATCCATACGGTCTTATCAGAAACGAATTCAGAGTTCTGACTTTCTCTCTGTCTGTGAGTTTGTGACTATCTGTTGCAGAATCTCGTGAGTCATACTGTCATTTCTCACCTTATTTTTCCTTCCTTTGTACTCAAGTCAGTGCCTTTATATTTGGTCCTTACTCTAGTTAATAAATCCTTCTTAATTCTCTCTTTCAATCTATAAGATTTTTTCACCTTTTAACTTCTGTTTGCTCCCTGGTAAATTCTACCCAATTAACATCATTCTTTTGTGTCGGGCCATCTCTGTAACTTTTCTCAGGAGCACAAAGACATACCTGCATGTACATTCTGAGGAATCTCAATAGCCCTTGCCCTTTAAAAATGATGCTAGCTTTGTTTTTCTTCTGAAGGCTAGTTAGGAAAATGAATAGAGTGGTAGAGTGACTTCTAGTGTTTTCTCTAAGACTAACTATCTTGGGTTTGATTTTAGAGGCTACATATCCATTAAACATCACTAGTGGTTATATTTCCTAAATGACGCTCATAGATTTCAATGGCTTCTACAGTGCTCACCTAGATCAGAAATACAGAATAGCTTTGACCTGCTTTTTTTCATGACAGAGGCTTAATGACAGAGTTTGAAAGCTCCCCCATCCACCAGCAAAAAAAAAAAAAAAAAAAAAAAAAAAAAAAAAAAATGTGGTAAACCAAATAAGCCAGCTCCTCAGACGTAATTGTTCTTGTTAATTCATTGTGGGTCAAGTCCATGATAGTTCATTCTGTTTCAACAGTGTCAAAGACTACTCAGTACCGCCAGTTTTACACAACTCCCAAATGAACAAGGGGCCAGTACATATTAGCAACTTCTGCAGTGAAATGTCTCACTGAAGTTTTTAAAACATCTCCAAATGTAAGGATGACTTATGGACCCAAGAGATGGCTCAGGGGCAAAGGGTGCTTACCTGAGCTTGAGCCCAGAAACTTACATGGTAGGAGAAAATGAACTCCACCCAGCAAGTTGTGCTCTGACCCCACCATGCGCACTATGGTATATATGTGCAGGCACGCACACACGCACACACAGACACACACACACACACACACACACACACACACACACACATACTGGTGTGGGAGGTCCTTCTGTCTCTGTGTTGCTTTTATTGGTTAATGAATAAAGAAACTGCCTTGGCCTGTTGATAGGGAAGAACTTAGGTAGGTGGGGGGTGGGGAAGTGGACTGAATGCTGGGAGAAGGAAGACAGAAGGGAGAAACCATGGGGCCGCCGCCAGAGTAAGACATGCTGAAACTTTGCTGGTAAGCCACTGCCATGGGGCGATACACAGATGAATAGAAATGGGTTAAATTAAGGTGTAAGAGTTAGCCAATAATAAGTTAGAGCTAATGGGCCAAGCATTGATTTAATTAATACAGTTTCTGTGTGGTTATTTTGGGTCTAAGCTATCCAGCTGGCTAGGAACCAAAAATAGCCTGCTACTACACAAACACTAAAAAAGGAAGAATGAAAATGTTTTAAAATAATTATAAAGGAAACCTTTAGGAGTGATTTTGTACAGGAAGGACAATTTATTTCATTATTCTGCTGCTTAAGATTACCTGCCCTTTTCTTTCACAGTCACATTGGAACATACGTTAAAATTCTATCACCATTCTCTCAGATGACCATATAAATCACTACATTAAAAAGTATTTCAGGTTGGAGAGATGAGTCAGTGGTTAAGAGCTGCTTTTCCAAAGGATGAAGGTTTAGCTTCCAGCACCCACATGGTAGCTCAAAACCATCTGTAACTTGTCATCAGCTTAGGCAAGATCCCTGGTCCCAACTACTGCTTTTGTCTTCTTTACTTCTTGTCTGCTCTGTTTCTCATGCCTGGGCCTCCCTCTTGACACCTTGCCATCCAGGACCTTATTTCTGCTGGTTCAGGTCATCACTATATGAAGAAGTTCCACGAGCAGCCATCTCTCTCTCTCTTCCCCCAGCTTTAAATGTTTAAGACCTTCTACTGTGACTTTTCTTCTCACACGTTTTAAACCAAACAGGCTCAGGAACTATGTAACTAAGCGTCTTAGTTTTATTACTGATAAAGTCTACCCATGTATGGTTTGATAGAAGGCCTAAGCAGCTAAGGCTCCAACATAGAGTGAGCTACTTAGAATAACTGAGTCAACTCGAGAGGCCCAAGCCTACACTTCTTAGGCCCTTCGCTCCCTGGCAGGAAGTGGAGCAGAGCACCCACTCTTCTCTCCATGCAGCCAAAGTGAAGAGAGGACCGGAAGGGGTGAGTGAAGCATCCTGCCTCTTGACCTCACCTGTTTGGTACTCAATCCTGCTCGATTCAGACATCAGTCATTCTGGCAGCATCCATGAGTGAGTGTAAAAAAGTAGCAGAGGCCAAAACCAGGGCGATTGTAGTGACAGGAAGCTTGGTGTCCTCAGTGAGAAGAAGGAAAGACGTTTCTAAAGGGGTTAAAACTAAGGTTTGTTCTCTTACTAATCTACTTGACTCTAAGAAGTATCAGCACACACTGGGCATTTGGATTTCAGGAACCTCTTTCCTCTGTTTTGTAATTGCCTTTTAGGAAGGATCTTTTGACTGACCCCCTAGTTGCATCCATAGGCCTATTACATGTTGCAGTCAGCGCCCAATAGTGGGTTCATGGGAGTGGAAAGACTACCTGCCATGGGTAAGGATACATCTTTCCAAGTTCCACCCTTGTGTTTGGGGTAGGCTGCTGCAGTAATATGATCATTTTATTTAAATTTGACCATATGTACATACCACTAAAGTATAACTTTTATCTTTTTTCCCACAAATTAGGTGAATCTATTTTTCTACCTTTTGAATTTTGGCCATGTCATGTAATGTGCTTAGGTAAATATGACAAACGCAGAAATTCATATTAATTATATGCTTGTTAAGGATGGAGAGGTGGCTTAGTGGTTCAGAGCATTTGCTACTCTTGCAGAGGACCTGGGATCAGTTCCTAGCACCCATGTGGTAGCTCACAACAACTGTTCAATCCAGATCCAGGAGATCAGATGCTCTCCTGGCCTCTGTGGGCTCCTGAACACACATAGCAGATGTAAGTGCATTAGGTGTGTGTGCACCCACATACCCACGACTTTAAAATGAACAAGTATGATTGCACATTGACCCAGGGATTCAACACCCTCTCCTGGCCTCCTTCCCCTCTGCACCCACATTTTTTTTGTGCTCTCAGGAGCACAAACATACACACATAAAATAAATAATTTTTTAAAATAGGCAAAATGTGAAGAATAAAGAATAATTTTATATTACACAATCACAAAAGATAAAACAGAAAATAAAAACATTGAATATGCAGTGATGAAGTGGTATTTATGACTTCTTTCCCACAGGAGTACAAACTCTACTGGACAGAGTTGAGAGGAACTACGCTTTTCTTTTATACCGACAGAAAAAGCACAATAGTAAGTAGTTTGACAAGTTCACCTGGTTCAACTTTTCAATAGACCATTGGTATATAATCTATCACCCATTTTCTTTCCATCACCCCAAAATAAAGATGTTACAAAAATGTAAATCTGAGTGCGCCTATCAATCCCATGGCCTACCAAGGGATCAGAGTGATAATTCCCTAAACAACTCAGAAAGGTGTCAACTCATGTTTATAACTTTTTGTTCTTATCTTCCTGACATAGACGATAAAAGCTTAGCTTAAAAGTAGAAATTTTAGCCCTTGGGTATAAATGTTTAATGCAAATGTTAATTTCCGTTTCTTGCAAATCTTAGCATGCTATGGAATAGAGTCATAATCTGAAAAAAACCCGAAATGATTCTCATAGCATCATCATAACATATGATGTTGCAATTTAACTTTCCTAGATAAAAACACACCCTCTAAAAGCAAATTCCTAAGAGCTATGAGAATAATGATGACGTGATTCTTCAATTAATTTTTGGCTTTTTAGTGTGTATTAGAACTTCCCGGGGATACCAGGAAAGCAAAGAACGTGGCCTAAACCTTGTGTGATTTACAGGAACCAAGTTCACTTATCACTTTAAGAGGCAGTACAGCTTGGTGATTGAGAGCTTGGTATGCCCAGAAAGATTGCCTAGTATTTTTTCTTTTCTTTCTTTTTTTTTCTTTTCTTTTCTTTTTTCTTTTTTTTGTTATTTGAGACAGGGTTTCTCTGTGTAGTTTTGGAGCGTGTCCTGGAACTTGCTGGCCTTGAACTCACAGAGATCCGCCTGTCTCTGCCTTCTAGGATTAAAGGCGTGTGCCAGCGCGTAACAAACAGGTGACATCTCAAATTGGGCAGTTTGGAGACTGTTTAATAAAATTCTAATAAACATCAGAGCAGTGGGCAGCATAGACAGAAGTCTGGTGCCCTGAAGCTAAAAGTAGTGTTGTATTGCCACATGAGGAGTGGGAGGAAAGAGTGGGAGAGCTTGTACTTAAGGGAAGCATGACATTTGATGTAGCTACACTCCATCCTCACCCTGACCTCCTGCTGAAGATCCCCAATGGCCCAAGCCAACATGAAAGCAAAGGCTATGGCACACTGATGTCATGGTGCAGTGTTGGGAGGTCAAAGGATACAACTGAATCTGCAGGAACAATAACAAAGAGTCACATAGGAAATCTCCAATACTCCTATTTTTCAAATCTCTGCATCTAGGATGAAATCCATAGTCTATCTCATAAGGCTATAAAAGTGATCAAGTGAGACAGGACATAGAAGGATTTCAGTCAGTAGACTGCACACAGTAAGCCCTTTCATTGTTTACATATATTTATATATATATATATATATATATATATATATATATATATATATATATTACTTCATTTCCAAGCAAACTCTGTAAATTTGAATTCCGGTTTTCACTGTTTTGTTTGGTTTTTGATCAAGCCTTCAGTGTAGGCTGTCCTCTTACCTTGTGATGCTCCTGCCTCAGTCTCCTAAGTACTGAGATTGCAAGCACACACACCACTGGACACCACTTAATCCCTATTTTTAAATGAAAACTGTCAAGTTTAAGGAGTGAGATTGTACACAATCATACTTACCTGGCAGGGTTGATACCGTCATCATGAAGACGATGATTTTCCAAGGACAATCCTTCTCCATTGTATTCGAGATTTGCTTAACCCCTGAAATTTCCCCAGATGTGCCTTATGTGGGGAACGGACTGCGTAATTTCTGTTAGTAGAATATTGAGTTTGCAGTTTCCCCTAAAAAAGATTGTATACATTCACACACACACACACACACACACACACACACACACACACACAATGATACAAGGTTATACAGCTAGTAAAAGGGGTGTAATCCAGGCGTGGCTTGTGAGCTGGTGGTCTTTTTAGGCACTCTGTCACAAGGAGGTCACAACAAAAGGCTGAAGAGCTGTCCACCTACCAATCTTGTTAAAAGAGGATGAAAACCCTTGGGAAAGTTTTCTGAGAGACAGTCTCAGTAGAAACCCAGGGTTAGACCAACTGAGAAAGTCAAGCATTTGGCCGGCCTGCAGCAGGGAACAGTTTAAGACGACTTGACACATCTAAAAGGCTAAGGGGAAGTCATGTGGAAACTTCACCGAATTTGCTCAGTGTTGTTACTCTGGAAAAAAGAGTTCAGGACCAGTGGATGGGAATTATCTAGAAAAAATGCAGCTCAATACAAGGAACACTTAGCAGGACTCTTTCAGCAGTGTGAGTTCAACTGTGGGCTTGAAGACAACACTGAGAACTGATTCCCACAGATGACCTTTAAGGCTCTTTACAGCCCACAGTTAAAACTACAAGATACAACTTCCCTTTCTGTAACTGATGCATTGGCACTGTTTGTTAAAGCAAAACTCACTGAGCCTGATCTAGGCAGTCCACCATACGAAGGTGTGGTTCAGTTCTGGTTTTGTTCCCTCATGTTTATCCTTCCATTTTTAATTTTTCTTTGTTCCTTGACAATAATAGGCCAAACCAAGCTTAGCCGCAACCCCATCAACATAGAAATCACTCTGGTAAACTATTTTTCTGTTTTTAAGCCCTACATTATCCAGGAAAGTAAAATGAGCCAGGAAAGTTAAGTGAGACACAAACGGTATAGTACAATGACTATACGTTTTCTAGTATACTATAGTATAGTACAATGACTATACGTTTTCTAGAATACTATAGTATAGTATAGTATACTAGACACAATCAAGAAAAGCTAAAAGGAGAGAAAAAGAAGTGAAGAATGGGCTCATCTGTCAAAAAGCAACTAATGTATAAACCATTAAACCCCTATTAGGTCTTTCTAATACCAGAGGGCAATGTTGATCTGCTATACACAGAGCAACTGCTCAGAAAGTTTCTGTGCGCCTGAGAAACAGAAATGTCTCAATAGATGCTTCATAACCAGCGGCGTTTGGTGAATGTGATAAAAGATGACTTTCTAAAATAAAATGTTAGATATGAACATATGTTTATAGACTCAGAAGCATAACTTCTGCAAAGATGTATGGCACTCAACTAGAAAAATATTTAATATTGTTTGCTGTAACTATTTTTTATGACTATTGGGTCCATGGGGGTCGTGCAAAGATGAAGACAAATTACCAAAGTCTAATAAACCAAAAGCAAACTTATTTCCAGGAAAAAAATTAAAAATTTAAAAAGGAAATCTCCATGGGACACAAGAAGCTTATCAGCTAGCTGAGACTACAGCCAGAGAGAGACTTGTAAGGTTCTTTGCAAAGGTCTTTTGCAAAGGCCGGTTTTTGAACTCCTCCTTTTATAGCAAGCATTAGGCAATAACAAAAGAATTTTTACAATCTGAAGCTAAAACTCAGATACAAATTGATCTTCTTTGCAATCTTTTCTTAATAAGTTGTTTTCTTTTTGTTGTTGTTGTTCTTGTTGTTGTTGTAAAACTAGTGTTTAAACCATGTTTTTCTCTGGTTCTTGCTGATGGTGTTTATGGATCATTTATAAAACCAAAAAGTCAAAAGTCACATATATCCCATCATATAAAAAGTTAACTCAGCTCACATCAATTGCTGGTCATGAGTGGCCAGGGGGTTGTCTTAAGGATAACTATCAGTTTGCAGAGCTGATGCTCAGTTTGTAGAGGGATGCTTCAGTCTTGTAAACAGAGCTGCCAGTTGTAGAGCAAAGTAATCCACTGTGAATAGTTAATCCTTAAACTACTGAGAAAGTTGCCAGCAGCCTGTTCTTATTTCCTAGGCGTACAACTTTATATTTATTTATTTTTACTTATTTTTTGCACCTACATTTTTTTTCTTATTTTTGGACTCTTCAATGACAATAATTCTTTATTGTTAGACATTTGATTCTCATACATTACTTGCCTTGATTTTTGTTAAACTGCTCCTATGATGAATTAGACATTTTTTGACTTCTGAAAAAGTATTTTGCAACAACCCTCCCTCATTTACAAGTTAACAACTTTAGATACAATGAACTAATGAGGTTTCATCTGAGTTATTAATATTGTCTCTATTATTTTCTCAAGTTTAGACAGAGGGCCAGAAAATCAGTAGACCTTAAGGCAACAGTGTCTGAATAAATCACTTTATCTTTTCAATTTTATTTTATAAAGAAAAAGCAAAAACAGAAAAAATATGTAATGGAGAATGTATTCATATCCAGAGTATTTATTATTAGAAAGGCTGCCTTTGAGAAAAGCAACAAAATATACATTCATTTTTAAATGGTTTACTAATTTCCACCATGTAACCATTCCTGCCTTGACAGATTCAACCTATCAATGTGACTGTATTGAGCATGAAGAATGAAAAAATGCACAGAGCTGTTAAATGCTATTTATGCCACACAGAACAAAGATGTAAATCATATTGAGGGCATAGACAGTAAAATATTGCAATACAATTAGAAAAAAATGAAATTTGCATTTAGACTATATTATGTTTTTTAATATAATATTTTATTTACTGGTATATTAGTATAAGTAACTTTTAATAATAACTAAGTTAACCAATTGCAAAATTCTCAAAAATTTAATTTGGCCTTTGCAAATTTGTTTGGGTCCAGTCCAGCACACCATCATACAATGTGTTTATATATACTTTCTGGTATATATAATGCCAATATGTTTAAAAACTATTATTTTCCTTCATGCTAGAACAAGTGTATCTGACCGAGGAAGTAATTTCACAGTATTTTCCTTTATCTTTGCAGTACGTTGGCAAGTTAGACATAAAAGACCTTGTATGCCTTACTGACCAAAATTCAACTGAGAAGAGCTGTGCAAAATTCACTCTTGTTCTGCCTACAGAGGAAGTACAACTGAAGGTGAGTGAGAACAGCAGTCTATAGAGAGTTATAGGTAGCCTTGACCTTTTACTATCCAGTGGTTGGGATTACAGGGGGGCCGAGTCTTAATACTTCGCTAACATTTCCTGCCCTTTGCCAAGGACTACAGTGTTCTGAGTTACATTTTAGAAGGGCACACTGACTTGTTTAGTATACAAGCACAATGAAACCTTAGACTTCTGTCCTCTGACAAAGTCAAGGATCCCACGTGGTGTTTTTCAAGGTTGTCCCTGAATTAGCCTGGTGAACTAATTGCCCAACAATGAGAGTCATAACAAAGAGATCAGCTTGGAATTGGTAAAGATAAAATTGTGGAGGCTCTTGGGAAGCTGCTGGTTGACTCAGAGCTGTGAGGGTTAGAATGAAGCAAGCTCCCTGGAGAACTCTTGGACATGGAGTGAACAGTCAGAGGAAACAGACGCTGAGGTAGACAGTTGCTACTTTATACAAAGTCTGTGAAACAGGCCAGCTACTTAACCTCTTCGCTCATTTGTTTCCTGAATTATCAGTAAGTCTCTGCTCAAATGTAAGGCTCTCACTGTGGTCCACCTGGAACACTATCCAAATTGTAACCTTGTCTACCTAGCTGTTGTTGGCATCGGAATGAGGGTGACTCAATGGGCTCCTAAGATTGAATGCCTGGTCCCCAGTTGGTGAACTATTTGAGAAGGATTAGGAGTTGTGGCCTTGCTGGAGGAGGTGTGCCATGGAGGGTGGGCTTCGTAGTTTCAAAAGCCCACACCAGGGCTAGGCCAAGGATCCCACCCCCAGCCTGCTACCAGCTACTGTTCCAGTGCCGTGCCCGTCTGATTCCTGTAATGATGATCATGGACTAACTCTATAACCTGTAAGCAAGCCTGCAGTCAAATGCTTTCTCTTGTATGAGGGTTGTCTTACAACCATGATGTCTCTTCACAGTAACAGGACAGTGACTAAGACACCTGCCCTCTTGTCACATTATCGGTTTGCCTTACTCTGCTCTAGACTTTATATTTCCTAGTTGTTTCCTTCCAACAATATTAAATGCACTATTACATTGATTATTTAATCTTCCTTCTTGTATTCCTTTCTGGGTGTTTTTTTTTTTTTGAGACAGTTTCTCAACCGCCCGGACTGACCTGGAACTCATTATGTAGACCAGGCTGGCTTCAGACTCATAGATCTGCCCGCCTATCTCTCCAGAGTCCTGGGATTAAAGGTGTGCACCTCTATTGCACAGTACTTGCTATATTTCAAATTCCATGAGAACAAGGATCTTTGTTTTGTTCCCAATGCCTGTACTTAGCAATACACAATATTTATCTTTTAATTGAACTGATACATAAAACAACATTAAAAACACCTCTTGCTGAATTACCTTGAAGATTGTCAAAGAACAAAATTACACCTTTATATAAAGACCTTAATTAGTTTTATAGTCTACTCAAGAAACAGATGTCTTTTATTCTATAGAATAAAATATTATAGTCAGCTAAAAAGAAAAAAAATAAATTTATAGACAGGAAAAGCTAAAACAAATTTATAACCAGTAATAAAGTTAGTTGGTCATCTCAAACGTTTCTATGTAGGCAGAAATAGGATAGCAAAAGGTACAAAAATGACCGATTGTCATTAGATATCTGCAGGTCACTCTTTTGCATACAGAGGGAACAAAGTGAAATTGGTCTGTACGGGAGATGTGGCTGTTACGTTCCTTTCCCGATTTCCCGAGAAGGCCAGGCAACAGTTTTGCTTTAGTGATGTGGAACATTAGCACAGAAGACTCCATTTTCATTCTAGTGCGGACTATGCGGGACCTCAGTGCGGAAACCCAGAAACAACGACCATCTGTAATATTTCTTAAGCTGGCAGTGCCTGTGAAGTGCTTAGTACAGTAGCTAGCATTGGAAGTGCTCAAAAGTCATTGGCTGCTATTATTATTATCATTATTAGTCAAAGCAGCCTTTGAAGTTAAGAATTGGACCCTTTTACATTTGTTCCCCCAAATTTCAAGCAAGACAATGGAGGGAGTAGGCCGTAAGTAGCATACAGTAGAGATAAATTTACTAACATTTCATTTTTCAGTTAGGCAAAAATTTGTACAATTGTACTTGCTTAGTAAGTAAATAATTTAAAAGTATACGCTTCAGTTTTGTTCTAAGAAATTGTCTATGTGTGCAAATGATTTTTGTGTGTGAATGCATGTACATAATGCACAGTGAGTGTGTTGCACAGTGAGTGTGTGGAGGTAAAGGACAATCGTGGGTCCTCATCTTCTACCTTCTTTGTGACAGGGTCACTTAGTTGTTCAGTGCTGACAATGCCAGGTTAGCTGGAAGGAACTTCTAAAGATTCTCCTGTTTCTTCCCCGTATCTTGTCATAGGTACACTTCGATTATGTGTCTCACTGTGCCCATCTTTATGTGCTTCTGGGGATTTGAATTCAGCTCTTAACACTTGTGTAGCAAGTACTTTACTCATTGAACCATCCTACCTCCATCATTTATATCTCTGTTTATCTATTAAAATGGGCTGAAATAAATAAGAATAATATGTTATTTCTCTTTGCAGTGGATTTTACACAATGTGAGCCTTTTTTATTTTTGCAGTTTTAACTTTTGTGTTATTTTACAAAGTGCCTGAACAGAAGAATATGCATTTTTTGCCAGTCTTGCTAGTCTTTTCTTTTTTGGCATGCATATGTGCATGTGTGCACAGCTACTTGGATGTGCATGGATATACGTGTGGAGGTGCACATGCACATGCGTGTTTATGTATGGGGTGGCCAGAAGTTAGCAGCATGCACTTTTCTCATTCACTTCCACCTTATACACTGAGGCAGCACCTCTCACAAGGACCCATGGGCTTCTCGATTCGGTTAATCCAGCTAGCCAGCTTGCTCTAGAGATCCTCTGTATTCCCCTCCCAGGTGCAGGGATTACAGCTGAGCTGCCATACCTGCTTGTCATTTTCCTCAGGTTCCAGAGGTCCGAACTCTTGTATGACAAATGCTTCACCCAAAGAGCCATCTCCTTAGCCTGCAATCTTGTAAGCTTGTGATGGCACACCTTTCTCGTCATATAACCATCATGTGAAATTCTCGTTCCTCTTAAAGTTAGCACAGATCATTCATTAACTATACATTTTCTCCTCTTCCTTGTTTTCATCTTTAGACAGAAAACACAGAAAGTGGGGAAGAATGGAGGGGCTTCATTCTTACAGTAACAGAGGTAAGAAGGCCATTCAATTCTTCTGCTGAACCAGGTCTCAACAGCCCTTGGTGGCCTCAAACTTACCATCCTCTTGTCTCAGCCTCCCAGGTGATGAGATTACCATGGTGAGTCACCATTCCCAGCAGAAGATCATTACAGCCTGCTGATTTATTTGTTGGCCCAACAGTTTCTAACATCATTGCAACTGTGTACACTAAAGTGGTTGAGGCTATGAAAACTAGAAAAGGCCGATAGTAATCCATGCTTTTATTTCTGAAAGTTACATTTTTATTAAGTGGGTTGAGAAACTAAAGACACTCAGCAAACTCCCGAGCCCATGTCATCGTGAGATAATGGTATTGGTGAGCAGGGAACGAGGGAGATCTACTTATGACATCTTTAATCTTTTTGGCTGTAAGCCTTAGGCTTTATGGCTAAGTCCTACCTCCTTATTATTTTTTTAGCATGGAGGTTCTTTGTTTAGGCTGACGTTTGTAGTTTTTGTAGTTTATTATAAAAATAATCTCCATGATTTCTCTTCTAAATTTAGGAAATGCTATACTGCACTGGTTTTGTGAATGAAATAGACAACATGAAAGAGAGAAACCATCAAAATGAAAAATCATCTTTAAACACATGTTACATGTGTTTTAAAATAAAAGGAAGCTTACCTGCTCAATGGCAGCATTTTATCAGAGGCAAATAGTAAGGCCCATTGCTCAGAGTGAGCCTACTGCAGCAGGATAAAGGACCGTTAGTTTGACTAAAGCCACAGCAGCAACTGTCTTCAAAACATGAGGTACTTTGGTCACAAGCGCCATATTAACTTAAGACACCATGCTCTTTAAAACTTTTCGAGGAAATAAAAAGTTTCAGGTTAGGTTCAAATGACCATTCTACCCATGTGAGTTCTGAACAAAGCCTTTGTGGTCATAAAATAGGCTGGACTCTTTAACAAGATATTGGTGATGATTCTTTGTATCAACCACCCTTTTACAGGAAAATGGGTGGAGCTTCAACTGCCAGAGAGGGTGTCCCTCTGAGGCCTTAAAAGAGATTTTTAAACATGAGACGGGCATATGCCTGGGGCTGGAGAAGAGACAGGAAAATTGTGTTTTCTCCCTCTTACAGAAAGGTCCCGAAGGTTGCCATTGGGTGTCTGTAAGCACCCCAAGGGTACGTGACTAGGCATCCACACTGAACCCACAGGAAAAGTCTTGATATCTCTTTTTGACTCACTGATAATATTTGAAGTTTTGGCCATTTCTGTTATATTTTTCCTCTTTCAAAGATAGAAAGAAAGGTTTTTAAATCAAACATTGACATATTTTGTAATATAAAATATATGTCATGTGAATTTTTAAGTTAAGACACTTTGTCTTTTATTTTATACTCTGTAAATACTTGGGGCACAGTATCAAATCACCATATGTGAATAAATCATTTGTAAAAATATTCCACTGCACTGACTCTTCTTCCAAGAGAGCATAATGAAGCACTAGACCGGGGATGAAAGCAATTCAGCAGGACAGATTTGGGTGACTCAATCAAAATCGCACTTCCAGAAGGGAAAAACAACAAAACAAAAGCATGCCGAGAAATAACAACATGCTAAAATATAAATGGACGCTATAAACAGACCACAGTGTAGAGCTGCTGCTCCTACGCCCATCTCAAACCCATGTTTGATAATGACGTATCATCTCCCTCCCTGGAGCTCCGAAGCCTCTGGGGCATTGCTAAGAGAATGAGTTCAGGATAAGAAAAGAGAGATTGGTTGCTACTTAGCTCTCAGGAAAAAAGTAGGTGTGCTTTGTTTGCTCTGAGGCCAAATCAAAACAGAAGACTTCAGCCAGGCACAGTAGTGGTGCACACCTTTAATCCCAGCACCTGGGAAGTAGAGGCAGCTAGATCTCTGTAAGTCTGAGGCCTACCTGGTGTACAGAGTGAGTTCTAGGACAGCCAGGGCCACATAGAGAGACCCCGCCACAACAGAGAACAAAGAACAAGCAACAAACAAAACTGAAGACTTCTTAGAAGAAAGTTGGACACACCCTACAGGTTCTAGTCCATACAGGGCCAGTTCTAGGATGTCCACGTTAGACTGAAATCTTCTATTTACTATTCTATCCATTCACCTCTGATAAGTAACTAAAACTCCTCAGGGCCAACAAGCTCATCTTTACTAAAGCAGTATGCTGCTTAGCTATGGTTGTTGTTTGCCTACTGTGCTAACTGGTTTCAGCTGTCCGTTCCTCAACACGTGTCACTTCTACCGGGGCAAGTGATTAGACTGCATGAAGTCTTAGAGAGAGAAAAGAAAAGAAGGCTTGAGACAGAGCGGTTGCCAGTTATGCCTGCAGAGAGAGAGAAGGAGCCGGAGCAAGATGATGTGGATGTACCGAACCCTATGCCAGCGTAAGTCCACAAATGACTGGTTCATTCATTTATTAAGACTAATTTCTAATTATCAGGTAGCGTTGCCCACTTGAACTTGTTACATGACAGGTAGTATTTTGGGGATATTTAGTCTCTGAGCGTAGGTCACATTTCCTCTCCTATGTCAAGATCTGCATTGTGCACACTTGAACTAACCTTACCACAGAGGAAATCCCCTTCTACCCACATATCTAGACTAAATACATATCTTTCCGGAGCTCAAACCTAAATTAAAGTTTCTGTGAAGAAGGAAGGAAAAGATGCGTATTTGTGGCTCCATAATTGGATATTTCTCATCACTAATACCAAATCTTTTTTTTTTTTTTTTTTTTTTTTTTTTTTTTTGGTTTTTTGAGACAGGGTTTCTCTGTGGCTTTGGAGCCTGTCCTGGAACTAGCTCTCTAGACCAGGCTGGTCTCTAACTCACAGAGATCCGCCTACCTCTGCCTCCCAAGTGCTGGGATTAAAGGCGTGCGCCACCATCGCCCGGCAATACCAAATCTTTAAAAAAAAATCTTAGACTATTGAATTCAGTTGATTGATCAGTGAGCATTGAACTTGGCCTCTGAGGAAAACCTTGTACAAAGTGTTCAAAACAGTAATGGAACAGCATCTGGATTCTGGAGCATCCTACATGTGTCTTTTGATTGCTGAAAATATTATAGGTCTTATCTTCTGGAAATCTTGGTGCTCTTGTCATTAAAGCGTGTCCTGGCTCCATCTCTGACATTAGGTTCTAATGTACAGTCTTCCTTACTAAAGCCACTGGAACTTGCTAATCAATATTGTTAGCTTAAACTAGACAAGTGACCAACTCACAGAATAAAAACAAGATGGACTGCTTTTTGTTTTTTTTCTCCAAGACAAGAAGTAATGTGCTTAGTACAGAAGAATAAAGAGAAGAGTAAAACTAATTCTTGTCACAACACTTGAAGATGTTTACTGCTAAACATTTGGATGTATAACATACAAAGTTGTACAGGGTTACTATATTTCACTAAATATAGCATGTATTATAAAAACAACAAGTGCCTAATTTCTTAATTTTGTGTCTAAAAATACTACTGGTGCCATTTTAACACAAATTATAAATCAAGAGTGGTGGGCATGTTTTTAATCGGGGTCTCTGAGTTCAAGAACAGCCTGGTCTACAGAGCGAGTTTCAGGACAGCTGGGGCTATATGGTTATTCAGAAAAATTATTCCTCAAAAATACCAAAGACAGCCGGGCAGTGGTGGCGCATGCCTTTAATCCCAGCACTTGGGAGGCAGAGACAGGCGGGTCTCTGTGAGTTCGAGGCCAGCCTGGTCTACAAGAGCTAGTTCCAGGACAAGAACCAAAAAGCTATGGAGAAACCCTGTCTTGAAAATTTAAAAAAAAAAATAGATCCGCAAGGAGAGTCTTGGGATGTTCTGGAGTCCTGAAAGAAAGCACCAACAAATTAATCAAAGACCCTGTTGTGAACTGAGACTGGGGATATGCTGTTAGCTGTCACAGGTTTTCAATAGTAAACATGATTATACATGGATTGGTAGATTTCTTTTCATGTTCTCTTTGCTTAAAAGGTAACTCTGTATCTCTCGAGGTGTTTAGCATTATTTTCAAGTAATGATCTTCATTAGTTTTTCAAAAATCTGTCTTCCTTTTCATCTCACCTTCGCAGATGTTTTTATGCAGTTTCCCGGAAAGAAGCAACCGAGATGCTGGAGAAGAATCCTTCTTTGGGAAATATGATCCTGAGGCCTGGCAGTGACAGTAAAAACTACTCCATCACTATCCGACAGGAGATAGAGTACGTTCAGTTAATCTGGCTAGCATACTGTTAGGAGCATGGTATTCTGGTCAGTACCTGGTACGTGCTCTGCTAAGGCAGCAAATGTAAGCACAAGCCTGAGAAGTAGCGTGGCACAAGCAAATCTCGCTCCTTACAGGGAATGAAGAGAACAGATCTGGGATTGCTGCTGTTTTCATAGACAGTGTTCACAAAGGCACTCAGTTAATGTAAGCAGAGACTCGAAGGAAGTGGGGGACCAAACCATGCTGGTAGCTGGGGAAGACCGTTCCAGGCAGCCAGTGCACATGTCCAGAAGTAGAATACTTCTCTTGTTCAGGAAGCAGGAAGTGTCTGCATACTTTACACCTATAAGGCCTACTGAAGAGCCTCTTGCTAGTATAGAAATATTTGTAAAATGATTTACCTTTGATAAAGCCAGTAATACTTAGATGTGCTTAGATGCAAATGTCAGGGCAGAAGAACTAGCTCCTTCAGGAAAGGGCTTGCTTCGCAAATGTGAGACTCTGAATTCAGTCTCCAGAGAGAGAGAGAGAGAGAGAGAGAGAGAGAGAGAGAGAGAGCGCTCCAAAAGAAGTACAAGTTAGAGCTGGCAGTGAATATGGCTTTTGACCCACACAGGCCTTTCTTTTTTCTGTTTTCTTCTTTTGAAGATTATAATATAATCACAACATTCCCAGTTTCCTTCTCTCTCTCCAAACCCTCCCATATAATCTTTTCCATTCTTCAAATTGAAGGCCTTTTTTTTTCACTGTTACTGCATGCATGTGTGTGTCTTCCGAAACACAACATATAAATATAATATAAATGTTCCTAATGGTTAGTGCATGCATATACACATAGATATTCCTTTATGTTACTTGCATGTATGTTTTCAAGGTTCATCGTTTGGCAGCGGACAACCAAATGATGTACTCTTCCCTGGGAAGGCCACTTCTCCCACTACAGATTTCCTCTGTGGTTGAGGCGTGCTGGGTTTAACCCTCCATACCCTTTGAGATGCCCATCGGTGTTGTCCATTTTCAGCCCAAGTTTGGGCTGTCCTCGCCCCTGGAAAAGCACCAGCTCCCAGAGTAGGAGAAACAAAGCAGAAAAATCACCCCTGTGCTCAGGGTTTAATATCTTCTACTTAATATGTCACTTGATTCTTAGAGACAGCAATCCGAGAGAGGATTAGAACTGGTCTCGCCAATGGAGAGCTTAATGTAAGTGGCAGCAACCCGAACTGTTGAGGAACACCTGTGTTTCCCACAAAACATTTTCTTTCAGGGAGGTTCCAGAAGTGATCAGCCATGCAAGTTGATGAGTGAGTCCGGTAAACACGAGCTGGGTAGGACAAGCTGGTTTACAAAGCAGAACATGAAAGTAACTTTCCTCCATGTGTTTACCAATCAGCCTTAGGAAGGAGGGCTCCTCTCAGGAGTAAACAGAGCTTGCCAGGGCCAAACCATCAGGTGATTCCTCTCAGAGCAGAGCCTCAGCTGTCTTTAGCCAGCTCCGTGGCACAAGAATTCAGAAGACATAAAGCTATTTTTACAACAAGCCTCAAACTTTGTTTTTCCCTTTGAAGTTGTTCCAACTAGGTGCCATTATAGTCAAGTAAGTCATTACTAGCTAAAGAGGAAGTAGAATATCTTTCCCCAAAATTCATTCTTTTGCAAAACTTGAGATCAAGAACTAAGAAAACATATTTAGAGCCACATATAAAGCAATGCTCTTCTTTAAAGACTGGCTTCTCTTTTTCTGTCTCATTTGGGTTCACTTGTAGTTCCTCTGACTCAGCCTTTTACGTGCTGGGATCACAGGTGTGTGCCGCCACCTCTCATTTTTTATATCATAACCAGAATGCTTCAAACAGCAAGTTTTATCCATTTTGCTTTTTCCTTTGCAAACCAAACCAAAACAACAGTTGGAATAAAAGTAGTCTAAAGGGAGAGACAAAGCCTGTGAGACTTCAGGGCCACTACTTCTCTGCATCACCTTTGACGTCAGAATCTATTCCCATTACTCCAAAGTCCCAAGAGCTTCTGCTGACCCCTGTCTGCTTTCATCTCGCAGCTTCCCCAAGAACTGATTATGTGATGGGATGGTTATTACCAATAATCATCGTCCCATCATATGATGACCTTTGTGTACCTTGTGTTGAGTGCTACAGACATTTCCTACAGGCACAAAAGAATAACTGAGACACATAGCATTTCCCACGCTTTACAAACTAGAGTGGCAGAAAACAATAAATATTATCTACATATTAAGTGTAGATAAAATAAGTATAATTTAGTGTGTCCTTAAATATGTCAAGGAGCGTACTAGGGATTTTGCAAGTTATTAGCCCACAAGAACCCTAAGAGGTAAAGCTTTATCATCTCCATTATGTAGACTAAAAACACACATGTGCATGCACGTGTACGCACACACACATATTCTGTCACAAATACACACTCACACATACATACACACACCTACTCACACACATGATAAGGGATGTGTAGAGAGCACATATGACAGAAACTGAGTTTAAGCCAACTGTCCTGTCTCCCAAAGGGTAGCAGTCATTTTTTTCCCAGCATACAGGAGTTCTAATTGAAATTGAAGAGAGTTTTCAACGGGAACTTTCTGGTTACAAAGATATTTTCCTGATGGGGTTATGATAAAGTCAGAGCCAACCATCTTGAACAGGCGCATGTAAGGTGCCCTCTCTCCAAAGACTTTCTCTGCCAGTCTGGACCTGATTCGTGACCTTTTATTGTTAAGGAACACTTCTTTTGAAGTGAGAAGCTTGGCTAAGGCTTATGTCACTTTGAAAGCAGCCCACTGAGATTAAAGATTTTCTTTCCGATGTGGTGTCCAGGGGAGCAGAGATTTGGATGTAATGGAAGATGAGGAGTGTCCCGTATAGGAAGGACACTCGTACAGTTTAGCCCTCGTGGAATATGAACTGGACGTGGGAAAGTTGTGGTTCCAAAAAGAAGGTGAAAAGACCCATAGACAAGTTAAACTTCATAATTTTCCTTAGCTTCAGAATATGAGGCAAATATTGAACTAGTTCAAATAAATGACACCATAATACATGCTGTTAATATGTCACCATTAGAAAACATTTGGGCAAAACACAATTGTCATGTGAACCAAATAAGTTCAAGACCAACATGCTTCTATGCAAAACTAACTGCCATGGACACTGACTTCTCAGCTCACAGCAGACAGCAGTATGAGATGAGGCCTGGATATTGTTCGATCCTGCTTTATAAATGATGCGTTTATAATGTTGGAACGCAGTGATGAGCACAATGGGATTTTTTGCTCCGAAGCAGTTCATAACAAAATCTTACCATTTGGGGTGGTAACAATTCAGGGTGATATTTTTAAAGGGGAAGACCTGAAGATATTTCTGCTGTATTTACATTCCCAACCACCTGTTATTTAGCAGCCGACATTTTCCCGTCATTATGAGATCCACAAAGTTAGCAGCAATGGAGGACAGCATTTGAGCTTGCACAGCGACAGCTGGTGAGGGCTACTTGGTGGGATTGGTGATGAGGTGGAGTACAAGGCTATTTTAATTCTTTTTACTTTCCTTTTAGTAGAATGGGTACATTATTTAACTTATATATGCCCACAAAAGATCTTTTTACTCCTTTGGGTTTTGGTTTACTTTATTTTATTTTTTATTTTTAGGGAGTGGATATTATACATGTTAGGCAAGTGCTGAACCTGGACTACATCTCTACCCTGGACTACACCTCTACTCTGGCTACACCCCTACCCTGGGCTACATCCCTACCCTTTCATAAGATTTTATAGGTTACGGACTGAGAAAGTTTTAGTTTTTATTTTCACCTATTCTTTTCTCGTTTGCCAATGTAGTGGCTCAGCTTTTTTACACCCCCTCATGTATTACCATTTGTCTCAAAAATAAAGTAATCCCAATGAAGAAACAGGATGCTCTAGCCTAAGCCATAGCTGTAGATGTACAGATTTACTACACAGCGCACATTCTCCATTTATTAAGCTTGCGTTGACTCAACTGTATAACCAAAAGAAGGCCAACCTTGTGCTTCATTTTAGAATGCCAAGAATCAAACACTACAAAGTAATGAGCGCTGGAAAGAACTACACCATCGACCTGGAAAAACCCGTACGTAGCCATCTCTTTGTTGCTGATAAATTTTCTCCTGTTGCTTTCCAAACCTACCTTAGAAACTGCAGAGGGAAGTGGGAACGCAGAAGTCTTCCTCAGGAACAGACACGGTCGTGGTAGAAGGGAGATGGGTACCTTTAGGTAAGACAGAAAGGGTGAGCGCCTCGCCAGCTCAGGCAGCTGAGATGGACTAGAAGAGAGCCTGCTTCTACAAGCGCCTTCCCCTCCACTTTCTCTGCAAATGATTACTCAATATAACTGCTTCAGGGAAAGAAAAGCGTTTTATGAAGGGTCAGTATAATATCCTCTATTTACAAATACTCAAATGAGCCTATATCTGAAGGGAGGCAATCTCAGTGCCCTGTTTTCTAATACCTACCACGCAGAAGTCCAACAATGCCCTCTTAACAGCAGTGTACTGGAAGGACCGGTTTCTTCTTTGTCTTCATCTCTTTTTCAAGCTTAGTTATTATATTATGGAGCTAACGACAGGCCGTCTTCTCTCTCCCCCAGCACAATGTCTGGTGCACAGCCAAGTAACTTACACATGCAATTTAATCTTTTCTATCTCCATGAGATATATTATGCCTATTATACAGGGAGTAAACTGACATTTAAACTAGTCTCAGGCATTGAAAAGGTGGTGATGTGGCCTGAGGTTCTTTAAAATTAGCTCCTGGTTTCTCTAGGTGCATTGTATAGTAATGTATAGGTAGAATTCCTCACGTTTTGACTATAAGGCTCACAGAGACACTGTTGTCCAGCTCACATTAGTAAAGACTGGCTCCAGAACTTCTCAGGTCCACATCTATGGATCCAACTATGTATCTCAGTCCATCGTAAACTCAAGGTCTTCTGTTCCCCAAGTGCTGGGATGAGTGGTGTGCACCAACCAGGCCTGTCTCCAACTGAGCTTTGTAAGCAGAGTTCTAACAAATGAGGCAGAAGTCTAGGAAGGGGCATCCATAAAACCATGTGACCAGAAGGGGTTCCGGTAAGGACCAGTGTAACTAGTGCACCTTTGCAAGTGGAGACCTGCACTTCTTGTGGTTAGCCTCTACAGTCTGCAGGAGAAGGAAAATAAACAGTCTGGCTAGTTCCTTCACCTTTCAAACTCCTCTGTTACCCTGCCCTTCAACCAGGTTGCATTTTTTTAATTTTAATTTTTTGGTTTTTCAAGACAGGGTTTCTCTGTAGCTTTGGAGCCTGTCCTGGAACTAGCTCTTGTAGACCAGGCTGGTCTCGAACTCACAGAGCTCCGCCTGCCTCTGCCTCACAAATGCTGGGATTAAAAAGGCGTGCGACACCACCGCCTGGCTTCCAGGTTGCATTTTAATGACTTATTTTACTTCAAGATTATTTGGGATATTCAGGTTTAACCAGATTTCACTTGTATAAAAGTATTGAGTTATAGGGTAGAAAGATTTTAGTGACACACAGACCCTTGTTACAATGAAGGATTAAAATGCTTAAAACTTCACTGGGGTTTCTAGTAGAGAAAACCTATTGTGCCCAACTTAAGAAAATATAATATCAGTCTATAAAAGATTCTTCTTATAACCATTTTAGAGGCTAGCAATTTTTAGGGACTAAGAAACATTTGGTTATGGAGTGGCCATGTTTTTTCTTGTTTGCCTATTGAAATTCCAGTATTAGGAAGAAATTAAATTGGCCTAAAATGAGCCATTTTTCTATTTTAATTGTGAGAAGGCAAAGTACTTAAATGTTGTTCACCAGACTGTACCCAATACTAAGAGTATTTCCTCACTAAAGAATGACCGAACAGTCCTTAAAAGGGATTAAACAGACATGGCTAAGAGAATCATTGCTGTTCAACAAGTCATTGAAGTTTGATGTCTACCCGATCTGACTGTCTGGAGGTCAGGACATACACAACAATCCCCACTAGAGTACAGGGGAGCATCTCTTGTTTCTCTTTAGCTGAGCACTGAGCCATCTCTCCCTTTCTTTCCCACAGGTAACACTCCCAAACCTTTTCAGCGTCGTTGACTATTTTGTGAAGGAGACGCGAGGGAATCTGAGACCATTCATACATTCAACTGATGACAACCTCGGTATGGTTTTCACTTTACAGCTGCATCGAACAAAAAACAAAACCCAAAGTACACCACAGGACAAACTAAAAATTTAAAATGTAAAGCTCTCCATTTGGCAATCATCTTTGTCAGAATCTGGAGGGGCGGGGGGATCTCCTTCCACACAGTCTATGAGGCATGCATTGTGATTATTAACCTCATTCCATCATTCTATCCTTCTTTATCAAACAAGTTCAGGGACACTAGGAGAAAACAAAACAATATAGACTCCTGGGTAGCAAACAGGAAATATAAAGGGATGGGCCCACAATCATGTCAGATGCTTGGGCCTGGGTAGAATGCATGAGAGTAAGCAAGGGCTGTGGGGATTGGCCATTTGGGAGTAAATGACCTACTAGAGTGCTATTCTATTACAAAGGTAAAGAAGCCAGATGGCAAGGACCCAGGAGTGAGCAGATGGTGAGGAACTACTGTCACAAGTTATAGCTGAGGCCAGCTTCAAAATTGGTGGGCTTCTTTTTCACACAGGAAGAACTTTAAAACAGTGGTAGGTAGCCGTCCACTAAGCTGAGCAATGAGACCTGCGTCAACAGTACAGTTCACACGTTCATTACATTGGCTCCATCTGCATTCTCGTTTCACCATAGCGAGGCAAGCTAGACTCGCTCATCTTCCCCGGTCCTATCCAACAGTCTACATGTAGTCACTGGGCAAGCTCTGAGCAGAAGAGGCTAAGCGTCTCCAGCTAGATTGGGGTTCATTCAAAAATAGTTTCTTTTCCTAGATGTTATAAAGAAAAACTTTGTCTATCAAGGGCATATCTGCAAAGTCTCATGACCAAAAACAACAGTAGGTTTAAAAGTCTAAGTTCTTAAGATATCACTATCTTTGGATGCTACCTAAAATACAAAAAGTACAAGAGCTCAGAGTCTGCAGGAATCTTAGGTAAATGACCAAGTGCGATCTTCATCTGTGTGGTCCTCTGTACACTTAGCAGAGGAAGTATATCTAAGATGTGGTCACACAGTTTGCTTGGCAAGGACTCTTATGGTATTCATGACTCTTGAAGCAACACGGTTCACTGGATTCTTGTTCTAAAAAATTCTTCCTGAGTCTGAAACATTGTTTCATCTTCTGCTATGTGAATCTAATTGCAGGCTTTGAAATACTATTAAAATAACTATGGCATTTCCCCTTAGTGTTTCAACCTGCTCTTTGAGTTACTGGTTCCTGCAGCCCCCTTTCCTCTCATCCCTAACTTTCTCTCTGTGTTGTCTAGCTTCTGAAAACTTCTCATAACCCATGATCCTAAACATGGACACACAACTATACACATAGTCAACATAATACATTGCTTGGTATGTATGCGGGAAAACACACCTACCAGAGTTCTGTGAAAGAATGACTTTTTAAAACAACATCTCTCCAAATCCTTGGGATTTCTTAATAAAATTTGGAGCATGTAGAAAATTCATTGTAACGTTCCTCATCCCTGGATATTATTCTGTCAATTAATTATTCAACCCTGTAGAACAAACCACCTCTGCAACGGCTAAATGAATAACTATTTCATTGGTTCATTGTTCTACAGATGAGAAAATTTGATTGGATTTGATTGGTGAGCTTTTCTGGTCTTTGTCACTCACATAGGCTCCAGCTTAACGGGAAATTGAAACTGACTTTGTCATTCCCTCCTAAGTGCTTGTATTATGGGCCATGTGCTCCCACACCTGACTTCTTGAGACTTTACTATAGGATTCCTGGTATGATAGCCAGCGTTAGCTTTAGCTCATGTTTCTCAATGTGTATTTGTTCTTACAGTACTGGCTGGAGCATCCGAAACCTCCTTCCCTTGCTCCCAGCTTTTGGGGGAAAACTTCCATGTTTCATTACTAAGCATGATTGTACATTTTTCTTCTTCCTCCTCTTCCTCCTCTTATCCCAGAATGAAGCAAGTTTCCTTAACAATTGCTACTTTCTGAAATGGCATTTTATTCAGATTGCATGGATAGATGCTGAAATTTGTGAGTTGCTTTTTTTTTTTTTTGCATCTGTCCTATATGATGATCACATATAGAGTTTTTCCTTAATTGGTTAATATGGTGAGGTATACTAAGTTTCAAACCTTACATGAAACCCACTTGATTATACTGTATTAAGTGTTGGCTTTGCATAATAAGCCAAAATATGCTTGCTTGTTAGAAATACTATGTTTTGTTAAGTGAATTTATTTCTAATATTCTGCCTTCTAAGTTTCAGTATGGTTTTCATTCCACCTTAGATGCAGGGGCCTTATGCTCAGGCTGGGGAGGACCCTGCATGTGCTCTCTAGTGCTCTCCCGACAAGTTAAAAACAAATGTAGTAGCTTTACAGTCCATGGGATAGCTCCATCTGCTTGCTTTCTTACTGACGTGTGTGTCTCTCTGTGTGCGTGTTTTCTGTAGAATTTCCAATTTTCTTTCTTTTTTTCTTTTGGTTTTTTTGAGACATGGTTTTTCTGTTTAACAGCCCTGGCTGTCCTGGAACTCACTTCAGAGACCAGACTCACCTTGCACTCGGTATCTGCCTGCATCTGTCTCCCGAGTACTAGGATTAACAGCATGCATCACCATGCCCGGATCAATTTTCTGACTTTCTCCCAATTAATTTTAGGTTCCACTTGGACAATCTGAGTATTATTGTTGGGAGTCTTTGAGTCCTTCTAAAGTCTCTGCAGCACTTACTTGCTTTAAATAGGCAATTATTCTGGCTAGGGTGAAGCAGCTGTCTCAACTACTATGGGAAGAAGCTCCAAGTCAGTTACCTTAGCTATGCTGCTTTAGGTTTGTACATCTCAAGATGTTGTCCTAGGGCAATGGTCCATACTGCAGCTTGGAGCTCAGAGCCTTCGACACACCACATTGTCAGCTATCATTCATCAGCTAATGGAGGTTTAGTTTGTTTCCTAATAACACTAGGTGGCGCTCTCTCCCAGTTCTTACCTCTAGGATGTCTCTAACTGTCCTAAGGATCACTGCTCTGTCTAGGTAAAAGAAGTGGCCTGAGAGCTTAGGCAGGGCTGTCCTGCTGTCCTGTGATCTAGGGGCTGTGTCTCTTTAAACAAGTTAGAGAGAGAAAAAAAAAAAAACAAAGCAAAACACACATGCAAAAGCAAATCCCACTCCCTCAGTTCTCAGTTTCTTGGTTTCTATGGACAGAAAGGATTTTCTTTGGGGTGTTAGGACCAGGGAAGAAGAAAACAGACAATAAAAAAAAATAATTGAAAATGGACTGCTGACTTAAATTACATCAAATGATTTTGAAAAACAGACAACCAGCTTATTATCACTATGTGATTGAACTGGTTTGGTTTGCTTTGTGATCAAGAGTATTACTCAACCCCCTTGCATCTGGTTCGTTTGTTATCAGAGTTATTAACTAATAGGGAGAACAAGTGAATTACAGATGCCCAGGCAGCCTTTTCAAACCAGAAAAGCTTCTGGAGTGGACCATATTTAGATTTTCAAAAACAGAAAGAGAAGGAAAACAGGTCTTCCTGAGAAGGCCAACCCCTCAAAAGCTGCATTTTAAGAAAACTTTGTGGAATCTGGTGATCGTTTCTGGGACACAGGCTTGCTTGTTGAGGCATGGTGTGAATGCTAGAACACTTAGTCTAATGTCTAACCTTGAGTCTAGCTGTACTTAGGGGTTCAGGAATCTGGAGCTGTGGAACTGGCCAGTGCGTTTACATACATACTAATGAAAAGAACCTGGGATTGTCTTTGAGCCTTGCTACACTGTGTTAGTGTCCAGCTTTCTCTCCGATACCAAGAGGCAAGAGCAGCAATAGAAATAGAATAGTCAAGAGATATTCTCTCAATTTATTCTTCCCAATGCCAGAAATTACCACCTTAAAAGTCATTTCAAAATACAGCACGAAAGGTATACAGAACATTAAACTTGAGTATAATAAAATACATGATATTTGCAGTCCAGGGTACAAAAATATTAAAAGAAATCTGGATATTCTGCATCTAATTATGTAAAACTTAATAACACCACCAGTGTTTGGGGAACAAGCAAGAAAAACAACTCCTACTGAGAGTAGAGAAAAATTTGGTGCTACAGAATCGCTTCATTACCTAATCAAGACTTTCCACCCATAATTTCCAGGTCAAGAGCCCAACACAGAAAAGTGAGAAGCTGAAGAAAAATCCACACAAGGCATGAAATAAAGTGAAAACAGCCTCCATAGGTCTTGGTATTTATTGTTTTCAAAAGGAAGACTTTCACTTTTAAAGACAATTATCTCTGACCCTAAATCACTTGTTTGGGAACAAGAATAAAATAATGTAGCATGTAATTCCATTGTTTTATCAGTAGGAAATCAATTTACTGGTTACCACCAGCTGTCTGTAGAGTAACCTGACACATGCATTTCTCTGTACCAAGTGGGGAAAAATTACTTTCTAAAGCCAGGTTTTTGTTCCTCCTTGGCTTCATCTAAATACATTTCACGTATACAATTTGCATTGCAGAGTATCTAGTTCCCCTAAATCCTACATTATATTCTAAACTCTAACTAGGTTTTTGGTAAAATATGATTGGACAAATGAATCAAATGTAAGTCATTTAAACGATCTGGTTGGCGGCCACAGACATGAAATGAACTAGCAAATGTCCACCTGGTAGGAATGCCATATGCCACATATTATGTTCATGGAACTGCAATTCATTTTTATGTTTTTCCTTGAAGCTATCATTCTACTAGCTCAAAACTAAGCCGTATATCATTAAAGGATGATAAAATAAACACCACTTTCAAACGTGCATGTTGTGTGATGTTTTACTCTTTTTGACTTTTTGGGGTGCCCACCACCCAGCTCCCAAATAACACAAGAAGGCTTATTTTTAGTTATGAATGCCCAGCCTTAGCTTGACTTGTTTCTTGCCAGCTTCTCTTAAATTATCCCGACTACCTTTTGCCTCTGGGCTTTTAATCTTTCTCCATTTCTGCATATTTTCTTTCCTTCTTACTCCATCCATGAGTGACTGTGTGGCTGGCTCCTGACCTCCTCACCTAGTTTTCTTGTTCCTCTACCGCTCTCCCCTCCAAAGTTCTTCTATTTATACTCTCTGCCTGCCAGTCCCACCTATGCTTGCTCCTGCCTCGCTATTGGCCGCTCATCTCTTTATTAGAACCATCAGGTGTTTTAGACAGACACAGTGACAGCTTCCCAGAGTTAAACAAATGCAGTGTAAATGTCCCACACCTGAAAATAATATTCCCCAACACAGGTAGACGGTGATTCATTTCTTCAAAAATACAGATCCAAAATCCAGATTAGATCTCTTGAGTAACGCACTTTTTTCCCTTAGAAAACAAGTTCTTAAATTGATTTCCTTTTTTTTTCTCTCTCTCTCTTCCTCCCTCCCTCCCTCCCTCCCTCCCTCCCTCCCTTTCTTTTTCTTTTTTTGAGACAGGATTTCTCTGTGAAGCCTTGGTTGTCCTGTAACTCGCTCTGTAAACAAGGCTAGCCTCAAACTCACAGAGATTTTTATGGTCATAAAATTCAAGAATCACATAATTCAGAATGAAGTTATATAGTTTATATCCTATCCTTGGTTCAAATTATTAGGGTATTTAGCTTGTTTTTCTCACCTAAAAACAAAATGAAACCGCAAATAGGATAGAATGGAGTAAGATTCTCTTAGTTCCAACATCTTATAAAGATGCTAAGGGAGGTTAGACCACAGAGCAAAGGCTGTATGAGGCCAAAGAAGAAGATGGACACTTATGCTGAGCAAAAGGACCCTATGGGGGAAAAACAAATCAACCAGACATTTAACGACTTTCAGGCTCAAAACTGTGGGAATTTTCTTTCTGTTTCTTTATCCATCTATTTGTTATGGAACTCCAGTAAACTAATCTAAGGAGCTATCTTCTACGCCTCCCTTCAACTTGCTGAAATAGAATTTCTGAGGGTTGGTCCACAAGTTTGCCTTTTTAATATATGCCACAGGTAGTCGCTGCACACAACCAAGTTAGCGATTATCTTAAATTTCTGTGTAGGAATATATGCAAAATCAAGTAAGGCTGTCTTTTAAATGGAGAGTTAGTGTGAAAGAGAATTCTCAGATCTGGACATAAAGTGATATTCATCTACAGAAATCTGATCAAGAACACAGCATTTGTTAGCACATTTACCGAGAGGCTGAGAGACTGACAAGCTGGAACGTCTGAAACAGTCAGTGGTTCCTCAAGGAAAATACAGTGTTTAAAACCTTCTAAAAACTAGACCTTTTTTGGAAAAAAAAAAAGATTTTATTTTAATATGCATTGCTGTTTTGTATCTGTGTCTGTGTAAGGTTACAGACAGTTGTGAGCTGCCATGCTGGGAATTGAACTTGTGTTCTCTGGAAGAGCAGTCCATGCTCTTAATTGTAGTGTAGTGTGTTTTACTCTCTTGGCTTTTTTGGGAGCCCACCACCCAGCTCCCAAATAAATCACAAACAGAGGCTTATTCTTAGTTATGAATGCCCAGCTTTAGCTTGGCTTGTTTCTTGCCAGCTTTTCTTAAATTATCCTGCCGACCTTTTGCCTCTGGGCTTTTTCCTGTTATTTCTGTAATCTTACTCTGGCTGGATGGGCAGCTGGGAGGGTGACTGGCCCCTAGCATCGTTCTCTCTTGCAGCTTCTCCTAGTCTTTGTTTCTGTTTATTCTGTCTGCCAGCCCCGCCTATCCTTGCTCAAGCCTCGCTACTGGCCAGCCAGCTCTTTACTGGGTGTTTTAGACAGGCAACCACAGCTTCATAGAGTTAAACAAGTGCAGCGTAAACAAAAGCCACACACCTGAAAATAATATTCCCCAATGCTGCTGAGCCATCTCTCCAGCTCAGAATACTTTCAACGTGTTAACGGTATGAAAAAGATAAAAGAAAGTTATAAAGGTGTATGAAAATACAAGCATTGACTATTGTCTTATAGAATTCAGACACTGTAGTATACAACTGAACGAAAACATGCAAAAGAATTGTGTGATGAAATATAAGTGGAAGAAACACAGTTGATACCTGTATAAAGAAGTCTAAAACTTAAAACTGTATGTTCATGAATCTGGCAAGTCAACAAGGAAAAGAATGACTAGTCCCTGGCCCATAAAGTCAAGGCCTCCAATCATTTAAAAGTTTGTTTACTCACGTCTGATACCTGAGGCTGTTGACAACCTCAATTTTTCACATGAGTTATTTGGTTGTGGAAATATTGCTGTTTGGGATTATGTAGTCTTAATCACTAAGGTAGTGACTGATGTCAGTTTTATTTTGTGCAAATGGACAGAATTTAATATAGTAAAAAAAACTCTAGTCAAGAGAAAACAGTGCTTATCCATTAAGAAAACAGAAACTATGATTTATTTTAATAAAAAATTTAAGATACAATCAGTAAACATATTTAGGGGAGAATGGAAATGTCCACATAAAACCCAACTGTAAAAAGGAAGGTGTAAACATTATAGACGCTGGGAAGATATGCTCTGTAGGATGGCAGAGAAAAGCTACAGCCTGTCAAACAGTAACAGCTGCTGGAAGAGCAACTGCCGGACAAGATGATCAACACCTCCTGACCACCAAATCCCAACAATTGTGGTACATACTAGGCAAACATCTAAAAGTTAGAATATGTAAAGGGTCAAAGGAAATAAATGGAAAAATTAAAATATGGTTAGAGATAAGACTTTAAGGCACAAAGATAACTCACATTGATAAAATACCATTCAGCAGGAAAATATAACAAGCCAAATTTACAGTCCTAGTCACTGTTTGATTGCTGTGAAGAGACACCATGACCGAAGCAACTTTATGAAAGGAAACATTTTATTGAGGCCTTGCTTACAGTTTCAGTATTCTACTATTCTCATTGGATGGGAGCACGGGGGGAGGGGGGGAAGGCAGGCACAGCCCTGGAGAAGCAGTTAAGAGCTACCTCCTGATCTGAAGGTGCTTGCATGTGTGTGTGTGTGTGTGCGCGCGCACACACACAAACACAGACATGGGTTGGCACAGAATTTGAAACTCCAAAGCCCATCTCCAGTGTGACAATTTTTCCAAGGTCACAACTCACAATCCTTCTAATCCTTTCAAATTCAAGTTCCATTCCCTAGTGAATAAATATTCAAATATATAAACCCATGGGGGCCATTCTTACTCCAACCCCCACACATGAACTTACTAATGTTGCCTCACGATATATAAAACAGAAACACAACACTGGGAGAAAAAAAGAAAATAAATAGGTGACTTTTAGTATAACTCATAATGATTCATATTATAGTTTATTAAAAACACATAAGGATATAGAAACTTTAATATTAAAAGATTTGATGACTCTGATATGTACAGAACACAGCCCCTAATGATTACAGAAGGTAGTAGTTCCAAATTCATAAAAATTATATCCTGGGCCACAAAGTAAGTCTCAAATAAATTTAAGGATTAAAAAAAGGGAGTGAAACTCTATTTTACTCATGGGTATGGACACTGGAAGACCAAATGTACAGTACTGAAAATTGTGCAGGACTTCTTCCTGGGTCTCAATCTGGCCTGGGCCTCCAGTGTGAGCAGAAAAATCATTTGTAGTCAGGTCACGTCCACCTTTCTGGTTACTGATACTATGGCTTCAAAGCTTCAGCTAAAAAGAACAGCACAGAAACTTGGGACTGTTCCAGACGTGAGTTCCTGGGGGGCCACTGGAAATGAGCCAAATGTGGGTTAGGGTGGCAGTGTTGCAGCTCGTTAGGATTTTTTTAGACTCGAGTTTTTAAATCATCGATATTTTCCAAACATATGGCTTTTGCAGTAATCTTTATATTTTACGTTTTAGTTCATCTAGATCTTGGTTAAGAAAAAAAATCTGATTTTTAGGACTAGTCAAGAGGTGAGGACCCTGGTAACTTCAAACCACATTTGGAACTTGGAAGAGACGAACTTTAAGGGTAAGGGCAGACAAGAAATAAGAGAATAGTAGTCAAAAGTTCTACCTTGAATCACACTAGTATGTCTAAGAAATCTGAGAGCCTAAAATTCCATCAAGGTGATTTTAGATTACAAGTTTCCAGGCAGAAGCAAAAACATGTCTTAATAGGAAAATATTATCCTATTAAGTAATTTCTTCACAATTTCAAGTAAAATACTGGCAAGCATTAAAAGGATACTGGTACAGAGAAAGAACAGAAGAAACGAAAGTCAGGTAACAGAGGAAGGCTTTAGATTCTTTAACTAGGCAGACTACATGGTCTGGGCTGGAGCCATGGCTCAGGGGTACGGGTACTTGCTGTTCTTGGGAAGGACAGGATCTCACTCTTGGGCAACTCACAAACGTTCTAACTCCAGATCTAGGGGATCTGCTGCCTCCTGGCCTCTACAGGCACCTGCATACACATGGACTGCACACGTGTACATGGCATACAAGGTGTGCACACACGTGGAAACATACCACACATAAATGGGACATTAACATTTTTTGGGGGGAAGAAAAGTGAAAAGTGCCAGAGTGACCAGTTTGTAAGTTTATGAAGAAATCTGAGAAAAGAAAATCAAAGGGCTAAGAATAACCAAGACATTTGAACAGAAAAAGTTGGAATGATGAATTTTGTCAAACATAAACATATTATCAGCTACAGTGATGGAGACAGTATATTACCATTAGGACAGAAAAGGAAATCAATGAAAGTTCAGTAAGGATACATACACATTTTTTCTAGTGCAATACTATCTTGGCAGAACCAGAGAAAAAAGGAAAACAAACTTTACCTAAATACTACTGATCTATATTAGCCATGATGTTCAGAATCAACTCCTCACGAATTACAACTTAATCCTGAGAGGCAAAACTAAAGTGCTTAGGAGACAAGAGGGGGGTCTTAGAAGACCTCCCAGGCTGTCAACGAGGTATTGTGAAACGAAAGACTAGTCCTGTTAGGTATCTAACCTTTAGCTACAGAACAGAAGATATTTAGAACTATACAGACAATAAAAACAGGGCTTATAAAGATCTTTCATGTACCAATGAGGAAAAGCGCTGTCAACACAAAAGGAAGATATGTAGCAGATCCGACAACACACTTTTAAAAAGGAGGTGGAAATGGCCACGTGAAAAAGGTAACCCCCATAATAAGAGAACAGAGGAACCAGTCAATGAAATACCATTGCATACCTACCATTGTCAAAATACAAAAACAAAACCCATGCGAACTGACCTCAGTGTGGAGAAAGCGAGTGTTAGAGCAAGGGGATGGTGCATGGAAAGGGTTGGAAGGATGAAATGGAAGGAGAAAATGATGTAATTAGGTTTTACTTTCAAAACTAAAATATTAAAAAGTATCTACAATCAAGCAAGTTTGATCCTAGCTATCTTATTTGCACTGGAAGAGAAACAAAATACATTTATTACAGAACTGTACTTATCCTGAACTAAATACATCTTTATCATTCACAGTCAATACAACATAAACTGGTATATTAATGCAAAGGTAAACTATACAGCAATGGTAAATACGGCTACAATGAGCATGGATAAGCCACAGCAATGAAAGACATAGAAAAACGCAACGATTCTTTACATACAGCTCAGAAGCAGACAGAACTACACTGCTCTGTCTAGGTATACACACAGAGGGGTAATACCACAAGAACAAGGAAACAGCTAATACAAAAAATAGGACAACAGTAACTACCAGGGGTTTAAGATGTCTGTGACTGGGGAGGGATTGGGAAGGTTTCTGATATCAGTGATCTATTAATTTCAATATTGGTTAGATTAAATATTTTAAATTATTCCTTAAACTGTATATTCACACTTTATATACTTTCAATAGGCATTTCTCAATTATGACAAGAAGCTTTTGCAGACAGAGTAATGGCTCAGTGGTTAAGATAACTGGCTGCCCTTACAGAGAACCTGGCGGGTCACAAGTGTCTTAGCTTGTCTCAGGGGATCCATGCCCTTTCTGGCTTCATGAACACTGCACACATGTGGAGCATAGACACACCCACAAACAAGCTTTCGAGATACAAGAGAAAAGCACACACACGGCCTGCTGATTCTTTATCTGACTCCCTAGATCTAAACTTTCTGATTTCTGTTTCTGAGTTGGGACTCACACCCAGAGTCTTGCGTATGCTAGGCATGTATTCTGCGGTAGAGCTACATACAATCTTAGCTATGGCTGTAGTTTTGTACTCTGACGCTGTTCCAACAATGTGCCATGAAAGATAAACTATAAAAATAATATATTTGTTTTATCAAGTTCTACTTTTGGAACAATGTGTAAGGAACTTAAGATACAATACAATACATCAAATCCTATAAGGAACCGACTTTGAAACCCCTTCTCATGCAGTCTATTTTTGCCTGGCTTTCTCATTTACTTCTGTTCCTGGTGATTTAAGTTAGGGCTTTGAGCTTGTTAAGCACACTGTCCCTTTGACTTATATGTCCAAAATTAGTCTGCTTGCAAAGCACAGAAATGAGGAAACAGAAGCAGTACTAATCACAGAATAAGATGTGTAGTTAAATTCTTTACAGTGAACCACAGAACATGGTTTATGACAATATTCTAAAATTTCCTATACTTAGTTTTAGGATATGTATGCATGTATGGATGCATGCATGCATGTAACCGAATGGAGTAGCATAATTTCTTTTTTGTACCCAGTTTGCACACTAGTATTCAACAGCTATATTACAATAATCTTAAAGTATAAAATAAAACAATTAAAAAGGTTGTTATTAACTTCACTGTGGCTTTCCAGTTTAGTAATATTTTGGATAGTAAACATCATTACCTACAGAAAACCAAAACAAAATGGAAAAACAAATGACAAAACGGATGTAGTTTAATTGCCAACAAGTCCAATCAATTCCAGTTGAGCTTATTTACTGAAGCAGTGTACTGAGCACGGTTCCCATTTACTTTTTTTTTTTTCGGCTTTTTATTTTTTTCCCTTTTTCTTTATTTCTTTTTTTTAAATTTATTTATTTATTAAAGATGTGGAGACCTAGGAAAACACAGCCAAGCTACTGGTTCATGTTTGAGGACTGCTGAATGGTTACCTAGAAAATACATCACTACCAAAGAACAGAAGACAAGTAAAAACTAGGAAAAAGGGGCATTTTTTTTTAAAAAACGAAGTTCCTTTTATTATTCCTAACCTTTTAAGTTCTAAGCCACAGAGCCTTTGATGTTCCTGTATCAATTTTATATGACACTAATTTTGAACATTATACTAGGAATATGCACAACGGAAGAGCACAGGATGACAAAACAGTATTTATTTCAGATGTAGCCATTTAAGATGAACCCTGCCACTTTTCTCCATCTCTCGATGAACAGAATACCTTGTTACACAAACTCACTCATCTTCCAATTGGATCCGTCAATAAGAGGAGGAGAGCAAACCTGGGTTAACACAGGATTTTAAATTATCTATAAATGGAAAATAAGTACAGGGGGTAAAGAGATGGAGTAATACTGATGTAATCTAAATTTGAATCCATCAAAGTAGCTACTAATGGTCTGAACTCTAAGAGCAGGGGCTCCAGGCAAGTGACTTTCGGAGGCTGTAAGCGCTTGATGTTTAGAATGTATGCTAACCCTTGTAAAAAAGAGTCATTTGCTTGCTGTTTTCACTGATTTTACAGCCAAGTTCTGTTTGTACCTTTTAATGAACACAATCATATTATTAATTGCAACTGTTCATATTAAGAAATAGAGCATTTCTCTCAATGAAGAAAAATTTAAAAAAATATAATTTCTCTCTTTGTCAATTCCCCTTTTGGGAATGAAGAGTAAAATGACATGTTTCCTTAAAACAAACAAACAAACAAACAAAAAACCCACTTTTTTTCTCCATTATATTGATGGAAGGAAAAAAGACAACTCTACTAGCATTAATTTTATATCCATCTATTTCTAAGGATAGTCCCTTTATAAAAATTTCAGTCTTATATACTCTGACTAGTTTAGAGTTCCAGATAAATAAAATAAAGGCATATCAACAATCAAATGATTAGCCATATTTATCTGCTCACATTCATGGGTTTTCTGACAGTTGTAGAGTGCATATAATACTGTTAACATTTAGTCCATGTTAACACGCCATCACCTCATGGCTCATAACACCACCCAGATCAGCAAAACGCTTGATGTACGGGAGGAAGTAACACAACAAATCGTTGGCAGAAATAGCAACTAACTGTAGCCACACAACTGTAATCTCTACCATCCCACCCCTAATTATGTCAGAGGTACAGTATCATACTATTCATATTGGAAAATGGGTATCAAACACCAAAAAAAAAAAAAAGCCTTAAAATAGGATTTAGCTTTTTTAATGGCTGGGATTCACTATTTTCTATTTCTTCTGGTCATAGATAAATGCTTTCTTTGTTCCTTTTCATCCACAAGGCTTAATATACAAACTTGTAAGCATTAGAAAATGGTATTCCAGTTTGAAGTTGTTGTGATCATAGCCACACGAAGCAACAGATGTGTACTATGCTCCAAAATGTTTTTTAATTCTTCAGTGTAGATACGTTTCCTGCTGATGTTTCCCTTAAATTAAGGCAAAAGAAATCCACAGTATTGAGCTGATTATTTTAGCTTCTGAATTAAGTACACTTTCCAAAATATAGTAGTCCTGGAGTAACTCCGACAGCTTCTATTCATCCGTATCATGGGTGAAGTAGTATCTTACTGGAGGTCCTGGCAAATCTTCATCTCCATCAGTGTCTGGGGCAAATGACACAGTAAGATCTACATATTTCTTCTCAGTGGAAGGTTTCACAAGTTTGTGCATTCTAAGAAAAATAAGCAAGGATAAATATGGTGGTAATTTGGTAAAAGGAAAGATTTCCCTAGTTAGTACTATTCAGAGACTGTGGATGTGTACATATACTGTAAAATATAATAATCTACCTATACTCTATTAATTTTTCCTTAAAGGTTCCAAACTGAAAACACTTATCTAATATGATGCCTGCTGCTAATGACAATAAACAAAGAAAGAAAAAAAACCCAAAGAGTAATACAGTGATTCTGAAAAACTGACTTTCTTCCTTTATTTCTTAAAGATTAGAGACACCCTTCTTGAATTTTGCATACAAATGGATGGAAATAGAAAACACTATCCTGAGTGATGTAAGCCAGACCCAAAAAGAGGAACATGGGATGTACTCACTCATATTTGGTTTCTAGCCATAAATAAAGGACATTGAGCCTATAATTAGAGATCCTAGAGAAGCTAAATAAGAAGGAGAACCCAAAGAAAAACATATAGGCATCCTCCTGAATATTAACCTTCACCAGACGATGAAAGGAGACAGAGACCCACATTGGAGCACCGGACAGAAATCTCAAGGTCCAAATCAGGAGCAGAAGGAGAGAGAGCACGAGCAAGAAACTCAGGACAGCGAGGGGTGCACCCACACACTGAGACAATGGTGATATTCTATCGGGAACTCACCAAGGCCAGCTGGCCTGGGCCTGAAAAAGCATGGGATAAAACCGGACTCGCTGAACATAGCGGACAGTGAGGACTACTGAGAACTCAAGAACAATGGCAATGGGGTTTTGATCCTACTGCATGTACTGGCTTTGTGGGAGCCTAGGCAGTTTGGATGCTCACCTTACTAGACCTGGATGGAGGTGGGCGGTCCTTGGACTTCCCACAGGGCAGGGAACCCTGATTGCTCTTTGAGCTGATGAGGGAGGGGGACTTGATTGGGGGAGGGGAAGGGAAATGGGAGGTGGTGGCGGGGAAGAGACAGAAATCTTTAATAAACAAATAAAAAAAAAAAAAGATTAGAGACACCCAGGATCTCCTAGCACTCTCAAAAGAGAAAAAAGTAAGCTTCACTAAAATCTTAAAATATAAGATGCCCAATCTATCCTTTCTCTTACTACTTGGCTGTCAGAATTCTCCTGAAATCTAAGTTGAGGACCTATTTCACACCAGGCTCTGAAGTACAGCGCCTTCCATTTGCTAAGGGTACTGTGCCCCATACCTACCTCTTTGTCTTTCTACCACTCATATGCATATCATTTCACTTTCCAAAGAGAGATCAAGTATACTTTTTAATTCTTAAGCTAAATGTGTATACAACATTGTTTGCTTTTACATATAATAATCCTCCTTCAAATGCTCAAATGAAATCTAACCCAAAACTGAGGTTTGATGTAGGAAAGTCCATGGTGCAATGTCAACATCTTCATTACAATGATTTTAGTTATATTTTAATCAATAATCAATGTGCCTGTTTCTCTGAGTACACTGTACTAGACATCAGGGCTATGTGTATAATAACAACATAGTAACAGAATTAGCAATTATGGAATACTACTTATTCTTGCACTGTTACATTTTTAGGGTTTACTATTTCTTTAACACTCAGTAGTTATGGGAACAAACATGGCAGAGAATCTGTTTCAAAGTTGCTCAAGGAGACAAACAAGTATTAATAAATAACCACCCAAACATGTGAACATGTCTTTACAAAACCAAGCTCATGCTCTTAACTATGCTCTCATTGACAGAACTAAGAATTCAGGCACTTAGGTAATAAATACCTGCTAAATTAAAAATGCAGAACAAATATCATTCATAAAGCATCACTATCACACACCGGTCAACTCTCAAAAGGCGTTATGTTTTTGCAGCAAATTTTTTTTTTAAAAAAGATTTATTTGTTTATTAAGTATACATTGTTCTGCATGCAGGCCAGAAGAGGACACCAGATCTCATTACAGATGGTTGTGAGCCACCATGTGGTTGCTGGGAATTGAACTCAGGACCTTTGGAAGAGCAGGCAGTGCCATTAATCACTGAGTTATCTCTCCAGCCCTTGCAGCAAATTTTAAATTACACTAATTAATTCATGATCACACATTTCACACATACCTAGGTAGAGAAAATTCAGACAATTATAATGTACGAATGATTAACTTCAACTGACGGTCAAAAGCTGACAGTCATGTTAAAGAAAATTATTACATATAGAGATCCATTTATTCATATAAGTTTTACTGATGGCTCTTCTGTGCCAGGTATTGGTCTAACTGTTCAATATACAACAATGAAAAGATCAAATAAAGATTTATGCACTGTGGAACTTAACGTTCTAGTGTGAGGGGAGGGGATAATGACAGAAGCAACAATACAGGCCAACTATGCTGTAGCTATAACACTATTGGTAAGCATTATGAAAAAGAAGAGGCTAAGAAAGATAATGTTTGCTGTGTAAGCATGAAGACCTGAGTTTTGTCCCTAGAAGCCAAATAACAGAGTTTAAAGTGGTAGCATTTGCGGTCTCAGTACTGGGAAAGTAGAGACTAGGTTTAGAGGGAGGTTGGCCAGTCAGTTTGTCCAAGATAGCAAGTTCTAGGCTAAGTGAGAAACTCTGCCCCAACACTGACATTAATCTCTGATCTTTACACATACTCTTATATGCATCTGCACACATTAGAACACACACCACACACCTCCATGTGCACACACAGAAGTGCATGTATATGAAACTAGTTGGTTTTCTGAAAAGATGAACAAAGTTGGCATACTCTTAGTCAAACTAACTAAAAGAAAGGGAGAAAAGACCCAAATTAATAGTTAGAGACAAAAGGGAAATATTACAACAGATAAAAAGTTCATAAAATCATGACGACATACCTTAAAAACTTATGTTATACTAAGTTGGGTAATTTAAAAGAAACAGATGGATTTCTAGATGTGTGTGACTTACCAAAGTTAAACCAAAATAAAAGAATTTAAACAGATCTATAATGAGCATCAAGACTGTGAAGTGGTAATTTTTAAAAAAGTGCCGAATCAGAATGACCAGGCTTTAAAGAATAACTAATTTCAATCGTCAAATTATTCAATGAAGTAAAAAAAAGAAATGAATGCTTTCAACGTCACTTTGCAAAGCCAGCATTTCTGTTACCAACCCAGATGAAGAAGCACACAGAGGAAAATTACAGATCAATATTCTTGATGAACAGAGATGAAGTTTCTCAATAAAGCACTAGCAAATGGCACTCAAGAACAATCAAAAAGAACATTTGTTATGATCAAGTCTGTTTCATCCTAGAGATGCAAGGGATAAACATATACAAATCAATCAATGTAATATATCACATAGATTCATGATCAGAGGTCACATGGTCATGTTTCAATAGATATAGTAAAGATTATTTCACAATAAAAACCCTGAAGAGACTAGGAAAGACAGTATCTCAGCATAATAAAGGCTATGTGTCAGAAATCTGCAGTGGGAAATAGAGAGAAACTTAAAGCATTGCTATTAAGATTAGTAAGAAGACAACTGTTTAGTGCAGTGTTTGAAGTCTTAAGAAGAGCAGTAAGACAAGGAAACAAAATGGATACAAAAAGGCAAAAAAAAAAAAATCCTTGTTTGCAGAAGACACAACCTAAAAGACTCTAAATGCTCTACCACAAAACACGAAGAGGTGATACATATTTTCAGCAAAGTGGCAAAACATTAACAAGTAAAAATTATCTGCTGCCCAATGATAAACTGTTAGCGGAGGCCACTCATTTCCCATTTGCCCAGACCCGAAATAATCACACAGAAACTGTATTAAATAAAACATTGCTTGGCCAATCACTTAACTATATTGCTAACTAACTCGTACATCTTAAATTAACCCATTTCTATTATTTTATATTTTATCACGAGGCTCATGGTTTACTGGTACCAGTGTGCTGGCATCTTTTTCCTCCAGTGGCTACATGGATTTCTGACACCACCGACTCTCTCCTCCTCTATCTGCTTGGAATTCCTGCCTTGCCCTATTCTGCATTGCAATAGGCTCAAAGCAGCTTCTTTATTAACCAGTGGTATTAACAGCATACAGAGGAGAATCCCACATCAACAAACGTATTGAGAAGCAAACAAAAGGGCACATTTCCATCCACAAGCTATACAATACCCTAGAATAGACAAAACCAAGGAAGTGAAAGACTTCTATAATGAAAACTTTAAAACACAGAAAGAGGAAATTAAACATAATTAACATCTAGAAAACACAAAGAAGTAAAAAATTAAACAGACAAACCAATAAAATATGGGTTACAGAATTGAACCCATTGAACAAAGAAATACAAATGGTTAAAAAAATTGTTCAACATTCTAACCATTAGGAAAAAGTAATTTAAAAAGATTTTGAGATTTCATCTTATGCTAGTCAGATTGGTTATCAGTAAGAATATAAATGATGACAAATGCTGATGAAATCATAGGGAACGAGTAATATTTATTCACTGCTGGCTGGAGTATAAGCCAGTGCAGCCACTACGGAAATCAGTGTGGAGGGTTCTCAATAAGTTCCAAACAGGACTACCGCCCAACTCAGACCGCTCTATTCACTACAGCTTCAGAATAGAGTCAGCCTAAATCATCAACTGATGGGCTCTGAAAATGCACATTCATACACTGGCGTTTTATTTTTTTTTTTTTGTAAAGAAAAATGGAGCTTTGAGATTTACAGAGGAATAGGTGGCAGCCCATACCCTGAAACACAAATGCTGCATATTCAGACATTCTTTCATATTCACATCCTACCTTCAAAGTTTTAGATTTGTGTTTAACACATGGTGCCTGGAAAGGCCAGGAAGCTATAAGGGGTTGGGGGAATGGATGATGGGAGGGAAACACCCTTAGGGAGAAGAGAAGAACATGTGATAGAAAAGGGGAAAATTTAAGAGTGTAAAGATTTACATGGATGTAACAAAGGGGTGTTTTTGGGGTAACTAAAACTAAGGACACATACAATACCCACATGGAAACTTTATTATTTTGTAAGTTAATCAAAAAATATCGGAGTTTGAAGGGAAATGTGTAGGTGGATAATGCTGTTTTCAGAACCCGTAAATTATTATTTTGCATACCCAGTTATATATGTGCTGTACATGTGTGCAGAAGTTCCTTGCTAAGGCATGCATGTGAAGCTGAGAGAATCACTGTAAAGTTTCTTCTTCTACCTATATGTGGACTCTGAGTATCGGACTTAGGTTGCCAGGATTGTGTGGCAATTTCCGATGTTCAATTGGACAACAGTGGTATGACCGGGTGATTGTGACAGCCAACTGCATTCTGATTTCAGGTCCTAGTACAAATCAAGAATCCATGTTTTGAGCTTTAAACCTGGTTTGCAGTTCAAGGCCAGGGAGGTTGGAGGCCCTGGTTGCACCTGTCTCTGTCAAACGGCCTACTATTGTTGCTTTGCTAACTGGACAAAGTTTAAACCACCTCCTAAATATTTGTTTTTACTCATGGATAGTTCTGCTGTCAGTTTTGGTCAGAGAAGCTACTGTCTGCAGTGAGCAACAGCTAATGGAGAAACTCCATGTGTTGAGAATAACTAAGTAGCCAGCCCCAAAGCACAAGGGAACATTACAGAGGAGGGGGTAGAAATAATACAAGAAGATGGGAAAGATGCTGTGTAATGCTATCTTCTGGACATGGTTATTGGACCTAACCATGTATATGTATTGAACTCACATCAACAGTGGCTGTGGTAAACTGCCCATCAATGTTCCACAATAAATGAGGAGGGGCTCCTAAGGTATCTATGGTTACTGGAGAAAAGGGAATCATGTGCCTCAGTGGGGTAGTTACTGGTATGTTTCTTAAGCTAAAAATAAATAAACCCCATATATGCTAGTAAAAGTAACTTTAATTGAAAGGGAGTGGGGCCAGTGAAGTGGTTTGGGGGTAAAGGAGGTTACTGTGCAGCTGTGGTAATTCACAGAGCCCATGCAAAAAAAGGTGGAAAGAGGAAAAAATTCTACAAAGTTGTTCTCTGACCACCACATATGAGTGCTTACATGTATAACTGTGTATATAAAATTAAAAATAAAAGGACCTGGGGGGGGGAAAGATATCAAAACAAGAGGGGGGGAATATTGGGAAAAGAATGGGTTTAATGGGAGGAGGAAGGGGATAAGAGGATAATGGAAAATGAGGGAATATGATCAATGTATATTATACATTACAGACATTTGAAAAGAATATTTTTTAAAAAGGAGAGCAAAAAAGGATAAGCATACTAAACTACAGCTGGGGAGAGTTGGCAGTGCTAAAGAGAATTCAGAAAGTATTGTAGAATGTGATTTTAAGATGTGTTACACCAGTTTATGCTGTGGAACATTAGTTTAATGATGAAGAGATGTGTTGCATTCATTTATGTTGCATTTGTTTAAGTCTGTGGAGCTCTGTTACTTTGCCTTTCTAAAACAACTGATTAGTCTAATAAAGAGATGAATGGCCAACAGCAACAGAAGAAAAAATAGGTGGGACTGGCAGGCAGAGAGAATAAACAGGAGGAGGTATCTGGGAGGAGAAGATCGAGGAGCAAAATGAAGAGAAGTAGAGGAGGACTTCAGTAGCTGGCCACCCAGCTAGACAGCAAGCCATAGAGTAAGAAGTAAAGAAAGAAATACAGAAACAGAGAAAGGTAAAAGTCCAGAGACAAAAGGTAGACAGGATAATTTAAGTTAAAGAAAAGTTGGCTAAAAATAAGCCAAGAAAAGGCCAGGTGCTCATAAGAAAGAATAAGCTTCTGAATATTTATTTGGGAGCTGGGTGGCAGGCCCCCAAAGAGAAAAACAGCAAAGAATAAAAAACAAAACAAAACAACCCTCCACCACCCCAACTTCAAAAAAAGACCTTTTTAGGAAGTGCAAAGACCAGAAATGAGAATCCATTAGCCCACTCTCCAGTCTTCAAGCAGAGGAAATGAGCAGAGCAAAGCCATTTCTAGAGAATGGCTGGGGTGTTGCACAATAGAGACCAGTGCAGAGGGAAGGAGGGAAGGAGAGAAGTAATATACAAAGACACAGAGGATCTAGGCCAACCAGCCTTGTAGGCAACTGTAAAGACTTTTCCTTTGGTATTTTTCTTCCTCTAAAATGCAAATCAGCAGGTAGGACCGAATAGGTGAGGGAATATCTAAATTATTAAATATAACAACTCAACCAACCCTCTTCCGTACATTTCTTCCTCTTTTAATTTTTTAGTTTCCCTAGAGCATCTACCACTACTTGACCATATGCAGTTTTTATCCAAACACCTCAAGTCGGAAGGATTTTTGTTCATTAATACATCCCCAATGCTTAAAACAAAGCTAGACACACGGCAGGAATCTTTAGCAAAAATCCACTGAATAAAACTATATTTAGTATTCTTGTTTGATATCTCAATCTCACAAATGTAGTATTCTGTTTACATGTGAGGCATGATTCATTTGAGAGTTAGACTGTTGGCTTTCCCTTGCCAGATTAAGTCTTTACTAATAGCATAAAGCAATTTTTGTATAATTCCCGTAACTTCCTGAACTTTCCAGCGTATATCCAACTTATGTTTTGGTTTTGGTGACCCTTCTGCAACATGATGTTAAATACTTACGTTAACTTTAACCTCTTTGCGTGACCCGGCATTACAGGAACATAAAGCATTTTGACTCCCTGTACCACCATCGTTGGCTCAATTCCATATTTCTCCTAAAGGTAAACACCCCAAAGGAAACAATGAAAACTTCTTTCAAACACAAAGTACATGGGTAAAAATATTTTATATCCACCCAAAGGAGGGCAGTCTTATATAAAATATATTTTATATACCCCCATAAATTTAAAGATTAAAAACTATCATTGTAATCTCTTTTATCTGTGGTGTCACTTTTCTCAGTTAACCATAGCCTGGAAATAATAAATGGAAATTCTCAGAACTAAATAGCTTATGTTCATGCCCAGTATTGGAGACTGGACCTAGGCTAGATGCATGTCAGCTACAGGTTCTTCCACCAAGTCACAGCCACAGCACTTAGAAGGAGATGTGTTAGTTTTAAATTGTGTGCCAGTCCAGGCAGTGAGAGGTCTGACACTGTCTACCGACCTATTAGTTCTTTAACTCACTGCTCTGCGCTATTCTTCAAGCAAACCCTATTTCAATATAGGGCAGTTCTCAACCTGTGGGTTCTGACCACTTTGGGGGTCAAATGGCCCTTTCACAGGGGTTGCCTAAGACCATCAGAAAACACAAATATTTACATTACGATGCGTAACAGTAGCAAAATTACAGTTAGGAAGTAGCAACAAAAAGAATTTTATGGTTGGGGTCACCACAGCATGAGGAAGTGTATTAAGGGTCACACCGTTAGGGAGGCTGAGAACCACTAGATTAACAGAAGGCACAAAGTGCAACAACAGAGGCTGGCAATTCAAACATGCCAAAGGGAAACCAAAACGCCTCCTTTCAAAGCAGAGCGCGCTCAGTGTTGTAAGAAATAAAAAATCAGAGGCTCAGGTTAAAATCTACTGTAAAATAAGCTAAACAGTCTTGAGAAAAATACTGTCAGTATAGTATGTGTTCTAATATAACACTCCTGTTTTTCTCTACGATGTTTTATTTGTAAACTACAATAGGTATGTACATACAGGAATGAACCAAGTAAAGAACTTAGTATTATTATTACTACAAGGACCTACTGGAATTTCTATGAATTGTAAGGCATGACATTAACCAGACTTCAAGGTACTAATTAAATAAAAGAAATAAAAATATCCTACTTTGACAGCATTTATGAAATCTGAGAGGGTAAAATCTTCTTTTCCATGAACAGTCCATCTGTCCCAAATCGTAAATGATATTCCATTTCTGGTACAGAAAAATATTAAAAGCACAAGCATTAAAATCTCTTTCCATCAGAATAAAAAATTTCCTGCAGCTCAGTATTTATGATATGCTTAAAAATTAATTTGTGGGGGTGCGGAATATAATTTTTTAAATATTCAGTAAATAATATAGGTAACCACTTTTACCTGTTTTGTGTATTTTTTCAGTGTCTCATTTCAAATATGTCTTACAACGTACCTCTCATTTTCTTTTTAATACTTCTTTAGTCTACACACAAAGTAATGAGTTTTTGACATTTTCATTCACGTATATCATTGTTCTTTAATCATACACATCAAGCTCCTTGGTCCCCTTCTGATCTTCCCTTCCATTCATATTCCCTTTTGTTTTTATGTCTTACATTTATATATAGTTGTGTTTCTCTGTGTGTGTGTGTGCATGTGTATGTATGTAGATGCATGTACCCCTTTGTTTTTAAATAGGGCTCAGATGTTCAGGTCATCAATAATTGAACACTTGGATTGTTCAAAACATTGGCTGAAATAAAAATGCTAGAATGATCATCTTGGCATACATGTAATTTGGCATGTGTGCAAATGTATTTATAAGTGGGAAACACAGTAGCTTATCTCATTTGTATGGACCATAGTATTTTGTGCTCTCTTGAGTAATATAGTAGGACAGGAGAGGATTAGCTCTTCCTCACAAGATGCTTCCACTCACATTTCTGGCTGTGGCCAAGTAAAAATGTCAGAAACAGTAACTCAAGGAACTGTTTCCCGTTGTCATGAACGTGCAAAATTAGATTCTGTGTTTCATTGTCTATAGAAAGACAAGAAGGCCTTTAGCACTATCCAAGCCAGGAATACTAACATATAATGCTAAACGGTGTAACAAACAACCGTGGGAGGATTCTCTGGCTAGTCTACTTAGAAGTAATTCATCAGGGTGAGGTCTGATTGGGTCCTGAAGAGCAGCAGGGCTTAACAACAAGAAGAGATGAAAACCAGTACGTTTCCTTCCTAAGGGTAGAAATATTTTCTTTCTCATTATAGAAGTCAAACAGACTTCTATACATACCTGATTTCAGTTTTTCTTACTTCAGATGTTTCTGTAAACACTATTATTGGAATGGCTAAATTAAGGAAACAGTTTCTGTAAGCTTCAAAGGGATAACCACCAGCTACTTTGATCATCTCCAAGGCAACCTAGAGAAGAAAAGGTGATCTGATTATCAAGAGCCTAACGCTAAAGCTGCTTGGGATTTTAATCAGTCTCGTTCTTTGCCAAGGTTCTAGCATTTCTCTGTCAATAGTAAGAACACACTGTAGTATATACATTTCTTATTTAACTGACCAGTATATTTTTAGTACATTTTACTTTTACTATTCAGACTATTCCATATATAGTGAACAAAGTTATTTCACCATTTAATCATCCTATTTTCAAAGCAGATACACCCCCCCCCCCAATAACTCAAAACTAATATGACGTGGGATACCCCTCTGTATACTGTAAATACCACTGGTTAATAAAGAAGCTGCTTTGGGCCTACTGCAACACAGAATAGGGCATGGCAGACAGAGGAGGAGAGACTAGACGGAGTCAAAAGAAAAGCCATGTAGCCATGCAGGAGACAGACATAGGATGCTGGATGGAACCTTACCAGTAGGCCACAATGACATGGCAATACACAGATTAATAGAAATGGGTTAATTTAAGACATAAGAGCAAGCCAATGAAAAGCATGAGCTAATAGGCCAAGCAATGTTGTAATAATATAGTTTCTGTGTGATTATTTCTGGTATAGGCGGCTGGAAGCGAAAGTGCAGTCTCCGACGACACTAAAGCAATTTAACCAACCAATATAGGGGTAGATAATAATTCTGTGGAGTACCAAGAGAGTACGGTATAATAAATGGTCACAATAATGATTTTTAGGTACTTGGATACTAAGAATATTTACTTGACATGGAGGCTAACATGATTTCTGTGGAGGGTCGAAGGAAAGTGACAGGATGGCTGGGTGATCCTCTGTTGCTCTTGGCTCTGAGCTCTGGGAGGATGGGACACCTCTTCTCTCCGAGCATGTCTGGCTAGCTATCCCTGGGTGCTCACAATCAATTATATCTCAGATCCCAGAACTCTCTCTGGGACTCCAACCTTTCTAGAGGTTGAACTCAGAATGCAGGGGATCCTGAAGTGCCCTCTGGATTCCAGTAACGCAGTTAGCTGCTGAGTTGGGGTCCTTCCTTCCACTTACATAAACCAAGGGGAGAGGAAAAGTCTGAGATCAATGTCTCTAAGAACAATTATACTCTATCTTAAGCTTATTTTTTTGTTTTTGCTTTTTGTTGTTGTTGTTGCTTTTTGAGATAGTGTATCTCTGTGTTAACAGCCCTGGTTGTTACAAACTTCCCAGGCTTACCTCAAAACTCAGAGATCTGCCTGCCTCTGCCTCCCGAGTGCTGGGATTAAGGCGTGCGCCACCACCGCCCAGTTATGAGCTTTTTTAATACTAAAATATTTTTATTCATAGATATTTTAGATATATAGATATACATTATTATATCTCTAGATATTTCAGAAATATCTTTAAATTTAGATTATAAGATCCAAAATCTAAAATCTGAGTGGCAAGTTAAGGCTGGTATGATGCAGGGAAGATAGAAGCGTTTTTAGAAGAATAAGCTTACCAAGCCAGAAACTGCAGCAGTAGATGTTGCTATAGCAGGGATAATTTTACCAGCAATGCGCTTAGTTTTAAGCCGGTCAGCTGGTTCAATGCTATACATTTTGGCTCGAAGGTTGGATGCAGCTGTGATGAAATCTATGTGTCCGTTACTGTCATCATCTTTTTCAAATGAAAGCACTGCCATCTGAAGGTCACCTGACCAAAGGAACCAGAAGAATGGTTTCTCATTAGTGGTAAGGGTTTTATGAGATAAAAAGCTATGTACACAGTGTGCATGTATAAAATTTTCAAAGGACAAGATTTCTAGTAAAAAAAAAAACAAAAACAAAAAAACAGACAAGTCACCAAGTTGAAGGATCTACTGAAAGTACTGCTCAATTAATAAGGCTATTTAGCATAACAATTTGTATGTTATTCATCAAATAAAAATGTATAAAGAAGTAGGCAACAGAAGTTATAATGGAACATGAAAACAATCGCTTAAATACCACCAAATCACAGTTTATATAAAAAAATGGTAAACAGTGAAATGAGAGCCATTTATGACACTAGCTACTTCCAAGTGCATTACAAAACTTTGGTACTACTCAAAATTTACCTCAAAATATTACTTTGAAACATTTTCTCTCTGACAATGAACAAAATCATTTATTTTTCATTTTAAATATTTTTAGATTAGTGATTTTCAATATCACTTTAAAGACTATTAACATATTTTTTCCATGAAATTTTACTGGTTCACACATGAAATCACAGAACTTTGAGAAGTACTGATTCATCTAACAAGAGATGATAAGCATGCATAAGCAGATGACCAATCAACTGTGCTTTTAAAGAATTAGAGTTCTACTGTGGCAAAGTTGTAGTCAGTCTGTATCCCTGGGCAGTACTGAGAAGATTGAAGTAGGGAAAGAGGTAGCTACACAAACACAGTATGAGGGCCTGAGCTGAGGCTCAGAATCTACGCAAGTGCTATGCACACAGTGAGAATCTGTAACCCCAGAGCTCCACAAAAAGATAGGAGGTAGACATAGGAGCATCCCTGGAAGCCTGTAGGTCAACTAGCCTGGTGAATGCATCAGGAAAACCAGCAAAGAAGGCAGGACCAGCACCCAAGTTTATCATCTGAACTCCATGTGTGTGCCATGGCATGTGCATGTGTACATATTCATCTATATTCTCTCTCTCTCTCTGCCCCCTACCCCCCCCCCCCCATTCTCTCTCTAAGAGACTTTTGGTAATCCTTCCCCCTAAAGTGGTATGTCTAAAAATATGAGTCGATTAATAACCTGATTTTTTAAAAGATTTATTTATTTATTATGTATATAGTGTTCTGTTTGTCTGTATGCTTGCTGGCCATAAGATCTCATTACAGATGGCTGTGAGCCACCATGTGGTTGCTGGGTATTGAACTCAGGACCTCTGGAAGAGCAGTCAGTGCTCCCAACCTCTGAGCCATCTCTCCAGCCCCCATAACCTGATGTTTTATTTTGAGATAGGGTCTCACTATGTAACTTAAGATGACTGTGACTTCCTGATCCTGCTGATCCACTATACCCAGCTAATCTGAATCTTCTGCTGCTTAAAAACAAGCTTGTATTTTTAGACCTGCTTGTGTTTTTAGACCTGTTCAACACTTGAAGCATAAAAACAGTAAGAATTACAAAACAGCAATTAATGTAATTTGGAGAATTAGATTTTAAAACTTGAAGGCAAGGACATGAGGAGTAATATGATTAATTTAATCACAGTTAAAGGACAGAAATTTTATATGATGATATACTCAGCTATCATGATTAAGAATTATTCCCCTCGATTTGTCAATATGGCTACAAGGTATCTGCAAGTGGCCCCTTACTTTTGGTGGCTTTGTTAGATGAAATGACCTTTTCTAGCTGGAAAATAGCAATCCTCTCATCTTCACTGGAGATGGGAGCATGGTCCGGCTTCCTTGCAGTTTCGTCTGTTTGAACAACCTTTAAACATAGTACATGAGTACAATGAAAACTCACTCATTTATGCAAAACTCCACTGACTACAATGATACTTTTATACAAAACAAAAATTCAGGACGGCTACACATATCACATCCTTGAGGAAGGTTGCTTTGTGGCTAAATTTTAGAGTATATAAAATAAAGGCATAGAGTAAGTCTGTAAAAAAAATACTTTATAAATACATGTAAACATATATGTATTTTTTTCATCAAATTTTCCTATTTCATTGCCAACTTCTCAGGTTCTGATGCTTTCTAAGCTATTTTCTAGGCATAATTATCAGAACAATTTTCCATCTATTTGGCAGCACAAACAAGTGCCACAATAGTACCAAAGCAAAATATGTTTGAATGTAATGCAATCTATAGTAGAACACATCACACTACTGTTATATGGATCCTCAGTACAGTCTTGCAATCCTACATCATTCAATTGACTTTTCTACTTTGCTCTCAATTACTCTATACTCCATCTTCATCTTTCTAGCTTATACTGAACTGTTAAAATTACTTCTTATTCCACCTAAGAAACTAGCACTCTTTCCCCAGCTCCCTTCATTGTCCCTGAAAAATTGTCAGCACTACAGTTCTGTATACAGAATCCAGTTCCATCTCATCTGTCTTATTAGCAACCACACTTCATTAACACCTAGTCATCCATCGTCTAACCAAGTTCCTGCAATAACTTACAACTTTTCCTGCTTATTGTCTGTATTCACGACCATTCATGGTACCAGGCTGAGAATGGCATACGCAGCAGTTTAATAACCATTAGCTAGCTAAGTGAATGAACTGCTAGCTTACCTTGTTGGAAGGTTTGAATTCCTGAATTTTAACTTCTGAAAGAATATCCATGAGGGTATCCATTGATAAATCCTGTTTTATTAAAAAAAAAAAAAGTTAATTTTATCAACACATTTCTTTGAACCCTGAATCTGAGGTTAAAAATTCTATTAAGAAAAGGTCCTTTTATCACATTAACTATTTAGCAACTTAACATATCACGTGAATTATTTATAGCCATTTGAAACATTCATCTCCATTTTCTCAGAATTGTCAGACACAATGGCTAGTGGAGGTAAGGAGGTCTGAAGAAAATGTGCTTATTAGTTAACAACCTTTATATTTTTGTTCCTTCTGCGAAATTTAAAAAAGGAACCATGTACTCATTTCTTTAGTATCAAAGTTTTACCTTTCTTGAGTAACATTATACACTATAAATTAATCAAATTCGGGCTGGAGAGATGGCTCTGCTGTTAAGAGCATTGCCTGCTCTTCCAGAGGTCCTGAGTTCAATTCCCAGCAACCACATGGTGGCTCGCAATCATCTGTAATGAGGTCTGGTGCTCTCTTCTGGCCTTCAGGCATATATGCAGACAGGATATTGTATACTAATAAATAAATAATTAAAAAAATAAATTAATTCATCAAATTCATACACTGAGAAGCAAGATACAATAACGATTCAAGTTTATCTAGATGAGCCTGCACCTACATTTATTACTAGGAAACTCCTATGAAAAATGGAGACATACTGCTGTTGAGGCTGGCTGAGACTTGTAACACAAGACTTTCTATCAGAAGTCATCTAAAATAAGCACATTCATGTTAAATATAGATACAGATTTGGTAGCACATGTCTGTAATTCCAACAGCTCAAAGGCTAAGTGGAAGAATCACAAATTTGAAGCTTGTCTCGGAGAGTCTGTACCTCTACTTAGTAAAACCCTATTTCAGACATGTTAACGACAAAAAAACTAAAACTTTTTTTTCCTTTAATCAGTTTACTTGAAGGCAGAGTTTATTTAACTCCAAATGCATTTAAAGAGAAAGCTAACCTATACACATGTGCTGTCTCTCAAAACTGCATCAAACGTGCTGGATGTGACGCAAAAAAGATAATGTCTAACAGAATGAGTATGCTTCTAAGGTACGAAAATCAAAATAAGACAACTCTAGATTTCTGGAAAAGTATACAAGTTAACATTAAAAAGGAAAAAAAGAGTACCTCTACAAAGTATTTTTAACTTGCTATGAAATGTCTCATGGTTCCTAATTCAGAGTAACTAGGATAACAGAAATAGGTAAGCAAGTCATAAACAGTTTTATTACTTAACGACTGTTTTTCACAAATATTATTTCAACATTTAAATTAATAGAGAAAAATTAATATTTTCTATTTACCAGTACTGTAATAAGTAGATAGCTTTTACAAATTAGAATGGACAGTAACACAGCAAAATAAAATGTGCTTTTCCTTTTCAATCCAAAAAAATGATTCTAGTTGGGCAGGTTATGCATGCCTGTAATAAGAGTACTCATGAAGTGAAAACTCCTGGCAAGTCCAAGCTACACAGCTGCAGTGATATTTTAACAAATGAAGCTTGCCTGAAGATCAGAGTGCAGAGCTAAGTCACCAGAGGCCAGGGAGTGGTGACACACACCTCTAACCCAGGCAGACAAAGAGGCAGGGGTCCTGTTAGTTCAAGACCACTCAGAGCTACCTGAGATTGAGTCTGCTAAAAGAGAAACAAAGCTCACACAAAGGAGTCCTATGTCTTTAATCCCAGCAGTAGGGAGGTGGAGACAGGAATGGTATGGCTGGGCAGAGAGAGGAATGTAAGGCAGAAGACAACAGCTCAGTGCAGTCTGAGGATCATTCCTTCAGTCTGAGCACTGGTAGAGGTGCTCTGCTTCTCTGATCCTTCAGCTTTCTCCCCCTAATATCTGACTCTGGGTTTTATTTATTAAGATCAATTAGAATTAGTGCTACCCAGCAAATTCTGGACCAGTCTTAGCTGTGTGAGCTCATGTCTCAAAACAAACCAACAAAAGAAAGAATGATTCTTATGATCTAAAAACACATTTCGACGTCACCAACCAATTCATCACAGGTTTTGATCACTTGCTAGGCACCGGAGAGGAGCTCACCTTTTCTGAAAATGGAATGCAATATACTGTAGCATATAGTTTTGCAGCATTCTGAAGAAAACTGAGATGCCTTTTGAAATGAAAATAAAAAAGCAGTTTGAATGGGAATTTTAAAAAAGTCAAGAGTAAATACAATCTTTGTATTAAGTCTTAAGAATTACATTTAAAGAATTTATTTCATAATTACTTTTTACACCTTTTAATGTTAAGACAATGAAATTCTACTTAGACTAAAACACAGAATAAAATACCAATTTTCTTTTGATACAAAAATGCTTATCAAAAACTCATAATATTCAAGCATTCATTAGCAATACTGTGAAGAAAGAAGTGAAAAAAGGCAAAAACTATTTGGAATACTTGGAGAAAAGTCCTTTTAATCCATTAGAAAATATTTATCAGGTATGAATGAGAATACATTAGGTTTAAAACAAGCAAAATAATTTACTTAAAAACAAAATTGGGTATGTCATATTGGGAAGGCAATTTATGATAATGTAACTTGAATTTTGTAGCAAGCAATTGCGAGGAAATTAAGCAAAGTGCTATTTGTAGAAAGGAAGATTAGTGAAAATAAGTTAAGTGTCTGATGAGAATATACACATATTAAGTGCCAATCTCAAAACAGTGCACATACAGACCTCCATACATATAAACATATAATAATATCCATACATATAATACCTGTATTAACTTAGGCAGCTAGTATTAACTGTATTTTCCACCTTAAGCAAAGCATGTTAGCTTTATTTAGTGTAAGAACATTTATTATCATTTTATTTTCTTATGGGCAAAAGCAGGGGTGACTTAGTTTCTAATGGAGTAGGTATTACTAACAATAGCTATTTACCACGTAAACAAGTGGTGTGTAGGAAGGATGTGGCTGGCTCTGTTGACTAGAATGACTCACTAACTCTGGGAAAGACCTTGCAGTGTACATCTAAGATATTTACAGTGAAAATATACACATATACTTACAAAGTTTCATTTAAATCAAATTTTATTGGAGAAGGTGGCCTTTTTGGTGACTGCCAAAATAAACCTGATAAAAAAATGAAATATTGTTTTCAACGAATACTGATCATATCCAGTACGGTACATTATGATTTCTTCTCAATACTTATACTCACTGCCATCTTTTAATCGTGTGTCAAGAGGAAAACAGTGAAGAAGTTGTAGAGCCTGAAAAAAAAGTAATAAAAAATCCTATTATTTACAAACTTTAAAAGATAGACAGTGAGGTCTCGTAGCCAGGCACAAAAGCTTTTATGTTTTCTCCTGTCCTGTCATTAGAGCTTTCTTATAACAAACATGAATGAATACTGACTGCTTCACTCGTTTTGTACAAATGGTATATCTTCCTCATAATTTTGCTTTTTTCTAAGAGCTAATCTTTAGAATAAATATAAGCAAATGGCATTCAGCATTTCAAAACACTATAAATGTGAATGGAAGAGGGTAAGAATGTAATATAGATCTGTAAATTAATAATACTTAAATCTAGGTGAAAGATAAATAATGATTACTGTGGACATTATACTCTCATTTCCATGATTCATTTTTTCAACGGCAATAACAACAACAACAATAATAATAAAAATCAATCAAAACAGGGCTGGTGCTCAGCAGGCAAAGCTACTTACTGCCAAGCACAGTACCTGACTGGGCCCTAGGACCCACATGGTAGATGGAAATGACCCCTGTAATTTGCCTTTTAACCTCCACATGAGCATACCCCAACTTTCAACAAAACAAATAATTTAAAATGTCATATTAAAAATAAAACCCCAAACAAACAAAAACACAGTCACAAAAGTTATAAACTAAAAAGAGTAAAGAGAAACAAAAGAAAACAAGAGAAACCATGATAAAATCAGGTGGAATAGGAAGTCTATTTCCTGGTGAGATGTGAGTACATTTCTCTAAAAAGCATACCATGTAGGAAGGGAAAAGACAAGTGTGTACTTCAAGACTGTGTTTAAAAGATATACGCATAAGTAAAGACCTAAGGAAGGGATTAAAAGGTAGAGGACACAGTCTGTTAGCTAAGTGACTGCAAACAAGAACAATAGATAGCGTTACTGAATACTTGGCCTTGGCCTACCCTAAATGCTTTATGTGATTAGCTTATTTAAAGCCTACCACTACACTGTGCGATATATGCTTAATCGTTTTAGACAAAACACATAAGATGTGTTTATGAGTTACGATTGGAAAATGTAAAATTCGAACAAAATCTCCATCTGATTTATCAGTCCATTGTTTCTATTCTGAACAAACTTCTTTAGAAAGGAAATTAATACATTCCTTTTACCTAAAAAGAAAAGCTATCCAAAACCCACTTTTGTACTGAGCGTCAGTTCGATGCATAGCTGACAATCAAGCCAGTAAGTGAAAACTAAATGCTTTAATTAGTAACATCCAAAGAGAAACTGGTCATACCCTAGTCTTCACTCTCAGCTAACTTACTATCTATTTGTGAAAGGCCTGGTGAAAGAAAACAACAGATACTTTAAGTCAGGGATGTTAATAATAACTAAGCAAATTACAGATCTTTGCTTAATGTCTCAGAATGTATACCTACCTTATGGTTAAAATACTTTTCAAACTTCAGTCTTGCTAATTCTACACACTGGGACCAATTTCTAGGTCTTCTGCTAAGTAGCTTAATAGCTTGAAAACAACCTTCTAAACTCTGTCCATTTTGCAATTTCTAGAAGAAAAGGAAAATAGAAAATAAAACACTTTCCAATTACCAGCATAAGCACATTCCAAAAGTATGAGTCAAAGCCCAAAGATGGATTCACAGGTTTAGTATTTTAATTTTACCCTCTCCCCCCTTTTTTGCCTCAAGTCCACATCTCTCATTCTTTCATTTTTTTTTTTCCATTACGAGTAGGAGCGGACAGCAAATGAAATTTCAGCTTTGGTGTTTCTTTATTCACAACACACCTTCATGTTTTCCTATGTGTAAGAAACTAAGTACCCAAGAGGCCTTTAGTATATGGAGTCCTAGGAATAGTAATTAGTGCAAACTGGACCTTTTATGAGAACAATAAGATTAGTGTCCAGTCATAGATATTTTTACTTGAATTAACCTGAACTTTGTTCCCACAGAGTTTACCAACCCTTTGACTATCTGTTGCTCTATCAATATTATCACACTCTCATTAGGTTGAACAACAAAAACTATTGTTTGAAGGTCCAACAGTGATAATGTCATACAGTTCCATTAAACTAACAAAGGCTATCAGTGACCCAATTTCAAGATTCCCGGTGACATTTCACTGTGATGAACTTTTTGGCCACTCTTATTTCTGTAGGAAGGTTTTGCTATTTTCAAGTACCTGGAAAACAAGGTTATAATGACAAAATATAGGTCTGTAGTAAAAGGCATTGACCTTTACCTGTAAGACTTCTTCTGCAGAAGGATAGGTCTGCCAAAATTTGTTAAACAATGAAGGCTTGTGCGAAAAGGAACTTTCAAACTGTAAAGAAAAAAAGTTACAAGTATATGTAGAAGTTATAATATTGCCTTTTCTTATTCAGAGAGGACAAATTTATTAAGAATTTTTACCTTGTCTCTTGCCCACTGGATAGTATGTTCGATAGCAGCTGGAAAGGACTTCAGAGTACAAAATGGTATTTCCTCTTCTGGGGGGTCCCGCTATTGAAAAATAAAAATCCCATTATTATTTGTTGCTGGCTACTTGTGTGGTGTGACATGTAAAATTTTACAACATTACTTCCTACTTTGGAAAGTGATTCAAGAATCCTTAATATATAAGTTCTCTGCATACTCCAGGTCTCTACATGAAGAAAATCATTTGAGAATCAAGCTTGGTGTTTTCCTAGAGGAAATGGGTATTAAATAAATGGGGAATGATTAAGGTGTCTCACTAGAAAAAGCACCACTAAAGATCTCCTTGTCTATTAGACGCTTTGTCTACAGCCTACTCAGCCAAAAATGACTCAATTATGTCTTTTTACTTAGAAATATCTATTTTAATTTGCTGATATATAAGCTACCACTAACTTTTTATAACTCAAAGAGGGATATTATCAATAATATTATATTGTTTTACAATGATTTTAATTTTAAAAAAATTAGAGAAATTTTAGCAGAAGTAGTAGAATTAAAGAATTCCCTACTGTGAAAATCTTCCCATGGGATTTTACATATCATCATTTCCCTCCTTTTAATACAATAGATTAAACTATGTAAATCTATTGTATTGTCATCATTACACGTATCAATGTACTTCATGAAAGAAAATGGGAAAACAGTGAACCCTAAGAATTAGAAAAATTTACTAACTCAAACATATTCCTTAAATCAAGGGACATTGATACTTATAAAAACCATATACCTTGAATTTTTTTTACCTGAATTGTCCATTTTAAAATTTACAAAGCTTACAATTACTTCCTAGACCCAGAGTCTCAGCTTGAGCAATATTGTAAAATCATTTATAGGGGTTAAAACTGTTACATTTTTCCATTACTTAAAATACACATATATATACAGCTTGGTTCCATCACTGAAGAAATCTGAATTTTCCAGGTAGATTCTGGGAAAATTACCAGCTTTCACAAGTATTTCTAATAATGCAGAAATTCTTAATAAAGATAAACAGTAGAAATGAATACGTAGCTATTATACTTGTATTCTTCATTTTTTTTATATGCCAGCCTGTAACTTATACACTAGAACCAAAAGATCACTAAGTCTTTGGTGATAGTTCTATTATCAATACAAAAGTTAAATTGCTTCTATAAACTTTCTAAACTCTAGGGTTGTTAGAAAACTTAGAAGTTCTGAGAGATAGTGAAAAGATTATTACAGAAAGGTCAAATACTTGTGATGATTTCTAACAATTGGATTTAGGGACCAAGGAGATAGCTCAGTTCACAGAAGGCTGGCTGTGTGAGCCTGAGGACCTACTTTTGTTATCGAGCACCCATGAAAAAATGAGTGTGGAGGTATGTGCCTGTAATCCAGTATTGAGAGGCAAAGACTGGGGAGGGGGAGTTTGAGGGGATGGAAGGGGGTGGTAACATTGGGGAATCCTTGGCACTTGCTCACTAGTCAGCTGAGACAAATCTAGGCTTCCTGAGCTCAGTGAGAGGCCTTGTCTCAAAAAATAAGAGTACAATAGAGAAAGATACCTGACATTGAACTCTGACCTTCACATAGGCATCCCCTTGTACCCTTAAAACGTGTGTTCAACAGATTTAAAAATGCAGATGCACATATAACCTGACTGTCAGAGCTAAAACCAAGATTAACAAAGCAGAGTCAAATTTACTGATTCCTCAATGAGGACGAAACTATGACATAAAAAGACAGACATTTATTGAATATACTGACTTACGTGACTATTATAGGATTCAGTCAATTGAGGTACAATAATTTCAGTGTGTCCCTTTGTGCCCATTGTTCCAGAATCTAGGAGAGGCCGGAGATTTGCTAAACAACGGCTATTTGGAGACAAAACATGTAAAAACAAACACAAAAGTGAGCAATAAATAGTAAAGAGAGGGCAGCTCCTGCTGTTTATTTAATATTCCACATGTTGATAACTTCTGAACGCTCTCTTGTAGGAAACAGAACATGGCCCATGTAACAGTTCTACTTCCTAGCTCTATTACACGTATAAAACTTGCTGTTCAACCTAGTAATTTTTGATTCTTTCTACTTACTAAATTCTGGAACTTTAAAACGTCTATTTCCACCTTAATTATTAACTATGTTATTCTATCTTCACTTACTTTCTATTTATTATTTATTTTCAGACTCTACGTTCTACCTCATTGTATTTTCTCTGTCTTTATTCCAAACAGGATTAGCTAAATGCTTTCATTAGTCATGTTTTTCTTAATTTTTTTAGTATATGGTCCAACACATAAAAACCCAAAAACAAATGCAATTTCCCCCCCTACTTCTTTCTTCTGCTCAAGATTCATCTTTTCTCATTTCTCAACTGGTAAGCCTTCTCTGACAAATGCTAACCTAACATTGTAATCAAATAATGATTCATTCAACAACTGACTTTATAAATCACACTGAATGAAATCAGATGACTGGCACTGAAGATATAGTGGTGGAAAAGAAATGGCCTCTGCATGGAAGATTTAGTGAAGAAACAAACATTAAGTAAACACATATGTAAAAATAAAAAGTAAGTACCACAATGAAAATGTATTAAGAAAGCAGATAACATCTGCTTTAAGAAAGATATTTAGTCTAAAACTTAAAGATAAGGGAATAGCTTAAAGGAAAGAACAGGCAGGTACATTTTGGGGGAAGAATTCTGGAGGAAGAGAAATACAAATTCCTCACACCAAAAAACAATTTAGTTCCTAAGGTAAAAAGGCCTTTCAAGACCCTAGAGAAGGCATAGACAGCCAGAATAAGGAGAGCCAGGGAAGACTTAGGCACATTAAACATGGGAGCAATGGCCAGGTGGTAGGTATTTTATGAAGAACATTTAGGTTGTTTTACCAATACTGAATTCTTCTAGACACACTAGGAACCATCAGCATGCTTGAATTTGAGTAGTACTATTAGAGTGACATAAAAAAGAGCCAGAAAATTTGGTAATTTTCTAAAAAGTGAGGGTGAAAAACAAAACTAAAAATGGAAAGCAGTTCTTTACGCACTTGGATCTCAAGAACATACCTGTCTACATATCTCCTGGCTTCCACATTATCTAGTGCTGTGATAATGATATCTTGCTTAGTGTAAAATTCATCACTGTATATAACCTCAGTGGCAGGACACACTTTGTTCAGGTGTGCATCTATTTTTAATTGAGGGTTTATTTTCAGAGTTGCTTCAGCAGCAGTATAGCTTTTAGGTTTCTAAACAAGTAACAAAAACAGAAGCAATAAATGTTAAACAGAAAAGATGAACTATGACTGAATTTACATATACTAATCATTTGGAATATATATGAGGTGACAGCAAGGCAATGAAACTAGCTCAAATAATTTACACGCTAACAATCTAAACAATTTTCATTTTTTTTTTTTTTTTTTTGGTTTTTTTCGAGACAGGGTTTCTCTGTAGCTTTGGAGCCTGTCCTGGAACTAGCTCTTGTAGACCAGGCTGGTCTCGAACTCACAGAGATCTGCCTGCCTCTGCCTCCCGAGTGCTGGGATTAAAGGTGTGCGCCACCACCGCCCGGCTACAATTTTCATTCTTTAGCAAAGTGTTTTAGAGAGTTTAAAAATATTCAAAAAATGCTATTTAAGTCTTAAAAACAATATTTTAAAAATTACAGTTTTATTAGCCATCATTGAATCTTTGTGTTATTTCAGGGGCACGAAGGTCCATTTTGAATACAGGCTCTGAATCTATATTCCTTTAGAGCAGCTTTTGAATTTAGGCATCTGATCTAATAATAATGGTCTTTCTGTCTCTTCTGGCTCTATGAAGCTAACATCTTTTATTTTTTTACTGTAAAAACAATGTCAGAAGCTCTTAGAACTCAGGAAATTAATAAAGAGGTCTTCATTGTTCACCTAGAGATAATGCACAAAATGAATTGTTTTAATCGATATTGTAATTCACAAGAGGCTCCATTGCCATGTCCTTTGTTTTTATACGCGTAAGAGGACATCAGGCTAACTATGATACTGGTGTGGTCCATCTGTTCAGAGCATGCCTAAACTTCATTTCCTAAGTAAGACTGACAATGAGTTGACAACAAAGGGAAAATATATTTTGGATTAATACATTTCTTTCTTTTCTATACTGTTTATTTGATACAGGGTTTCACCAAGTAACTGACTAGCCTCTTACTCACTGTGTAGACCGGGCTGGCTTGGAACTCAATGTCCTTGAGAGTACTGATTAAAGTAATGAGCTACCAAGCACTGCCTTTCTCTTTTCCTGATTTAAACATTTTAATCTTTGAAAAAAACTAGTAGTCTTTTTACAATCAAAGGGATGTTAAATAAAAATAGCACAGCAATTTAAAATTCTAACTCTTAAACTTACCTGTTTTGTAACAAAAAGAAACAAGAAGTAGAGTTAAAATCTGTGCTTTCAAGCCTGAAATTAGAGGGCTTGTTTACGGAAACACTCTGGCGACTACAAAAGTACTACACATGTTTTCCAGCTCAAATACTAACATCTAAAAATCACTGCAAAAGCCAACTTTATTATACATGAAAGGTAAATTTTTATTTTCTTCATTTTGTTCTTCCCAAAGGACATGTCTTTCCTTCTCTTAGGAGTCTAACAAAGGACAACCATTATTTATTTATGAGAAGAAACATTAACAAACCTGTATGTGATGAGGACGAAACAGGAACTGTCTGTTTAGGTTGGATTTTTCTATCAAATCAGGATCTGTAACTGTAACCTTATATCAGAGGAGAACAAAACAAATAAATCTGCTTTGCATTTCTCACTATGACTGGAACGGTACCCTCAAATTATTTTTCTAGTAAAAGTCATTACAAAAGTAAAATTCTGAAGTTGCCAATAATATGCTATCATAGATTACCAATTAATATTTAGTCAATGAGCACAGTCCAACTAAGGCAAGATCTATAAACTATAAGGCCATTGAGTATTTCTTAAATTATTTTTATGTCTGAGGCTATCTGCATTCTCAGAGCAGTCAACTAGTGTTGCAGATAGATTTTACAGCCCTAAAATACTTGAATTTAGCCTCTTAAGAAAGCGTAGACTAACCCCTAAAGATGAAAGGCAACAAAAGCTCAGTTAGACTTAAGAAGACTGGCCTAGGTACAGTGCTGCTCAGCATGGGTTCCAGTTTCAGTGCTAACTGGTGTTCGTGCACTGATTTTTCTTTTAGTAATTTTCCTAATCTATGTGCCTACTTTTTTGTGGAATTTTATGTTAGAGGGTTATCTGTTTCAATTTAACAAGTACAAATATTATGGTTGAGATACAGTGTCTACAAAAAGGCTCACTGTGTCTTTGATTTTGGGCTTCTAAGACATGAAGCTTTGTAAATCAAACATTTTTATGTAGTTCCAAATTTTGGAACAAACATATCACTTCAGCTATTGCGGAGGCTGAAGTAGAAAGATTTTAACTACAAGGCCTGCCTAAACTACAAAGTAAATGTAAGGCCAGCTTAGGCAATTCAGCAAGAGACTGAAAAAAAAAAAAAGTAAAAAAAAAAGGGGGGGGTTAGAGTTCAGCTTAGTTTTGGTGGACTTGACTAATACGTGCAAGGACCTAGGTTCAATTCCCCATACAGAAACAACCCTAAAATTAGCTTTAAGTTATCTAAATTTTCCATGTTCTAACTAAACAATTTAGTAAGATTCAAAAATTTTTTCCCAATTTTAAGTCAGAAAAGATTTTAAAAATGAATCATTTCACATACTTAAATCTAAGTATGCACGTTCATAAATTTTATGGCTTATCGATACTTCATGCATGTCTACATCATATAAAAGACCTTACATTTACATGTCACATACCCTTTACTCTGCCCTTTCTCAAAGATAATTAAACACAGAAATGTAGGCTGACAGGCATTTTTTTCCCTTTCATAATAAAGCTAACCTCCATTACTGTCTTGCACTGATTGTTACTCAGATGTCTCTTTTAGAATCCCTTCCTGCACACTGTCGACTTCACTATTATTAAATCTACTGAGTGTACAGAATCTATTTTGAAAAATTGTCAATGTTCCTTTTGTGTTCCTACTTTCCGTATCATTTTTAAATTTAAAGATTTTTTTAATGTAGATTTTTCTTTGTGGTGGCTGTTTTTTTTTTTAATTTACACATTATTTATTTATGTGTGTGAGCACACATGCACAAGCCACACCAGGGCGGGCATACATGTGAAGTGAGTCTGTGTATGTGTATGTTCATGCGGTATGGGCATTTATATGCCAGGGTGCGTATGCAGAGGCCAAAGGATAACTTGTAGGAGTCAGTTCTCTCCTTCTACCATGTGGGTCCTTGGGATTAAAAGCAGGTCGACAGGCTTGGTGACAGCATCTTTACTTCACGAGCCATCTCACCAGGCCAGGGTTTCAGTTTTTAAAGTGTAAATCATCAATGGATAATATTTGCTATGCAGAGTCTATGTGCTCTGGGTTTATAGGGACAGCTATGACTGAATTTTACACCTGTTTAAAAGACTGGAGAGTTCAACGGCCCTAAATTTTCTATAACATCTCTGCTTGAAATTTTACCCAATATAACATTGGATCCATATATGGGTATGGAACATGGTCTAAGACCATGTGAGTGATTTCTCCTTCTACTTGAAGTTTTAGACATCAAAGGGAACAAGAAAAAATGTATTTGGTGTTTAACTCAAGGTTTCATTTCTCCCTTGATTCTAGGTACCTGGGGATTTCTCTTTCCATCTTGACTGTCTGTGAACACTACAGTTTTTTTTTTTTTTTGTTTTTGTTTTTGTTTTTCGAGACAGGGTTTCTCTGTAGCTTTGGTGCCTGTCCTGGAAACACTACAGTTTTGATATAGAAAGTCTCTGTATTCAGAGTGACTGTGGCCTGCCGACATTACATGCTTTATTTTGCTGTCTGTTATAAATAGATTTCTTCACTATAGCTCTTGTCCAGACCTTTACCTACTAAAAGCACTGTTACTGTTCACACAGTTAAAACATTCAGGTGGGCCAGGCGGTGGCACACACCTTTAATCCCAGAACTCGGGAGGCAGAAGCAGGGGGATCTTTGTGAGTTCAAAGCCATCCTGGGTTGTTACACAGAGAAACCCTGTCTTGAAAAACAAAAACAAACAAAAAACAAAACAAAAATTCAGGTGACCCACAAGTTTATAAAGGAATTTTTCTTTTCTTTCTTTCTTTCTTTCTTTCTTTCTTCCTTCCTTTCTTCCTTTTTTTCTTTCTTTCTTTAAAATCAAATGACTTTTAAGTCAGTAGACTCGTGGTTTATGGAGCACAATTTAGGAAATGCTAAGCATGGAAAATATAAATATGTACCTCTTATAGCTATGATAATAATGAATTCCTTGTAAAACTAGAATAAGACAAAATGTGAATTATCATCTACTTTTCAGTTACCTGTGTAGTGTCATTGTTATTTACTAAGTTAAATATACGAACTTCGTAGTTACCAAGATAAATATATAAAGTCAGTAATGAAATTTTTTATCTTAAAAGATAAAACGACTACTAATAATTATTTTAAATGCCCATTTTTATGCCCATTATTTTGCAATGAACTCAGTCTGAGAAAATTTAACTGTAAAATGCCAAAGTATCTACTATTCCCACTGTCTGAAACTCACTTATTAAACTATATTAGCTCTCTGCAACTTGCTAATGTCATCTCTCATGTTTAAATATTCTTAATATTTAACAACAGTATAACAAAATAATAACATGGTTTTCAGTTTGCAAAGTTATGACAATAAACATTGCTTTATAATTTTGATCTGGATGGTGACTACAAAAGAAAAGATAGCCCATTTTCAGTTTCTGAAAATTTCAGAAAGAACAGAAAAACAGAATTTGTCACTTAAAGTGACCAGAAGACAACTAAAATCTTCCAATTCTTAATGATCTACTTGAAACATAGGCTGAAATAGTCAAAGACAGTTCAGAAAAGCGCAACACCAGAAATACAAACGTGTAACTCTCAAAAGCCTTGTATCTTACCAATCCTTCCTCTCTGCTTGTACCAACACCCAGTAAGGCGAAATTTTTTAACATTTCGCAGCCTATGGCACCACATCCTACCTATTGAAGAGAGTAGAGTATAAATGTCAGACGATAAAACTATGCCTACTCAACAGGGAACATTTTCAGTCAGTTTTCTTTTAAATGCTATTACAATAAAAACTATTTTAAAAAATGACCATTTGTGATTCACTTGTGACAGATTGTACTTGCACAGGTTTCATAAGACCTTGTAAGTGTCTCAAAGGCAAAAAAAAAGCACAAACAAATAAGGAGAATGTACTATTTATAACACTTCCTCTGAACAGAAAACGCTGAACACAGAACTCATTTTTACACAGGATAGAAAACAATGGCAGAAACAAACCAACAAAACCCATCCAAACCCAGAATTACTCTATGAATTTTTTTTTTTACTTTTATATCTGTCTGTTGATCTGAAAGGTGAAGTTTAAGACAATTCTAAGAATTTTAAGTAAAACAGATACTGAATTATTATAAGAAGTTCCATCTACATGCAAAATCTCAACAGCAATTATAAATCTTTAAAATATTACTTTATAGAAATGATTGTTAAAATCAAGTATTATTTTTAAGACTTGCCAAGAAAGTTATGCTCTTGAGAAAAATCTCTCTCACACAATTTTAAGACATTTTAAAAAGAGAATATGGGCTGGAGAGATGGCTCAGCAGTTAAAGAGCACTGGCTGCTCTTCCAGAGGTCCTGAGTTCAATTTCCAGCAACCTCACGGTAGTTTACAACCATCTAAAATGAGATCTGGTACTCTCTTCTGGCCTGCAGGCAATACATGCAGGCAGAACAATGTATACTTAATAAATAAATAAATCTTTCTTTTTTTTAAAAAGAGAACATATTTGCTCATTTCTTAATTTAGTGAGGAAAATAACTCCACATTTTAAAAATACTTCTAGAAAATCATTTAATGTTGAAAGCTATTATATTCAGATTTTATTTTGAAATGCATATTCCTTGGATTATGAATTGGCTAATGTTTTATGGAAAGGGCCAGAGAGTCAGTATCTTAAGCTCTGGGGGTTATATGACTTGTGAGTCACTCATTTAGAGCCAGCTGTTGACAGTAAACAGCAGTTGAACACACTTCTTATTCCCATTCTTATTCATACTTACTAGGAAGACACTCAGATTGTGAAGCTTCTGACATAATGTATCTCCAATGCAGGCTCGCAAGGCATCATATCTATCTCCTCTGGAGAAACATTTACCAAGAAAACAGGCACAAGAAATACATTTTTTTATTATTATTATTATTATTTTGGTTTTTTCGAGACAGGGTTTCTCTGTGGTTTTGGAGCCTGTCCTGGAACTAGCTCTTGTAGACCAGGCTGGTCTCGAACTCACAGAGATCCGCCTGCCTCTGCCTCCCAAGTGCTGGGATTAAAGGCGTGCGCCACCACCGCCCGGCCACATTTTATTATTTTTAATAACAATTTAGTATTGTGCTTTAAAGGAGAACATACTGTAAGAGTTTCCTCCATCCCTTCTCATGTCTAAACAAAGATCCAGAGGAAATTAATGATGCTAAGAGGAAAAGGTCGCTGCCAGAGAGGAGCCCCTCACTGGTGATACAAAGCCAACAACCCTGAACCCAAATACACACAAACCACACTAACTGCACTTAGCAGAATGTGTTTAGATATTTATGCATATATATATAAAGCAAATTAGAAAAAAAAAGGCCATCAATTTGAGAGGGAGTGAGGTGTACTGACAGGGTCAGAGAGAGGACAAGGAAGAGGGAGTTGATGTAATTATATTTTAATTAATCCATTTTATATAAAATTTTTTCCCCTTAATTCATGAGAACTACCTTCTTTGAAAAAGACCCTACCTGATGGAGGAGGGTCATTGGCTAATAAAGGAACTGCCCTGGCCCATTTTATTGGTTAGAGGATAGGTGGGAGGAGTAAACAGAACAGAACGCTGGGAGGAAGAGGAAGTGAGCTCAGAGACTCGACAGCTCTCCTCTCAGGAAGCAGACGCCTGAGAGAGACGCCATGCCCCACTCCCGGGATAAAGCTCCGACCCAGGATGGACTAGGCTAGAATCTCCCCGGTAAGCGCACCTTGGGGTGCTACACACAGATGATTAGAAATGGGCTAAATTAATATGTGAGAATTAGCCTAGAAGAGAATGGGCCAAGCAGTGCTTAAAAGAATACAGTGTCCGTGTAATTATTTCGGGGCATAAGCTAGCCGGGCAGGCGGCTGGGGTGTTGGGGACGCAGCCCTGCCGCCGCCCTTATTACTTCACCTACCAATATCGAAATGACTTAAGTAAAGATGACTTTAATTTATAATGAGGGATCCATTCTAAGATCATCAGTGGATTCCTGAAACTTTGGATTATACTGATCCCTAAGCATACTAAATTTTATACTATACATAATTTATAGACTTATAACACCACACACTATGGTAATATCTGTAGGTCGAATACCAAAGAAAAATTAACACATTTCTTTCCACTTCTTGGCAATGTTGTGGTTAGATTATTTCTTCTTCCTAAAATTATTTATTTATTTATTTGGTTTTACAAGGCAGGGTTTCTCTGTATATCCCTGGTTATCCTAGAACTCACTGTGTAGACCAGGATGGCCTCAAACTCACAGAGATCCGCCTGCCTATGCCTCCCAAATGCTAGGAGTAAAGGTGTGCACCATCACCATGCCCAGCTAAAACTTATGTTTTAGTTTAGTTTGGCTTAGTTATTTTTAGTTGTGTTGAGATAGGGTCTTGCTTATGACACCTAGGTTTGTCCTGAACTATGTGCATGGCCACTACTCCTGCTAGACTTACCAAATCTTTACAACCTCAATGTAAAGCTTTTTTGTTTTAATTAATATTTTTTCCTTTATTTTACATATGGACCAGTTTTCTCTCCTTCCTCTCCTACTCACACCTACCCGCCCTCCCCATCCACCCACTCCTTCTCTGTCTCCATTCAGAAGGCCCATAGGCAGATCAAGTTGTAGGACTGAGCTCCTCCCACTTTATAAAGGCGGGGCTGGGAAATCCAGCATGGGAACAGGGTCCCAAAAGCCAATTAAGTACCAGGGACAGGTCTTACCAACAGACCAAGCTACCTAAGTGTCACATACATACATGTAGAGGGTCTAGGTCGGAATAGAGCTATAGTAATAAAAACAGCTTGGTATTGGCATAAAAACACATGTGGTTGGATAGAATCACATCGAAGACATTGATAGAAATCTACATCCTATGAACACCTGATTTTTGACAATAAAGCCAAAAATATATAATGAAAAAAAATAAGCATTTTCAACAAACAGTGCTAGCATAACTGGATGTCAACATGTAGAAGAAGGGAAATAGATCCATATCTATCTCCATGCACAAGACTCAAGTCCAAGTGGATCAAAGACCTCAACATAAGTCCAGTTACACTGAACCTGAGAGAAGAGAAAGTGGGAAGAAGCCTTGAATGCATTGGCACAGGAGACCACTTTCTGAATAGAACAGCAGTAGCACAGACACTGAGATAACAATTAAAAAATGGGACCTCCTGGAACTGAGAAGCTTCTGTAATGCTAAGGGCACTGGCAATAAGACAAAAACCGGTAGCCTACAGAATGGGAAAAGATCCTCACCAACCCTATATCTGGCAGAGGGCTGATCTCCAAAATACACAAAGAACTCAAAAAACTAGGTATCAAAATACCACATAACCCAATTAAAAAATGGGACACAGATCTAAACAGAGAAATGGCTAAAATACACTTAAAGAATTGTTTAAGCCGGGCGATGGTGGCGCACGCCTTTAATCCCAGCACTCGGGAGGCAGAGGCAGGCGGATCTCTGTGAGTTCGAGACCAGCCTGGTCTACAGAGCTAGTTCCAGGACAGGCTCCAAAGCCACAGAGAAACCCTGTCTCGAAAAACCAAAAAAAAAAAAAAAAAAAAAAAAAAAAAAAGAATTGTTTAACACTCTTAAATGAAAATCAAAACAACTCTGAGATACCATCTTACACCTGTTTTTGATTTCTTAGATTAAAAACATTGATTTTTCTCCTATAAAGACTGCATGTTACTTTCTTCTCCTTGGTATATTATCACTGCCAGTACCATCACTACTGTATTTGAAGCACATTGTTCACTTCAAGCAACCACAAAGCCTACTTTGAACATGAGAAACTCTGCTATCAACAGAGATAATGTCTAAAGGATTTATGGGCAGACAGAAGGATGAGTCATAGCCCAGAAAAGACAGTGCGCATTATTACTCTATACCCAGCTATATGCAATTTAAATTTATCAAGTTATTTCTGCACTTCTCCATTTCTTAATTTTTGATATTTCATAGGTAACTAAAATATCAAGAAGTTAAACTGCATATAAAGAGGAACTACTGTATTCAAGAAAAAGAACTACTAAGATCATAATATTTAAAAAAGTTCTTAGCAGAGTCGATGGGAGGCATTTGGAGTTACTAACTCATTTAAACTGAAGGCAAACCTCTGAGAGATGTGGTTTTTCTGGCATAATAAAATCTCTAAAGTTTTAACTGATTTTGAAAAAGACTTATAGCCTCAAATGGAGAATGGTTTATATATAAAAAATGACATTTATCAATCTTTTACACTAATATAACATTTAAATGTTAATTATTCTCAGTGGATAAAATCTAAAACTCCTTATCACTATGGATCATGTATTAACAAATCATGACACTACTGTAATATTTACCCACTAGGCAGAGAAAAAACAAGTCAAGAAGAAAAACATCAGGAGGAGAGACACCTAAGACAGACACATGTTTATGCAAAACTGCTGAATCTCTTGCTTCTTAAAGAGATACTAAGAAAAAAATTAGATTTTGAGCATTACCGTGGGAGGAACTCTTCATGAACAGGACTGCTTAGGGATTCGACAGTATCTGCTGCTTCAAGATACAACTGAGACAGAAAGTTAAAAAAACAAACAAACAAACAAAAAAAAAAACAAAAAAAAACTATGCATAAAACTTAAATCACTAAAAGAAAAAAAAATCCCTGCTTTTCTCTGATAGTTATTTAATCATGAGAAGAGATAACAAAATGGCAATTCAATGTAAAATATCAGAAAAATGTTTATAATATATATTCTTAAAAAAACCTGTGAAACCTGAAAGAACTGTTACAAAGTAATTCAACTCATGTCACTCATCCATCCCAAGGGGAATTTGCTTTTTAATCTTCAGAGGAAGTTTAACCTCAAATTCTGTTTTTTGTAACTATAGAAAACCTCCGGAAGTCCTATTCAATTTTAGTTACATTTGAATAAGCAGTACGATTAGTTTGAGAAGAAAGTACCCACTCTGGACCTACTTTCCAACTGGATATGTTTATGTCATCTTTAACCACATACATAATTATAGAAAAAAAGATCCGGGAAAACAGTTTCAACATTTTTAGTACAAAAAAGAATTTACTTCAATAACAATTAAAAGAATCCAGTCTTACTCATATTATAAACAACTCATTTTAAATTTAAACATAACCAAATGTTTACCTTTATTAAATAACTACATTAATAGCATAATTTATATTTCATATGATGTTAACTTCCACCAATCAACTTGTTATCTATTTAAAATAATTTAGTAGGAAAATGGTGCATGTGGGTGCAATGTTAAAAACTCAAACAGAAAAGACCTGAAGAATGTGTGCACACTTTTTGCCAATTAGTTTCCTTCTGGTAACAGATGGAGTGTTTTTAGTGCTTGTGATTTTTTTTTTTTTATCTTACATGGCTCTTATATTTACACCATTCATACATCCTCCATCTTTAGGTGATATCAAAAATGAAGCCTAAAGGTTTTCGATGGCAAAATTTCTACAGAAGTTCAAGAGCCCAAGTGAATGAAAGAAAAACTATAGCATAGAAAACTTGTTATTTTTATTTTATGTGATAGAAAATACATCTTAGAGAACAACTGGTTTATATCCCAACAGACAAAATATATTCACCTGGTAGTTCTGACTAAAGAATTAAGTTTTAGAATTTTAATTATGAAATTATGTCACTTGCCTTTTCTTTTCTAATATATTTATACATTATAATTAACAATACGTTCATATTATGGATAGAAATACTCAACTTAAAATGTAAAGAAATAGGAAAAAAGTGAACTAACCCATTGGCACAAAGGAGAAAACTTCCCTGTCACAGCTTTTAATACTTCTTGGCTGGCAACACCCCCCACTGCTGCAGCAAGTGGGGATAAACAGCCTTGAGCAGTCCACGAGAGCCAGTGCACAATGTCATGATTCACTTCAGGCTGAAACACAAACCACAGACCACAGCAATACGAACAGTATTCTCACGGTACCTGTGACTTCAATGACTAATTACCAATATTATTAGAACTTAACTTCAAACAAAACCCCCAAACGACTTGATTTCCTTCCTAAATAAAAATATTTTAATCTCATGATAAAAATACCAATTTTCATATTGCCTTAAGAAGCCTTTTTATTTACTAGCCTCTATTCACTTTATTCGCTTTTCTGACTGTAGTCTATTCTATCATTTAGAGTAAAATGATTATCTTCAATTTATAGTTTTTGCTAAAAGAACAGTCCTACAAAGCTAGCTATATAAAAAAATAATTGGAATTTTAAGTTTATAAAACTAAAGAAAAAACTTTAACCCAAAAAAGAATAAGTAAAGAACAACCAACAACAACAACAAAAATGACAGAACAAAAACGATTTCAAAAAAGGTTTTCTATTTTTTCTTTTTGCTGTGTGTATATATATAACCTTTACACACATATATAACATCAAGTATACATCTAGAAACTAAAACTTTAAATTTGTGAGGAAACACTGAATTCTCATTTTGAACACTGCAGAACAGTAGGGAAGGGGAAATCCTCTTAGGAAGGTACCAAGTTGTGACCTGTGCAGAAGGGACTCCTGTGGTTCTGAACTCGCTCCCTGGAACAATGGTTGAGAATCATCCTCAGAAAGGTCTTCTTCTTCTTTTTAAATCAAGTTGGACTTTTGTTGTTTTTTGTTAATACATCTCTAAGCCCAAAGGTCTCCCGATCTACACTGGCTAGGCGAGCACCCTGGAATCAGTATGATCCATGTCTGTGTGATGGGAGGTCCACCTGCACTGCAGAAGGAAGCAGATGGCACAGCTGGAAAGCTGGGCATGAAGGATTCCTCTGCAAGCATTTCACCAGCACTGAAAGCTTCTGCCTCACTGCTCTCTACCCAAGCTCAGAGCCCCAGAGACACTGTAGAAACCACAGCCACTGTTTGGGCATTTCTCACGGCTGTGCCTGTAGCAGGAGAGCACCTCTCATGTCAACAGCATCTAACCAGAAAGTCCTAACTTCAGCTGAGAGAAACAGTGTGAGCACTGTGACTCCAGCCTTGTTGTACTACTCAGTATGAGCACGCAGAGACAAGAATTCAGGAAGCAGGAGTCAGAGAAGCACAGACTTTGTGAGAAGGCCAGGTGAGGACCGAGCTGAAGACAGCTTGTCCCAGTCTAATCTCCCTGGAGTTCAGAGAGAAAAGAACTTACTACACTCTTGTCCCCCACATCAAGCACACTGCAAAATGATACGCCCGAGGGAATAAAAAGAAGCAACTCCACCTACTAACTCTTCAGCAAGGAAGAAACATCATCCTCCTTTCTGTTGTTTTGTTTTAATTCATTATCTACTACACCAATACCTCCTATTTCCTATCATATCTTGCTTTCTATCTTTTCCTTACTCTATCATCTTATTTCTTAATTTTTAATACTTTTACATCTTAACTCATCCTAATTCCTAAAGTATTTCCTGTCTTCTATTAGGTGTGTAATTTATATTCTAATTGACTTGTTTTAAAAACTTTATGCGTCTGGTTTGCTCTTGAATTGTTACTGGCATTACTATGGTCAGCTCTCCTTGAGCAGCAGTGAGGATTAAGAGTTCAAGAGAATTTCCAGATACCATCATACAAAGCCAGAAAAAGACGTATCTCCCAACAGATGTACAAGTGAAATGTATAAACACAGAAATATGAACAGCAAGACAACCCAGTAACTGAAATCAAAGAAAATCAAGTGGTACTAGAAGTAATGCAGATCAGTTATAACACAGATGTTGTGGGATAATGCTCTTGTACACTGTGAAGATTTGTCACTTGTACTGGCTAATTAAAATGCTGACTGGCCAATATCCAGGCAGGAATATATATGTATGTATAGGCGGGGTGACCAGACTAGGAGAATTCTGGGATGAGATGTAGTTACCAGCCAGATGCAAAGGAAGCAAGATGAGAATGCCTTACTGAGAAAAGGTATCAAGCCATGTGGCTACACATAGATAAGAATAATGGGTTAATTTATGTTGTAAGAACTAGTTAGCAATAAGCCTGTGCAATAGGCCATACAGTTTATAATTAATAAAAGTCTCTGTGTGTTTGTTTGGGACTGAATAACTACAGGACCGGGACAGAAACTTCCATCTACACACATAAGTGATGCAGACCAGAAATTAACACAGTAGAAATCAAAATAATGACACGAAGAGTTAATTCTGTGGAAGGATAAACGGTTGACATACTGCCAAAATGACCAAAAGGAAGGAGAGGGGAGGAAACTCAAATCACTAAAACTAGAGAAGAAAACAGTGTGTTACACAGAGAAAACTGAAATGCAGGGAATAGGAAATACCTATAAAAATATACTGATAATTTAGGAAATCTAGAAAAAATGAATACATTTCTAGATATCTATGACTTATCAAAATAGAACCAAAAGACACAAAAGCAACTAAGTGGGTATGCAATGAGGAGAGAGAGTGAAGCAGAAGCAGATGAGCGTCCCAACAAAACAAAGCCCAGGAGCTGCTATACTGAAGGAAACTATAACCTGCCAAATTATAAAACTTTCAGAAGAGCACAGAAGAACTTTGTGGCCTTGGTTAACATTCATGGTTGTGGATGTAGTTCAGTGGCAGGTGCCTGCCTTGCATGATAAAGTCCTGGGATTGAAGTTATAATTGCAAAATTCTAAAGTTTTTAGAAATAAATGGGCATAAACTATTAGAAAAAAAGGATAAATAAGTAAAAGAGAATATTTATAGAATGTGTTTGAAAAAAAGACTCAAAAGCTAAAAATTATAGAAACTCTAATCGTTAAAAAATAAAATAATTAAAAATGTACAATAGTCATATAAAAATATGCATAAATTCACTGTTACTTTAGTGAAATGCAGATCAAATCTAGGCAATACATTTTTAAATAGTAATGCTGTTATATCAGAAAGGAAATATAGAGTTCTGAAGAGGTTGCTGCAACTGAAACTGAGCCAGACCTTGTGAGAAAGCAAAACTGTCTATTTTGAAAACACATAGGGGTGGGTATAAAGTGTACCCTTTTATTTTCAGCAACCAGAAGGTAAGGAGAGGTGAATCTTTCTGATTTTGAGGATGGTCTACATACATATTGAGTTTTAGACCAGAGAGAGCTACAAAGTCTCAAAAAAGGGGCGATTTCTCATTTTAATCATCTTCTTTTACATGTATTACATGACTCTGTAATATCTTTCTAGGTATCTTAACAAGAGAAATGAAAATATTTGTTTATATAAAAATCTCTATGTATTTGTAGGAGAAATTTTTAAAACAAATTTGTATTCACAGAACAAAACCAACACTATTATAAAATCAAAAGCAGCAAATAAGAATTAAATGCCACACAGTATTCTAAAAACCGTATGAAACCAAGTTATGTAATGTCCAAAACACCTTGCGAGTTTATCTAATTTATAGATACACAAAGTAAAATAAATGAAGCAAAGAACTAGTTTAATGACAGAGAATCAGTAGGCAGCACAGGGAGGTCTGAATGTAGGGAGATATTTATACAGAGGACATTTAAGCTATAAACAAAACTCGGTCAACCACAATTTTGTAAGTATTTACCTTCTCGTCCAGTGTCTCACTTATAGATATTGTTAGTTTCAACAGTTCATCTGAATCTTGCCGACATCTACAATTATAAAACAAAATACCTCAATTTCAATCTTTTGAATTGCCACCAAGGTCATATTCAAAACTAGATCATAAGATACATATATAAATAAGAAAAAGAAAATCCACTTGTATAAAATACAACGTGTTTTAGCTAACTTCAAAGTTACTCTCTTATGAATCTATTACTTCAAAACACGGTCCTCTAAGACAGCACATGAGATTTAGATTTAAACCTATAAGGCAAGAAACCTTTTGTAATTCCTGATTTAGGCTAGAAAATATTACCAGAGAGTAACAGTTCAACATCAGCAGGTTTTGGTTTAAAAGTTACAGATTTTAAAGTCTTCAAATATGAAAAGCTCCCATGCAGTAAGATAACATTCTTACACACTGATTTTTCCACTCCTACCAATAAATGAACCACAATGGTATGTTTACGCAGTTTTCATAAAAAAGAGAACAGTTACCTTAAACGAAAAGCATTACCTGATATTTGGCTTACGATTATAGTTTTCCTGAAACTGGTCCAAGGCAAGCATAGCGGCATGAATCTGTAAAGGTGCCTATTTGAAACAGGAAAAATTGTCTAGCATTTGTTAAGTGCTATGGACTAGGGCAATTTTTTTTCAAGTATTATTTACTTTCACCCTTACAATAAGAAGTATAAGATGAATGCCATTAGAAAAGTTAAATAACTTGACTTCAAAAGTGTAAAGTACTTTAAGACATTTCCAAATGACTCAAGTTTACTAGGTGTCCACATGCAGCATTAGCTGAACAAAGGAAAAACTTTGTACAGCCAGGTGTGCTGACAAAAACCTTCAATCCCCACACTCAGGACGAAGGTAAGAAAGCGGATCTCTTTAGCCTAGTCAGCAGAGTGAGTTTCAGGGCAGCTGTGGCTATGTAAAGACCCTGCCTAAAAAAACCAAAACTAAAACCATTCCAAAAAGCATTTATACAAGAACACCTAATCTTTTTATATTAAGGGTTTATAAATTTGGACACTGTTAATTTCTTACTTACTTTAAAAAATTCAGATTGAGTGATATAAAGTAGAGTGTAACATGTGTCTAAGGTTGTTTTTCTTCTTGTACCACATAAAACCCTGTGACCAGTGAAATGGCCTACCACCGGGTCTGATGACCTGAGTTCAGTCTCTAGACGGGTGCTGTGCCACCCCGACTGCCCACCTCCCACCGCCCTTGCACACAAAATGAATAAATGTCTAAAACACATGGCTAAGAAAATCTTGTATTAACATCCTACCCACTACTAGATTGCTTTTTAATTATCAAAGCTGACAAGTTACTGAAGTACAACTTCATTTTATTCGAACATAATTTAATGATAGAAATTTAAAATCCCATCTACAACTCTACTACCTGCAAAGTAAATATTTACCTCAGGTTTGCTAAAATCTGCAATAAGGCACTTGGGATGTTTGATCTGCCTCTCCAGGGATTCCTAAGAGAAAAGAACAGTATTATTTCACAGAAAATTGAGTGATTTATTTCACAAAATATGTCAGCATACTCACAGCAAAGCCTTCTCCAGGGCTGAAAATGAGTGAGGCTGGACTGACACATTGTTCACTAATATCTTATTACTGCAGCAAAACCCGGCTGTTCTACATAGCCACTTCAGAAGAATTAGTGAAAATCTTTACAATTCCAATTTTTTAAAAAAACTTTTCTATTGACTCTTTGCGACTTTCACATCATGTACCCCAATTCTGTTTACCTCAGGGTTTCCCTATGGTTCCCCCATATCTTCCCCTTGTTCCTGCCAGCCACCCATGCAAAAGAAAACAAAACACAGTAAACAAGTACAAACAAAACAAAACAACAACAGAAATATCTCATTGCTTCTCCCTCTTTCCTGCCTCTCCAACACCTCTTCTTCTGTCCTGGTGGCCCTGGAGGCTTCAGTGTGCCCTATATTATATCTCTTTGTCCCATCAGTTTTATTGGCAAATGTTCATGCAATGTGTCACCAGTCTGGTTTAAGGCTTTGTTCTAATGTAAAAGCTACCATGTATTCTGATATCATCACGTAACTAAGACTAGTTATGCCTAGTAAGTCTTGGGTACATATTCTGAGTTGCAATCCTTATGGGTCTAAGGTAAGAATACACAGGCAAAGAAATGAAAAAAAATTGAAATTAACAATTTGATGCACAAAATTATTTAATTAGGAATAGAGCAACAGAAATTATACAGAAGCAAACCTGACTAGCTGCCCCTATTTTAATTGGCTTAACTTTGATTTGAGCAAAGTCTTGAAGAAAAACAAACAAAATCAAAGAAGTTAAAACTTTCAGAATGTGAAAAAGCTCCCTAAAGCCTTTAACATCACACCATCAACAGCCTGGCAATTAAAACACGCTACACGTCACTGAGAGGCAGCATGCATGGTGCTCTGTCATTCTAAGAAACAAGAGTCTATACTCAAATTAGCAGCTAATGATTTTCTTTCACTACAAATCATCAAGGGGATTATGCTAAATTTCAAACATAATACAGATTAAAACTGTAATGACCTGAATTAACAATTGAGTAATAAAACAATAACAATTTGAAAATACATTATCTTTTACTTCTATGATTAAACTCACTATTTAGGAAGGTATAGCTCCTTTTAGATATAACCACATACCTCAATCATATTCTAGTTATAAAATTGTATAAGCTTATGTATATTTGCCTAATTCTGCAGTATACAGGGCTACACATACTAAGGAAGTTTGTGAGTCACAGCCCTGTCTTTTTTTCAATATGTTATTTTTATAGTATCAGTGTGTCCCTAAGTTGTTTATATTTTCAAGTTGGTTATAAATTTAAAAAAAAAAACCAGTTTGTTTTTTAAGCTAATTGGAATTAAGTAAGCATTTTTTTTTGTGTTGTTCTTTTTCTAAAACAAAAAAAAATACTTACAAAGCAAAATGTTTTAGGAGTCTTCACTTGCACAGCTATGCCTCCATGTAAATATGGATCCAGTTCTGTAGTATCACCAATGCTGAAGGAAAACGGTGACACCACTGGGGGAAAATAAACATTACACATGGGTATTTAAATTTTAAGATGTTTTATCACAAAGATATTATTCTCTATTTATAAAAGTAAGATTCTAAAACAAATCTTTTTTATTTTTTACAGGGTTGGCAATTTGTTAGGGGTCATACCAAGTACTTCTTCCAATATGGGCTCTGGGACTTAAAAATATTTGAGGAAAACCAGAGAGTAAAGAAGTTTGAGGTTCTTACTATAAAATATTAAAATATATTAAAAATATCTAGATCATGCTAATAAAAATTTTACTGGTTCATGAACATATAAAAGGAAAAAAACTGAGGACCTGAGAAATACATTCAAGTACACAGAAACAAAATAAAGTGGTAAATAAAGATAGAACCTTAAACCAGTGGAGGGAAATAGGATTATTTAATAAATCTTTAAGAAAGCAGACCACTAAAGAAAATATCCCATGTGGCTAATTTTAAATATTAAAAAGATGCCAACTTGAAAAATAGATATAAAAACACTGGAGAAAAATTACTTTTAGAACCAGGAGGAGGCTCTTGTTAAACACTCAAAATGTGGAAAGCCTGAAAAAGTTTGTGATTAAAAAAAAAAAAAAAACAGATTGCATGAAAACAGAGCTTCCACAGCAGAGTCAAGAGACACTTATTATTAAAGAATAATGTTCATTATCAGCATTAAGATAAACTTTAATGTCAAGTAGTACTCCTACTGTGGCATTTATCTTTTGACTTTGCTGGGCGGTTTACTTTCATGCAGTTTCCTTTTTTTGTTTTTGTTCAAGACAGGGTTTCTCTGTAGCTTTGGAGCCTGTCCTGGACCTAGCTATTGCAGACCAGGCTGGTCTTGAACTCATAGAGATCCTCCTGTCTCTGCCTCCCACAGTGCTGGGATTAAAGGCGTGTGCCACCACTGCCTGGCTGCAGTTTCCTTTTTTAAGAGTCCTGGTAACTGTTAAGAATACGGTTCAGCAGGAAACTAGCAAAACATACGATTCACATTAAAGAGAAAGAAAACAGTGCCAACCAAAGATTAAGATATTTAAACTCATTTATAATATGAAAATGCAAAAAGCTACAACACACAGGTACTTTCTGTGCAAGAAAGTATAAGCAAACTTCCTATTGACACAGAATAAACCCGTGATGGATGGAGAACTACTGAGAGGAGGAATAGCCAAGGATGTGTGAAAACTTTACATACTCAATCTACTTTGTTATTGGATCATTTAATAATCAAAAATTAACCTAAACAGTAAGTTCCTCTATACTTACCACACAAGTTTATAACACTTATAAATATATGAGCAAGTGGCCAATAGTAATACATTAAATAGAAAAGTAAGCAGACACTAAGCTTATTTGCTTTTTTAAAATTTTTTTGAGAAGGGAGGAAATCTAAGGCGGTGTTCACTCAATCCCATTTTCAATGTGTACATACATATTTACACATATATTTATATATATAGTATATACACATATGCTGTTCTACAATAAACATGTATTACTTTTAGCAATTTAACATTTTTTGCATATAACAAAACTATCTTAAGGCAGTAAATACCAAGTAACAATGTTAAAATTTGAGCTTTTTAACAACAGCTCAATTAATAACTTTCACTCAAAAGTAATTTTTTGGTTAAAAAAAAAGTGTGTTTTAAAGTAAAAAACTTTGCCTGGCAGTGGTGATGCACGTCTTTAATCCCAAATCTCAGAAAGGCAGATCTCTGTGTGTTAGAGGACAGCCAGGACTACACAAAGAAATCCTGTCTTGAAAAACAAAAACAAACAAATGAAAACCCCTGCAAAGCAAAATAAATAAAAAATAAAAACTTCATTCTTTGCTATCAGGCAACTTTTTCCTATATCTGCAGCTCCAAGAATCTGATCTTATCATCACAATGAAACACTGTATCATCACCAATGTAAGCAAATATAAACCTAAATTATCAAGCTTCCTTAAACAGATACAAATTCATCATGTTCTGAACCTGCACTTAAGACAGATGTACTCAAACATCAAATTGAAAAGTTTGCTATCAGCAGGGTGAGCAGAGAGCCCATAGAGGAGAAAAAGGTTATCTGACAGCTTACTTCACAACTGGCTAATATTGAGAATACATAATTTCAACCACATAAAATAAAACAAAAAAATCTATAAAAATGTTACTCAATAAATGGGTCAATGAGCTAAACAGTTTTCAAGAAAAAAAAAATAAAAAATACGTCAATATATATTTTTAAATGTGTTCAACATTTTTAGTCATCAAGGAGTTAGGAATTAAAACAGAGTCACAAAACAAACAAGCTAAAAGTGAAAGAAATGATGATAAATGCTGGTGAGGATGAGGAGAAAGAGGACCCTTACTAAAGGGCCATTATGTCAACTGCTGCAACCACTCATGTTCGTTATTTATCAAATTCCCTAAAGAGAAAACTGAGTCATTGTCCTTCAAATATATAAACATGACACAAGGTTAAGTTGCATGTTGTCTAGCACTGTCTTTATGTCTTAAATACAACTACAGGTAAAACACAAATTATGTAGATTGATACCGATATGAATTATCTCAAGTGGGCCAGATAAAATGTCTGGCCATCTTTCCATTTAAACATAAATATTCTCTAAGCTCTGCTCTTAGTATCTTCTCTCTCCTTTGAGCAATAATCTCTAAGTCCGTCAAAAGGAAAAAGACAAGGAAAAAAAAAAAAAAAGATTCCAAACTTGTTGGCTTATAAAACCACTCTTACTCAAGGCAAGGAACACAGCACACTTTTGACAATCTTTTCCACTGACCAAACCCTACACGACTTTATACACTCCTAAAGTAGGTGGCTCAAGTAGGAATCTTTGCTTACCTAGCATTTTTCATAATTGTCTTCTTAAATGTTAGTATTTAAAATTTCAACTTGTATACTCTCATAGTGTATTTCTTTACTTTCTTCCTTTTAATAATACCTCTGTTTAGCATATCTTCCCTTGTAAAATGATCTGAGGCTAAAAGAATGACTCATGTCCAAGGCGATGTGCTCCAAAAACTGAGTAAAGGATGATTATAAATATGCTGAATAACAAAAAGGGAATTAATAACACACATTACTTACCAGTTATCTGTTGTACAGATCCATTTAAACCTGTCATTCCATTAATTTCTCGAAATGTTAGGAACTGTCCCGTCTCAAGCTTGTGAGGATGATTTTCAAGGCATGTGACAATGCCTGGATTAGCCTAAAAATCAGAGTACCATTGACAACCAAGTTTGTATATTTTCTTACTATTTGCAAGTTTTTAAAATATTAAAAGTTAGCAGCCTATACCTAACAATTTTATTAAAATCAAATACTATAATCATACTTGCGTTATGTTTGAAATGAAAATTTCCTTTGGTTCTTCTCCTGTTGTATCTGAAACTTCAAATTCCTCACCAAAATCACAAAACAACCTGGACCAAATTCCATGTACATCTGCACTAATAAACTGAAAAGAGAAAAATAAATTTGCTTATGTTAATAAGAAAAAACCTACCTCAATTATATTATATTTCATGATAACTTCATTTATAATGAAGTACATTCTCTGAAATGTAAAAATAATCATGTATAGAATGAGTCATCTATAGATCAGTCTGGGAATTAAGAAATGTGGTATTTGGTGAGTGATACCTGAGAAAAGTACCATCATTGTATCCCCATTGCTTACTCCAGGTTATTTCAGAAACAAAAAATCTGGCTTGGTCATAAATTTCAAGTTCCAATACATAGGAAACAGTTATCTTGGTTTAATGGTTTATAATGAAATCTCATTATTTTACAGAAACAGAAATGAGCATACACTTAACCAAAAGCATTAGTTAGTGGAAATAAGTTAGTGTTAAGGTACAGAGGTCAAAGTGCAAACCAAACCATTAAGGGTATATATGAGGTTGTTTAACACAATTACAACTGCTTTATGAAAAGTAATTTTTATAATAACAGCACTGTCTCCATCTCAAAAATCTTTAAAGATACTATTTCTTTGTGCTTAAAGCTCTTACTACAGCTTTTATTCAGTTCTAAAAATATGCGGTCACAAAATTTGTATGACAATGGAAGGACTTAAAATGTTTAATATTAAGAAAGGTCACATATTTTCAGAAGAAAAATCACACATTATGTAGCCAATAATATATGCTAATATGTAAATAAATGTGCCATTGGGACAATGTAACACATAGAAAAGAGAACATGAAGTATAAATATTGGAGGGTGAGGGAGGACTGGAAGAAGTCAATGGACAAAGTTATGCAAGAGATAAAGCTAATTGTCCCAGTTCTCACCATCATGGATATTTGTTCTTGGTGGGAGATAGCACATTCTACAGTCAAAGTGTAAAAGCCAGCATGGAGGTCTCCAGCTGTAGAGTAGCTACTCTGTGTAGAATTAACTGAGATTTAAATACCTGGACCTTGTTAATTTGGCGTGTGTGTGTGTGTGTGTGTGTGTGTGTGTGTGTGTGTGTGTGTGCGCGCACGCACACTCGCATGTTTGTTTCTAAGTTTTTTCTTTGTTGTTTTTGTAGACAGGGTCTTACTACCTAGCTTGGAACTTGATATGTCGACCAGGCTCATCTTGGCACTCAAAGTTATCTACCTGCTTGCTTCTGCCTCCTTAGTGCTGGGACTAAAGGCTTGCACCAATATGCTTGGCTACTTACAAACTTTTAAGGTATAAAGTTTATTTTTAAAAAATCTTACTTATGACCATACACATAAAGACTATTTATATAACAGTGAAAAGCTCCAAGTTTTAATATTAAAAATATTCTTCCTAAAAAAAAAAAATTCTTCCTTTAGTTAAATGCATCTCATTATTAAATTATGTTACCTTAATGGGAGGGCAGTGAGAATGGCAAAAGTCATTGATCTTCTTTTGTAATGTCAGTTTCATCTCAGTCAATACTATGCACTGTTGAGAATAAAGACCAGAAAGTACACAATTACTTTTATAAAATACAACTTTCGAAATAGAAGCATGTCAATTCTAACTGCCAAAGAATTATAGGTATCCTCACAAGATAGTTACTATTCTCTGTTGTATTCTGTTCTAGGATTAATAATTATAGAAGTACAAAATGGAAAATAAAAGTAAAGAGAACATATACTCATATTAAATAAATTCCTTTACTACAAAGGACTCACAACTGGAAGCAAACCTTAACATCATATATTGTGTTTGCAGTCTCCCAAAAAAGATTGAGATTTCTGTCACTGTCCTGCAATCACTAATATAGCCACCAAAATATTATTTTCAGACAAGCTGAAAGAGTGACAATTATAATTTTTAAAAGATCTTGGTAATAAATCTCTAATTTCTGCATTCAACAGTTTTACAAAATAGCTTTGCTTCACATTAATATTAGCATTACTGTATTATTATTAATGTATCATATTAACAATTTAAATATTATACAATATTATTTAAGACAAATACTTTTCAATGGTTAATTTTTTATTGACACTATGATACAAGTAGGTGTGAAAACAAGATTTTAATATAATTAATTTATACTTATTGAGGCCAAATACTTTCTTGTAGGCAGAGCTCTTAACTGCTGAGTCATCTTTTCAGCCATAACTATTAATATTTTTTAATTAAAAACTAAGTCTATGGTTGGTTTTATTTTTGCATGCCTGTCTGTGCACCACTTGCAAGCCTGGTGGCAGCAGAGGCCTGTGATTCCCTGGGTTAGAGAAGGTTGTGAACTGCGATGTAGTTGCTGGGACTCAACACCCAGGTTCTCTGCAAAAGTGCACTTAACCACTGAGAAAATTTTAGAACACAAGATTTTTAATTTAAGGATCATTCTTCCCAGAATTGTATAACTTGTACTTCTGCCAATATGATATAAAAATTCTTTTTTTATGTAGATTCTTGCTGACATGTTATCATTTTTAAATAATGACTTTCTAATTGCGGTGAGATTTTTGAAGTTTATTTTGCTACTTTTCCTTCCTTCCTTCCTTCCTTCCTTCCTTCTTTCTCTCTTTCTTTCTTAACATAGTGGTCAAAGAACACACAGTATTTCTTTTTCCTTTGAAACAAGGCCTCATGTAGTCCAGGGGAGCCTTGAATTTGGTGTGTAGCTAAAAATCATGAGCTTCTGATTCTCCTGCTTCTATCTTCAAAGTGGCAGGATAACAGACATGTCTTATATGTAGTTTTATCTGACGCTGGGACTGAAATTCAGTTTCGCCCATATTAGTAAACAATGTAGCAATAAATCTACATGCCTAATCTCCACTACTGCAATTTTGTGAATGTCTCAAGATTTGTTTTTATGTCCTAATACATAATATATTTTAAGGACTGTTTCATGTGCTGAGGATGTATATTCTTGTTGGATGAAATGTTCTGTAAATGTCTGCTGCTCAGTACATTATCTATAGTACTTCAGCACTGTTTTCTGTGGGGGGACTGAGAAAGGGTATCGTTACTATGTACAACTGGCAGGCCTTGTACTCACTCTTTACCCAGCATTTAAGCTTGTGACAATCCTTCTTTGTTTGCCTCTCAAATAACAGGAATGAGGCATGTGTCACCACAACCATCTTGCTGTGTGTGATGATCTTCCAATGATGAAACTGCAGGGTTCAAGTCCTCCTCTAATACTGTACTGGATCCTACTTGTTAGATATTACTACACTGATCCCTTAACTAAATGGCTATTTTCATCTTACAGTTACTCTGTTTAAGAATACCTACTCCTGCTCACTTTTGGTTTACATCACCATGCACGTGGGTGTGCGTGTGTATGTGTAACCCTGTATGTACATCTGAAAGCCAGGAGAATCTTCAAGTGTCTTTTTCTATAGTAAGAGGACTGCCGCATTGCCCTGACTGAGCCAGAGCTCACTAGTTCAGCTACTATGGCTCGGACAGCTAGGACAGTTCTCAGCATCCCTTACTCCTACCCCAATGCTGGCAAAGCCATGCCCTGCTTTCCTCTGAGTGCTCGGGATATGAATTCAGTTCCTCATGCTTGCAGAGCAAGCACTCTTACTCACGCTATCGTCCCAGGCTAGGAATAGCTTTTCCCCAACTTTCTGCTTTTAGTCTGTGTGTTTACCACTAAAGTGAGTCTCTCACAGGCTGTATACTGTTGACTCTTGGTTTTGATTAGTTTTGTGCCATCTAACTAGGGAATAAAGTCCCAACTACACTTAAAATTAATACAATGTAAGAATTTGTGTTTTTCTCATTGTTTTGAATAGTGCTCATTTAAGTCTGCCTTTCTTCATGGGATAAAAAAAAAATGCCATTCCATTTCCTCTTGGTCATGTAAGGTTTTTGTTGAACAGTTTACTGGCTGTTGAATGAGGGTACTTGTAAATGTGATGATGGAGGAAGGTCAATAGGTTAAATAAAGAAACTGCTTGGCTGGCCCTCATAGCTTAGAACATAGGTGGGTGGAGTAAACAGAACAGAATGCTGGAAGAGGAAGTGAGCTCAGAGAATCAACAGCAGAAACAATAAATACATATTGTTAAAAAAAACAATGAATTTCAACTGCATATTACTGCCAAATACCCAGCTTACATTCAGGAGTTATTAGAATTTTTTCTCAAAAAGAACATTTAATAGATATAATTTTAACTTGACTTTTTTCATTCTGCTTTTCAATATATTAGGCTAAACTAGTTATATTACTTCCTTGGACTCTATCAATAACACAATACAAAATACTAACCTGGTATTTTTCTAAGAAGGAGAGGTCTGTGGTTTCATCAAAAGGGGCAGAGGATGATGAGACATGAACATATGGATTTAGTTCTGCAATATGACGAAGTACAGCTTCAGCCCTAGAAAATAAACACATTTACCAACCTCTCATTTATTATACTCAGTTTCATTAGATACTTGAAGAACATGAGAGGGCCCCAGCACATGTAATTTTAACAAAAACTAAGTAAGTTATAGATAAACACAATTTTTATTCATTTTTACAGATAGCTACACAATCTTAAGACACATCATCACATGCTGCAGCAAGCCTCACAATCTTTACATATGCCCTTTTACTTCTGGTCTCCAAGCTTAAGGTCTCAGTGATAGCAATACTACAGATTTCTTTAGACACAGGAGTAGAAGGAGGGACTATCAGAGGAAATAAAGAGTATATAAGCATGGACAAGGCAGGCACCAGAAAAAGAAAATGGAACACATGTCATGAAAGCAGGAGGAAGGACAATCTAAATCAATGAAGAGATGGTGAAGAGGGCCAAGAATGTCAGTGTGTGGGGCAAGGGGATAAAAGCAAACTATAAAGGTAGATATGTATAAAATGTCACAATAAAACCCATTACTTTGCTAAGGAATTAAAAAAAAACTTCCTTTAAAGATGTCAAATTCATTTCAAAACCATGACAAAGGAAATATACGCCAGTATGCATTTATCTAAGGCAGGGTAAATTCATCTTGACAAAGTAAACAGCTATGACTAAGCTGGCATTCTAGATACAGACAACATTCCATATGTAAGTCTTTAAAAAAATAATCTCATGACAATGTATCAATGTATCAAAATATCTTTACCTGTTTCTCTCATTAACAACATCATCTTCACACAGAAAGAAATTAGTCCCTAGATCCCATGCTTGGCATTTTTTTGTATCATGAACTGTCAGTGCCTTCAAAGAGAGGAAAACGCCTGTTAAGTCCAAAATAGAACCAGGATGCATACTACCTCTAAGGCTATTTACAGTGTACTGAGAATACTACGTATATATGTGAGAACTTAGTGTTGTAAGAACTGAAAAGGATAAACAGTTACATCTTTATTCAGAAGACAGATTATAAGCACCTCAGAAACTCCAACAACCTGATGGAGAAACTACACAGTGAGAAGCTTTAAATTTTATCAAAGTGGCATGTTATTATATAAATCAACATAAAGAAAACATTCAGAAAAATTTATATAAAAGCACTTCAAAATATTCCATACCCCAGATGATAAAGGTAATGAGTAAATTTTTATCATGCCTCAGCTCATTAATTTACAAGGAACAACATGCTGGAATATATTTATTTTGTTGCTCTTGAAAATGAAATGCTAAGTAACACCTTCCTCATTCATTAGACTGGCGAAGTTCAACAAACTGACAGCACATTCTGTCAGAGGATGATGGGATTCAATCACTCTCGCATTACGGTGGTACTATGAGGTGCCATAGTACTTTAGTATAACGTCTGGTAAGATGATGTGCATTTTCCCTTCAACAGAGCAATCCTATTTTTAGAAATCTATCCTATAGTGATATATTATTTGTGTTTCAAATAAATAAAGCTTGCCAGAAGATCAGAGGGCAAAGCAGCCACACTAATCAGTCATACAGGCCAGGCAGTGGTGGCACACACGTTTAATCTCAGCAACCACACTAATTAGCCAGAGAATGGGCAGTGGTGGTGCACACCTTTAATCCCAGCACTAGAAAGGAATGAATACAAGGCAGGAGGGACAGCGCTGGGTCTCCATCTGAGGATTCATGGAGGCAGGATGGCTCTTTCAGTCTGAAAATTTCATAGAGACAAGAGCTCTCTTAGTGGCTTGGCTGCTTTGCTTTTCTGATATTCATCCGGAACCCCAATATCTGTCTCTGGGTTTTTACTGATCATGCAACACTGTCCCAGAGATGTTCTTGGGAAAATCAAAAACACTTACAACCAAGGTTATTAAACAGATGTATTACCATTAAAAACACTAGAAACAAGATGTACATAAACATGGGAAAATTGGTATAATGTGATATACTCACACAATGTAACTATAAAAAGCAGTTTTATAGTTTTATAGTAACTAGAAAAAACATCACTATGGAGTAATCTTATGGACATGCTGTTAAGTAATAAAAAGCAAGGCATTTTAAGAGACACAGGAAAAGAGAGATACATAAACTTGAATAGGATATTCCTGTATACATGTATTTGCTTATTACTAAATACAATGAAGAGTATAAGATTAAAAGAGAATGATCTAAGGGAGAACATAATAAAGAAAAACTAGGCTAACTTGAAAATATTTTTATTTTTTTGCTTAATTTTGAATTAAATAAATATCCTATAGATAGTAGTAATACTGATTTTAAAAAGTGATACCTGAGACTCTAACCCAAAATAATCTAAACTATTTTTGAGTTGTATGCATGATTAACTGGAGGAGCTATTGAATATAAATTTCTTTTAAAAAGCTACCAGTCAAAAGAAAAGGGTTTTAGAAAAGGATAGAAAATACTAATTTTCAATAATTTGTGAGTGATATTGAAATTGATATTCTGAAACTCTGTCATAGAAGTTAAATATAATATAGGACAAATAAGTGACCTGTTATTAAAAACAATGAATCTTACATAAGAGAAAATACAAAAACAGAAAGTGAAAGAAGTAATCCATCATTTCTATAGTGAATTAGAAATTTTGCAGTAACTTATAATTTTAAACTTGAATACACTTTAGTGCTTCCTGATGATTTGTTTTATCTCTATTCCTCAACAAGACTTAAAGTCACAGAAACTAAGGGGGTTATATCAAAAGAATTCAGAAACTTAAAGAAGATCCATTAATGAAGATGAACCAATTTAGTACTAATAAAAATAGAACGTAGAATGAATAAAGCCATAACATCAGTATATTTAAATATACAAATTTGTCATCGATATAAAGTTCATTAGTCATAGCTGAGGGATGGTCACGATGACTTTTAGAAGGTGGCAAACAGCAGAAAATGCAGTATAATATTTATCCGCTTTTCACATGCAGTCTACAATTTAGTGAGATTAAGTAATCAATAAAGATAAAATTTTCTTTCTAAATATTATAGCTAATAAATGAGGAAGAATGACAACTGCTAACTCTTAATGAATATAAACAATGACGAGTAATAGATAAAACAATAACAAAGAGAATAACAGAATATCGCCTTTTGACAGAACACAGTATTTCCTATGAAATGTCTTGTCAAAGGAAACAAATACAATTTGAATCTGGATATGACTACCAGTTTATAAGAATATACAAGCTGTAATTAGATGTAATAAATAGTTTTTTCAGTGTTTCTATTTTGTAGGAGATAGGTCTCGCCATGGAGCACTGGCTGGCCCGGAACCCTCTTAGTAGACTAGGACGAGGCTTGGTCTTCAAGCCTCTTGCTTTTAAAGTGCTGTAATTAGACATGCGCCACTATTTATGTCACAGAATGACTACTTTCTTTGATAAATAGAGTTAATGTGAAAAACAATCAGGGAAAGAAAACCTACAAATTAAAAGAAAGAAAGTTGCAGTGTACAGATTCTCGTGGTTCCTGATTAGAACAAAATAAACTGCAAGGAAACAAAGCTGAATTCTCAACTGGGCATCTTATGTTTATGTTAGCTAGCTTTCAGGGTATTGCCAACAACACAGACTTCGTGACATTTAGGCTGCTGTGTAATCCCTTCTCTTGATTATGGGCTGGACTTCTGAACTTAGAGCTAAAGAATATACTTGGTTGTGTTAAGTGCTGTCCCTCACGAGGCCAGCTATCACACTGTCAGCAGCACTACGGAGACAGCCATATGGAAGAAATGGAATGACTTCTGCTCCATAGACGGGAAGGAACTACGGTCTGCAGTCCTACGGCCCACAAAGAAAGAAAGCTGGCAACAACCAAACGTGAGCGTTCTTTGATGGACCACTCCCAGGACAACTATAGCTCCTTTGAATACTTTTTGCTGCCTTGTGAGAGAGCCTAACAGAAGAAAAAGCTGAAAATTTTGCCCATGCCAACTAGACATAATAAATGATGCTGTCAAAATCTGGAGTAAATGATTTTAGAGAAATACAAAACAAATTTAAGCCATAAGAAATTATTAGATTTTAAGGTGTTAAATGGCACTAAGTTATGGCTATATTAAAGATATATACTAAAATATTTAAGAGCGATAAAATATCTGAAGTTCTTAAAGAATTCAACAGTTGCTGCCAGTAGGAAATGAGAAGCAAATATAGGAAAAGCACAAGTACGTGGAGTTGGTGACTCAACCGTATGATAGGTAATTAAGAATGTGTTAAGTGACTTTTTATGTTTAAATTTTCAATAAAATTAAAAAATAGCATTAATGATTCTGTTATGTAAAATGAAACAATAAGGCAAAGTACATTATCAGTTCAAATCAGCAAAAATGAAACAGTTCATAACAAACCACTTTTCATACTGCAGGTGTATACTCACTTTAATCCCTGCAAGAACAAGATTCTTTGCTATAAAGGAAAAAAAAAGGAATAACTTAGCATTGCAAATTCATACAAAATACAACTTCATGAGGCGTTATCACATTTCTGAGTTACCTATAATTTTTTTTACTTGATTAAGAAAATTAGAAAATCCAGGAGTAAAAAAAAATGAATTAATACATTTTGCATAATCACATCATTTAAAGGTATCTATTCACTTCTCAGGGTTTTTATAAATATACTATGCAACCATAATGAATTAAGAATGATCATTTGGCCAGGTATGGTGGCACATGCCTTTAATCCCAGCACTAAGGAGGCAAAGACAGATGGGTCGTCATGAATTCAAGGCCTGTATGTTCTACACAGTGAGCTCCACATAGCCAGGTTTAAATAGTGAAACCTCGTCTAGACAGAACATAACAAATGATCATTTAATTAACAGCTACTAAGCTATTAAAATCACTACATGAGAGGTGTTTTTGTTTTTCTGTGGAAGACTATACCTGTGCTACAAAATATTTTGTCAAAAATTCTGATCAACACTTTGAATCTAATTTCTTCTAATGAAAATAAGAGTTATAGTCTTTAAGAATCACAAGAATTATAGGAAAAAAATATTGCTTACCAATTTCTACTCCAAGACCACCCATACCACTTAAGAAGACACGGGACTTGGCCATCTTCTGCATTGCTGTGTCACCAAGAACATATCTCTGTCGACTATATATGTAAAAAACAATAATTATTTCATCAAAATAAAATCTGCCTTAAAGTTTTGAAAACAAACAGCCATGACACATGAGTCTGTCTAGAGTTGTTTTAGATGATTTGTACAGCACTTAAAGTAAACCAACTCAACTCTTAACTATAGAAGACATTTTGGAAAATTAATTTTGGCACTACAATCCACATTCCAGGAGGCAGGAACTCTCCTCTTTATGGAATGCTGTGAGGTGGACCTGCCATTGTTCCATTCCATCCTGTCTGCTCATTTCATCATTTCAGTGGTCACTACAGGCATCTGATTCTGTTATCTTTGTTTTAAAATTGACTACAAACAGGATCTTGGAGGGAAGATTCAGTTCTCCTAGCTTAGTCCCATCTAACTTGATGTGCCATGCTTTGTTGACACACAAGGGAGGCCTGTCCTTTTCTGAATGGAGACAGAAGAGGAGTGGATGGAGGGGGAGCAGGTAGAAGGGAGGTAGGGGAAGGAACAGGAGGAGAGGCAGCAGGGGAAACTGTAGTTGGTATGTAAAACAAAAAAAAAAACTGATGGGAAACTGTGGTCAGTATGCAAAATAAATGAAAAAAAGTTTAATTTAAAAAAAAAGAAGAGGGGCTGGAGAGATGGCTCAGCGGTTAAGAGCATTGCCTGCTCTTCCAAAGGTCCTGAGTTCAATTCCCAGCAACCACATGGTGGCTCACAACCATCTGAAATGAGGAGGTCTGGTGCCCTCTTCTGGCCTTCAGGCATACACGCAGAAAGAATATTGTATACATAATAAATAAATAAATATTTAAAAAAAAAAAAAGAAGAAAAAACTTAAAGTCACAAAAGGACTAAATACAAGGCTTGTGGAAAATGGAACTGAAGGATGTACATTTGACAATTAAGATTTACACACCCATAAGGTTATAAAGCCTACTTATTCACGGCAATACAAATTAAACACATACACACACACACACACACACACACACACAGGAAGAAAGAGAGCGCGAGAGAGAACTGGGGGAACTGGCCAGGCAATTCTTGAGTATTATTTTGCATTGACAACCTGGGAAAACACACTTGGGATCTTGTTAAGTTATGCATTCTAAAAACAAGCTTGCATATGAATATATATTCCTAAACTTATGAACACAATCTGCTCAGCCTGCATATACTGTTACTCATAAGTACACACTTCAGGGTTGACCACTGGTCTTAGATAACCAACTAGGGCTTCTCCTGGATAAGACTGTTTTTTCCCACTCTAGGCATTCCTTAGCTGCCTATAGATAGTTCTTTGTCTAGGGTTGGGGTCCCTTGACATTTCCCTCTGATACAAACATGATTTATTTATATGTATAGGTGGGGTCTGTGTGTAGGGTGCCCACAGGGGTCAGAAGGGTGTATCAGACACCCAGGAATTGGAGTTACAGGATGTTCATGAGCTGCCTGGTACAGATGCTAGGAACTGATTTCAAGCTTTCTCCAAGAGCAGTATGTGCTCTCAACAACTGAGCCGTCTCACTAGCCACATTTATGAGATTTATTCATCTTGATTAATGTAAATGGTCAATGGTACTATTAAGGGTCATATAGTAAAAAGGTAAAAATGTAAAATACTCAGCAAAATGTCTATGACATGCACTGTGAGATAATCAAATAATTGTGTAAGGTAATATACAGAAGTACCAGAATCTATGGGAAATCAGCAATACAGAAGATTACTTGTATTTAAGTTAGAAATGGAGTGATTTCAAAGTGAGATTCATTCAAATTGAATTCTAAAGAATTATTTCAAAGGTTCATTAAGATAGGAAAAGCATATGGATGCACAGCTCATGACTGTCTAGCACACAATCCTCTGGGTTCAACCTCAGCACTGTGTAAACTGGGCCAGGTGCTGCATGCCTGTTCCAGCACCTGAGGCAGACCAGGAATTCACTCAGCTACCTAAGTTCATGGGCAGCTTTGGTTACCCGAAACTCTTCTCTGGGCCAATGGTAAATAATAGGAATCAGATTTACTCTCCTGTTTTAAATAACTGGAACTAATAAATAGAAACAAAACAATTCAAACACTAAAAAATAACTTAAAAGTAATTTTTGATAGAAAACAAAGCAAGATTCAATTTATTTATTTGTTTATTTAATTTTGAAACAGGGTCTCATTATGTAGCTCTCACTACATAGCTCTACAGAGCCAGCTGGCCTTAAGCTGATAGAGTCTCTGGCCTCTATGTCCTGAGCACTAGGATTAAAAGAGAGCACCATCACATTCATGGCCTTAAGTTTAGATGTAACCTGAAAAATTTCTAGGTTGCAGCAGAGAGAGGGAAATGCACCTGGAATCTGGTGGTCTCCCTAAACTGAAGAGCTATAAACTTAAGAATCCAGAGTTTGGTCAGAGGATGGTTCAGCAGGTAAAGGCACCTGTAACCAAGCCTGCTAACCTGAGTTCAACCCGAGACCCACAAGGTAGAAGAGACCTAACTATCTCCAACAATTTGTCCTCTGTCCTGCACACACATGCCATGGCACGAGTGCATACACACATGGAAATATATACATAAATATTAAAAACCAATTTCATGAAATAAGTGAAAGTTAGGATTTTAAACTAGAGGGATCAGAAATTAGCAAAAGGTTCTCTAACTTAAATTGAGTATAGATTACCAAACGCATAAGGAAAAATCTAAAGCTGGAAGAATCACCTCAAGGGAAAAGGGGAGCAAACACTACTAGTAAAATAGAGCTCACAAAACTTTGTGTTTTGCTTAAGCACAAAAATACCTCACAATACAAAGGGCATTAGATACAGTATTAAGAATATTACATAAACAGTGAAGAAAATTTTGCTCTAAATTTAATGAAGACTCCTTTGGTCATAAGCTGAAAAGCAAGCCAGGAAAGGAACATACTGTTTTTTAGTAATTTAACTGTGTTCCTAAATAAAGCTAAAGAATATTTTAGGAACCTAACATTATTTAGAATCCAAAACTATAAAATCCACAGAGACATCCATAAAAAAGTTACCAGTATACAAAAAGTAGGGCAATACAACCCATACTGAACTAGACATAACAACAGGTGTTCCTTCAGGAATAACAGATGCTAGAGCTGAAGGAGAGAGATACCCTGTCAAATATAAATATGACCCACATGCTCAAGAAGGAGGGAGATATAACTAAAACCCTCCAGAGGATAGAAATATAAACCTAAGATAAGAACAGTTTGTATGGAACTAACGACGTGAAGGTCAGCACCAGAACTTCCTAACATGAAAACAGATACAGCCTGAGAAAGTCGTGGTGCTTCTTTAGCTGAATATTGTGAAATTGGAATTTTTAAAACAGAATGTGGAAAGAAGGGTAGATAAAGGTATGAATGGTCAATTTTTTTCCAGGAATACTAAACTCACATGTGAACAATTTCCAAACAAGAAATATAAGGAAAGCTAACTGCAGCACGGTATATCACAAACTTAGGAAAGAAGGAGCCAGATGAAGGGTTTTTAAGGGGGCGGGGGCGAGGAGAAGCAGGAGGGCTTCTGGAGAGACAGGAGAGAAGGTGGGTGACTTGCTAGTCAGCCTCTCAGAGGAGCAGACTTCAAGTTTAACCTTTGAATCTAGAGTTCTTTAGAGGGACAGAGATTTAGTTAAATTCCTTTCCTGCCTTTGAAAACAGCTGGTGCCTGAGGGGAAGGAATTCCCTTAGGCGGTGGCTCTGGAAGCCTGACCCTCAGCTCAGAGTGCTGCAGTAGGACAGCAGTGGATTTAAAGGCAGCAACAATTTTAAAAAATGCTGACAAAAAATTTCTACATTTCCCCCTGAAGAACCGCCAATTAGGGATCTTTAGGTACACAAATGTGTGGAACTCTCCTAGTCATGCCCTAGCTCGCTAAAAAAACAACCCTCATTCCATTCCCTCTCCATCCAAACTGTAACTCAGTTACAGATGTCTCCATTTCCTAAGGAATATATTTTCTTGAGAAAACACTGAAATAATCATCCTCTAAAATTTGACTATACAATTCAAGTAACTCCTACATGATCAAGAACATCAGGAAAGCCTCTTGTTTAAACTCAGGACATTTAGGTTCATATTGGACAATAAAATTCTTCTTAGTCCTATTATTTAAGTCAAAAGAAAAGGGAGTTTATTTACATAGCATTAAAACTTTCATACTACATATGAGAAAACTCCACAAAAATCCCCATTTTATTTGAGAGGAACCTGTAGGATATCCATACAAACTTCTGCACAGGCATAGTCTTCAAACAGACTATGTGATTCTGGGGTAACGATCAGAAAAGGTGGTTTACGGCCTCTAAGGTTCTTACCTGTATAATCCATCATCGATTTCCACAGATTCTGTAGACATGGTAGGTAAATTTTTACTTGCGCTAGGGAGAGAAAAAAAACAAACCCAAACTTTTAAAGATCATATATGGCTTTTGAATATTAATACTCTATAATGTGAAATTCACTTATGCATAAGACGAGATTCGCAAGTTACTAAAGGTTGTTTTACATAAAATGTATGTTGTATTATGTGTTACCTTCCTTAGATTTTTAAAATGTGTTGAAGTTAATTTCAATAATTGCTGGTCTGTGTAGTTTTAATGTTAAGATCTTAGAGCAACCAGACAGTACCTGCACTCTTAAGACATCAGCTAGCTAATAAAAACAGCATACTCATACAACATACTATTCTGGCAATAAAAGTGTACACACACACACACACACTATTTGTAGTCTCCTATCATCTTGTTTCTACTTCTTTCACTTATTGTTTTATTTTGGCCAAAATTAGTTTGGTGGATTAAATTTCTGAGTGAAAAGGAGAACGAGTATATGTACACCCTGCTCTGCCACTGAATGGCTATGTCTGCCACTAACTTTCCAAAAAGTTCTGTGCCACTGACTGGTTCAAGAATACATTCAGCCAGGAGGTGGTGACACACAACTTTAATCCCAGCACTGGGGGGCAGAGGATCTCTGTGAGTTCGAGACCAGCCTGGTCTACAGGGTGAGTTCCAAGACAAGCTCTATTGCGACACTGAGAAACCCTGTCAAGAAAATAAATAAATAAATAAATAAATAAATAAAGGATATGCTCAAAAACAGTCATGCCTGATTGCACATACTTTTAATTTCAAAACTCCAGTGGAGGAGGAAAGAAAAGCAGGGGTTCCAAGCCATCCTTGGCTAACTAGAAGGCTTTTGCAACTAGTCACAAAATCAGTAATAATTAACAACAATAATGATGATGATAATAAAATAATGATTATATATGAGACAATAAAAAATGCTCCAACTAAGGGGTGCTTATTTGTATTTAATAATATTTCTCAAGTCGATTTTAGCAGCATTCGCCTGGGCAGACAATACGATTACTTAAATCCAGTACCTGAAGCATCCTTTTCAATATGCAATGTAAAATAAAATGTTAGGCCTACATTAATTGAAAATAATAAACTCGTCACCTCTATACTTTTTCTACAGTATTCTTCTACTGGGCAGGATACAAGTGGGGCTTTATTAATTCTAAGATTACTGAAAGAGAAATAACCCAAACATGGTGAGAGTATACCAGAACCCCACCCCCATAATTTTGCAGGCTAGGAGAGAAAAACTCCAAGACCCTAAAGTGGAAAATAATCATGGAAGCCTTAGGCTCCTTCCCGTGCCCCAGCACCCCCGTAGTCAACAGGGGGTTTTCGGGGTGTCCAAAACTGCAACTGACTCATCCAGACTTGTTCCCTCCGAAGTAACAGTTTTCTAAGTCGCACGGGTGCAGGATGGGGCACAGTGGCCCTGCAGTTGCCTCTTAAAGGTGCCAAGCCACAGGGGCCCCAACCCACTCGTGACCAGGCCCGACAGGAGCACTGTGACCCGTGGGATGCTCAACCCCACCAGGAACCGGCAAGACTCGGGAAGAGCCAGCCTCCCCGGCGAAGGCGAGCTGTGAGGCCCGCTCCCACGCCGCCACACCCACCGCCCGCTGGCTCGCCCGCTCGCTCGCTCCCCGGGGCTCCCCGCGGCCCCGTGGCCTCCGCGCGCACCGAGCCGCCCGGGCGCCGGACGAGAGCCCGCGCCCGCCTTCCTCCGCTCCTTCCCGCCTAGCCCGCCCGGGCCAGGCCTCTCACCTGCAAGCTCCCCAGGAGGAGCAGGACGCCTCTTCCCGGCGGAGAGCAGCCAACGGCTCCGATCTCTTCATCTCCTTCCGAGACTCTACAGCTGCAGCCGAGGAAGGCAGGCGAGGGGGCGGGGCCGCCAGGGTCAAGGGGCGGGCGGCTACGTCACCAGAGGTGGGGCTTGGGAAAGTGCGCCCAGGAGGGTGGTTCCCGGCAGCCCGGGGACACCTGACTTCCGGTTGGGGTGCGGCCCCCGGACGAGCTTCCTCGCAGGTGGGGGGCGTGGCTAAGTGGAGGAGACGGTGCTGAGGGACAAACGCGGAACTCAAACACTGAAGTCCACGTCACCTCCGGCGGGGAGCTAAGCCGGGAGGGGCCGGAGGCTCGCCCGGTGACGGAGTCGCCTTTGCAGATCCTCGGGTATTCGAGCACCTAGAGGACATCAATTTCCCAAAGCCCCGCTGGGATGCCACTTAAACATTCCATTTAAATAGTTTTGCTCATCTAGTACGTGTCAGACGTAGATGTCTGTAATCCGGTTTCTTTTCAGAGCTGTAAAAGTTTCCACTTTCATTTTATAGGAGAAAAAAAAGGAACTTCCAGTTAATGGTTTGGTTATAGCCATACAGCCAATAACTACGATCATCAGCGCTACTGGCCAAGGTTTCTCTTCTAATTCTCATTTCGTTGACTCATTTTTTTTTGCCATTTTTAGAAAACAGTTGTGTGGACACAATATAAATGAGAAATCTTTCTAAATAGCTCTGTATTTGAAGAAACATCAGCCCATTTAAAAAAATGACATTACTTTGACTATAGATGTAATACAATGTTCTGTAAAGTATCATTTTAATTCAAAATTGTCTTATATTTGGAAATATATGGTAGTCTTGGCAAGCCTACATTATCCTGTGTGTCCACCTATGCTATTTCTAAAATTGAACATCTCAAACATCGAAGCCTGTGTTGACTATCTGTTACATCCTGCTGGTTTCCTCTGTAGAAAAGGTTTTTTTTTTTTAATCCAATTGACCTTTTTTACATTAACATTCCAATAAATTTGGGTCGTGGCTTATTTTTTCAGAGTTCTGCTCTAGCACGAAATATTTCCTGTCCTTTTATTATTATTATTATTATTATTATTATTATTATTATTATAGTTTTTGGAGATGTATATACATGCTGCTAGTTTTCATTTCCCTCCCATTTATTTTCTTAAATATTGAATATCTATTAGACAGTAGGGTCCAATGGCTAGATAATGATCAGACCATAGAGATAGCATGTCCTGATTTCATCAGTCTCATGGTGTGCTTGTAAGTATTTTGGCTCAGATGGAAAGGGAGCAGGTACAAGGGAGTGACCTCAGAGGGAGCAGGCCCTAGCCAGGGACTTGCACAGGACCAGGCCAGAGTCAACGACCTCCAAGGAAGCAGGCCTGAGCCAGGGACCTCCACAGGAGCAGGTACAAGGGAGTGACTGCCTAGGGAGCAGACTCAAGTCGGAGACCTCTGCAGGACCTGATTCCAGCTGAGGACCCCTGTGAAAACAGGCTGAGACAGCAGCCTCCATGGGAACAGGCCTGAACGACCTCCGGGATTGGAAAGTAACTCCAGGGAGCACTGAATGACCTCCTGGAACACTGAGTGACGTCTGGGGTGACTGGAACTATAGCCCTAACTGCACCACAAGGAGCAACCATCTAAGCCTTGGGTCCACTGGCACCTGGAAGATTGATATCACAGGCACCAGCCCCAACTACACCAATCAGAGGAAAAGATAGGTAGACAAGGCAATAAAAAAAAAGATGTGGGAGTGCCCATCAGCTGTGGGCACTACCATCCTTTGGTGGGCTAAGGCTGTGTAAGAAAGCTGAGCAAGCCAGAGGAAGTAAACCAGTTAGCAGCATCCCTCTGTGGACTCTACTTTAGTTCCTGTCTCGAAGTTCTTATGTTGCCTTTCTTGGAAATGGACAATACTGTTTAAGTCAAGCCAGTGGTTCTTAACTGCAACCCTTTAGTAGAGTTCTTCATGTTGTGGTGACCACCAACCATAAAATTATTTTATTGCTACTTCGTAACTGTAAGTTTGCTACTGTCTTATATGCAGGCTATGTGATATTTGGCCCCTAAAGGGGTTGAGACCCTCAGGTTGAGAAGCGCTGTTGTTACCTAACTAAACCCTCTTCTTCAAGCTGCTTTTTGGTTATGGTGTTACATCACAACAATGAAGAATCTGGGAAGCAGAAAAATACAAATTAATTAGAAAATCAGGTTCAGAAAGTTTTAAAATGAAGAACATAAAAGCTGACACAGGGATTGAGAGGCTTTGGGGAGAAGACAATTTTAGCTAGAGATGTCCTAGATTATCTTTTTGAGAAAATGACAGTTGTCCCCAAGCCTAAATAACTTCAACCATGTGGAGATATAAACAAAAGAGAAATTTTGACCACGGGGAAAACAAGTGAAACTTTTAATTTTCTTCTTTTTACAATATTTATTACTTTCTGGTGTGTGCATATATTCTCTTCTTAAAACAGACTGGGCTTTTCCTAGAGAAAAGAAAAACAGCACATGAAGGATATTCAGCATAAGAGAGACCTCTTCATTTTTTGCTTTGAAGGGAGAAGGTTGCCATGTGACAGGTAGGACTTGAGTGTGACCCCAAGGTAATGGCCAACAATAAGGAACAAGTTGGCATACAGAGGTAAGGAATTAAAGAGCATGTTGTCATATGGCTGTAATTAAATTGAGCAACAACCTGCATGTGCTTGAAAATGACTGAAAAGAACAGAATGAAATCAATGTCTTGATTTCAGCCTTGTAAGTCTCTGCTTGCCATCTACCTTGCTGTGCCTGGAATTGACCCACAGAATAAGTTAACAGATTTGTATTCTTTTATGTGTACAGTGGCTTGGATAAAAATGGTGCCCATAGGGCCATAGGAGGTGGCACTATTACAAGGAGAGTCTTTGTTGGACTAAGTGTGGCCTTGTTGGAAGAAGTAGGCAGGCATTGAGGTCTCAGGTGCTTAAGCCAAGTCTAGTGTGGCATTCTCTTCCTGCCGCCTGTGGATCAAGATATAGAGCTCTTAGCTCCCTCTCCATCACCTTGTCTGCCTGCATGCCACCACACTTCTTGTCATGATGGTAAAAGACTAAATTTTCAGACCACAAACCAGTCCCAATGAAATGTTTTCTTTTATCAGAATTGCCATGGTCATGGTGTCTCTTCATAGCATTAAAACCTTAAGTAAGAAAATGCTAGTATGCTTACAGAACTTTGTTGTTCAGTAATAGAAAAAAATTGTATTGTAGGTAAAACCCATGACTCTAATATATTTGGCATTAGGTCATTATTTTCCATCAGTATAGAATATAAACATGAATCTTTGTTAGCTTTTCTGTGTCTGACATGACCAATGTAAGGAATACAGGCCTGTTATGGCTCTTAGCTTCTGAGGTGTCTGTTAATGTTTGTTGGAGGAGAGAGGCACTTGTTGGTTTCTGGTCACCCAGCTTGCTTAGACCCGAAATAACTACACAGATACTGTATTAATTAAATCACTGCTTAGCCCATTAGCTCTAGCTTCTTATTGGCTAACTTTTACATATTAATCTAATCCATGTCCATTAATCTATATCGCCAAGTGACTGTGGCTTACCGGCTAAAGTTCCAAGCAGCAGCATTGGTCTCCAGTGGCTCCATGGTGTCTCTCTGAATTCGCCCTTCTTTCTCCCAACATTCAGTTTAGTTTCCCCCACCTATCTCTGCCCTGCTATTGGCCCAAAGCAGTTTCTTTATTCATTAATGGTAACCACAGCATTCAGAGGGAACTCCCACATCAAATGTCCTTGCTTTAGAACTGTGCAACATGTAAATCATGGCCAGAGCACATGGGTGCTAGAAAACAAATGAAGGAAATGTTCAAGGCTTCAGTATTTCCCTTGAGAGCATACACCCAAGTCATTTAACTTCTATTTATTTATTTATTTATTTATTTATTTATTATGTATACAATATTCTTTCTGTGTGTATGCCTGAAGGCCAGAAGAGGGCACCAGACCCATTACAGATGGTTGTGAGCCACCATGATGTGGTTGCTGGGAATTGAACTCAGGACCTTTGGAAGAGCAGGCAATGCTCTTAACCGCTGAGCCATCTCTCCAGCCCCGTCATTTAACTTCTTAAAGCTTCTACTGTGCCCCAATAGCACCATGGGTTTTAGAGAAAGTCTTTAACACACTGGCCTTAAAGAATATTTAAGATCCAAACCACACTAGCAGGCATCTTACATTTGATGAAACAGCATCAATTATTACAAAAACATGATAAAATGGTGATTTTTATATCAGTTTTTTAATGTTTTGGAAAGTTTACTCTAATAGATTCCCTGAGAGTCCAGCTCTTAAGAATCCCCTCTCAGGGTGCAAAGACACCACAATAAGTAAAGGGGGGCTAGAAATCTGAGGGTTAAGAAATGTACTCACAACAGGTTCTTTCTATCTGTGTCTCTTTATTCTTTTCCTTATTCCTTATTCTTCCTTGCTCTCCCTTGTTCTACCGGTTACAAACATTCGTAGTCATATGTACCTTTAAAACTAACAATTTCCCAGCCCTAGCATGTTCCAGAGCTGGAATTCTTTTTCCCCATAAAAATCAGATAAGAGTTTTCACACACCCACACTCACCCACATACACGCACACACACCCACAGTTCTGTGGCTGTCAGCTCAAAGGTGAGAGTGGCTAGTACACATCCAGTGAACTCCTTAATGGAGAAAGTTAGTTAAGAAAGGAATTAAATCATCAGGGGATTCTAGAGGGTATGGTTAGTGTGCAATACTACATTTTTAGATAAAAGAGCTAAAATGTCTGTTTTCAATGTGCCCCTTTTTTCCTCTCCTAGCATGCATAGAATTGGGTAACTAGGCACCCTATGTAAATAGTCAGAGAGAAGCTATGGCTCTTGATCAGATAGCACATAACCAGATGCTACAATTTCTACTGGCCTACAGGTCTAGATTAGGCACCTAGGGCTCTAAGCAGTCGAGACAAAGAGACCCAGGCCTCTAAATTATTGTTTCCAGGGTATACCGTTATCAACAG